CATTCTTCCGGATCCTCTCCTTGCAGGCGGAAGCTGTAGACATTGTCGACACATGAGAGAGCTGTGAGTCTCTGTTTGGCCCGGGCATCTGTTAGGCCTGACACCTTCGCAACGGCCGAGGCTCTGCTAGGGTCTGGAGCGAACAAGCATTGAGCAGCTGCTGACACCCAGGCGGATGCGGAGGCAGGGACATCCCTTCGCACAAGCCTTAGTGACACACAAGGCCTATGACTTCATGATCATTGCCAGATGACGCCAATCCAGCTGGAATGCAGATGCAAAGGGGCTATAGGAGAAGTATAGAAGTGCTTGAAAAACCTGTAGAGACATGTCTCACGAAAAGTTGCCCTGCAGAAGTGGATCGGTCTGGGGTCCAAGGATGTATTGCATAACAGCTGCCCACTGGTTTCTTGGGATTTGTTTTTTTCGGTTGAGAACTGAGGAGCGGGGCAGCCGGTGCTAGTTTCGGGATGGGTGATTGCCACATACCCAAAGTGCAGCTCATATCTGCGTCACATCATAGGAGATGCACAGGGACATGAATCTGTTTTGGGGCGCACATGGAGCCTGTGCTGCGAGACACGGGCCTGAGTTGTAGCCCGCACGATGGAGTCACGGACTGGAAGCTCCTTCTTGAGTTCGACTGTGACGTGGCGGGGAATCAGTCCACTGCAGGAGCTTGTGGACCTGAAGCAATTTGGTGCAGCTCTGCTGATAACCTCGGAATGCACCCTGCTCGCAGAAGGTCTGCAGTTTGCCCTTCATTTTAAAACCCAGGCCTCCTGCTCTCTCTGACTCCCCTGACTCCTCCGATGCGTTTTACGCATGTTAGCACATGTTCAAGTTCGCACCAGGTGACGGCGCGGCCTGGCAAGCCGGTGGCCCCTTTGAAGACGGTCCGAAGCTCCTTCTTCCTGGTGGCAAGTATATCAATCGTAGCCGGAGCCGATACCGCGAGCAGTCGAAGATTGCAGTAGAGCTTATTACTATGGCCTTGCTGGAGGCTGGTGTCCCTGAGGAGCATATTGAGCACTTGGATTGCTGTGACGACCACGGTGACCACAGAGATCCCGACTTCGATCCCATCAAGCTTATTCCGCAGTTCTGGCGCCGGCATCTAAACCCTGTCACCAGGTTCAGGGATGCATTGATCTATTATTTCGGCTTCTCGATCGAGGGTGGTGCCTGGGCCCTGACGTGGACCAATGCTAACCAAGAGTCGAAGGTCTGCATTATCGAGCCAGATTCCATTCTACCTCCGCAAGGGGTCGAGGATGGCGTTCCAGGTGACGCGGGTCCCAGTCTCCCAAGTGCTCATTCGTTCTTGGGGGCTTGGCATCGGCATTAACAGTTCTCATGTAACAGATTGCAACATGAAATTCCATGATGGCCTTGGAAAGCCCCATACTCTAAGAGTGATGAAGCCAGCAAGCGAGCGGGAGACGGAGAGAGGCCGAGAGACAAAGATGCCTACATTATATAGATGAATCTACATGTGCATCGGTGTGTGTACATGTGTGTATACATGTGTGCACACCTATATATATATATACATATGCATATATATATATATATAATTACATATATATATATATATATGTATATGTATATGTATATGTATATGTATATGTATATGTATATGTATATGTATATGTATATGTATATGTATATGTATATGTATATGTATATGTATATGTATATGTATATATATGTATATTGCATGTAACGAGGGAGACATGCTTGAATTAGAAGCTGCGGATGTGATGCAAAGGAAGCTCCATCGATGACTTGCCTAACGGGCATTCCGCGAAGACATGGAAAGCATAGATATATACCCGTCCACATAATGAAGAACACATAGCAGGCATATATCCTTCAGAATCAAAACCGAAAAACAAACACAGCCAAAAACAATACACACAAAACAAACAAACAAAAGTGCGAACACAATGTCTGCCACAGCTTTGGTGTATCTAGTTTTGGTTGTTTTGTTTTTGGTTTTGGTTTGAGAGCATTCCATCTGAGATTTTGTTGTTTGACTTTGTTCGGCTTTGATTCAACCATGTGAGAGAAGGCCACAGATTCCCTGCTCAGACATAGGAGCCCAGAGACTCCCGCCCCACCTCCCGGAACATCCCGAGATGAAAGGAACTCAGAAGGCAAACCTGGTAAATATGCAGGTGTCCGGCTGGTGGTATCGGATGCACCAGGGTCTGCTCGGATGTGGTTGCGGCCTGCCTGCCGCTTGCGTGGCGTGGCGGCTTGGGAGGGTGACGCCATGCCAGGATCTGCGGGTGGCCCGCCGTTGGCCCGTTGGCTCTGCGGCTACATGCCCGAAGCACCCAAAGGTGTGCAAGCTTTTCTGCAGCCTTGCCCAGATGCTGGGCTGGAGGACTTACCGTGTCACAGGCCGCTCTTCTGGGGTCCTTCGCCGGAAAGTGTTGAGGTGGCAAGCACGTTGCTTTGGGAACTCACGGAGTTTGTGGGTGCTGAGACCATGAGATCTCACAGGTCAGCAGCTATTGAAGAAATTCTTGTGAAGGGAGGGCCGCAGATGCTGCTCGAGATGCTGCATCTTGTTACCTCTCGTGAACATGGACAAGAACTTGCACTGCAAGTCTTGTGGCTCTTGCAAGCACTGGCTGCAGAGTCCCCTGCTCATCGCTGGGCAGGTACCATGAACGAGTCTTTTAATGCCGTCATGAAGCTGACAGAGAGGCTCCTTGGTGGGTTCTCCAACCACGAGCACCCACACTTGCTAGCTGCTATCCTTTCCTTCTTTGCCAGTTGCGCATCTCGTTGCATAATTTGTAGAGAGGAGTGCTCAGCAGGCACAGGCAACTGGGCTTCAGTGCGTCAGCTGATCAATGCTGCCTTTGAGAGCCTTGACGTCGAGCATAGCCGGGATGCCAAGGCTGCCGCGCAGGCTGCCTGTCACATGATCTCACAAGTTGCCTCACACAGAGCACTTGGTTCGGAACATCTCCTATTTGTCAAGCTGCTTGAGATGTTTTCGGCGAGAGATGTTGGTGAGCCTGTGACAGAAGCTGCAGCTGAAGCGCTCTTGTACATCACCTTCCGGTGCAATGATCAGAAGCTTGAAGTCCTGCGGCTAATCAGCCAATTTCAGCTCGAGGAAGCTTTGAGCGAGGCTCTCCGAACCTCACGGGTTGGCCTCAAAGAGAAGCTCCTGGCCTTCCTGCGAAGCATCGCCTCCGCACAGCCTACGTCCGCTGTCATGGATGCCTTTCCCAGTGGCTGCATTGAGGGTGGGATCATCGATGTTATCATAGGCACTTTGAGGCACTACGAGAAGGAGCCGAGTGTGCAGCGCTGGGGGTTGGCCGCGTTGGGTGCGATCTGCAACGTTGACGAGCGATTTGCCACAAGGGGGGTCGATGGAGGAGCAGCGACTGCAGTACTTTGGGCTTTGGGTGCAGACGATCTGTCGCAGGCCCTTGGGGTTTTTATTCGCCAAGCCCAGCGAACCCACAAAGCTTTGCAACATACAACAAGTGTCCTCGAGTTAAATTCTTAGAGGTGTGCCGCTGCATCTAAGGCCAAGTCGCTCGAACAGGATGCGCTTTTCTGTGCCTTTGCGCTCCTGCAGACGCACTCTGGTCATGACTTGATGAGCTTGCTATCTCCCGAGAAGCTTGGGCGACTGCCAGCACTTGCGGCCTCTGCAGTGGCACGTGGGCTGCGGGAGGAGGGTGGGTCCTCTGAAGCAGCACTGTGGGGACTTCGAATCTTTGAACGGATCTGTCAACAACATGCCTCCGTCGTGGAGCCGTTTGTGGATGTGATTCTGGATGCCATGCTGGCGACGAGTTGTTTGCATGGAACCATGGTTGCAGGAGCCAATGCTGTGAGCCACTTGGCAGTTTGCCCTCGTGCCCGAGTGAAGCTTTTGCGGAGCTACGTGGACTTGGTAAAGGCCTTGCAATCAATGGGCCACTTTGCAGCCTGTGAAGGCACCGAGGAGGGGAGGGCACGGGAGGAGGAACTCATGGACTGGGTGCAAGTCCTGGTCGACATTTTGGGTCCGCCGAAGCCTGTGAAGTCCGATGACCAGATTCTCTACGAGCAGCTGCAAAAAGAGGAGGAGATGCAGAGCTCCGCCAAAGCGTTGTCGAAGCCAGGCTCCTCCAAGGCAGGGACCAAATCCAATCAGGGCACCAAGTCCAATGCGGGCACCAAGCTGGAGTCCGCTCATCCCGGACATCCTGCCAGTCGGACCGGAACCAAACTGGGAACCAAGGAGTCCTCTGGCAAGACGCGGACCAAGTCAAAGTTGCAGTAGAGCACCTCGGTCTCACCCCGGCGCCTCGCGAAACGCGACGGCCCTGAGATAATGAGTTGGCACTTCGACAGAGTGCACCAGTCTAAACTAGATGCGGCCAAGCCCCAGGCTGCTATCTTTGGCTGTTATCTTTACTTACAAAAGCGATGCAGAAGTCGGCTTTCCAAGGCTTGTCCGGCGACGAGGCGCATGTGCTTTCATCCTTTGCCCTTCTGATTTTTTTGACTCGCTCTCGACTCATTCTTCTCAGATCAACGCAGCAGGACAGCGTTGCAGGCGTCATGTCTGCTGCAGTTGACAGTCTTCGCACGGACCCTGGTGAGCTTGGCTTGCTAGCTGCAATGAAACTCGGACAGCTGCGCTCTGATGGCTGTGAGGCGAAACTGGGTTCGCGGCCCGCAGGTGCACCTCGCGGTTGCATGCACCGCCCTCACCTGCATCTCCTGTGCTGCATCTGGGCTGCTTGGGCTCTCGGTTTGCAGCACTTTTCCATCAGGAGATGAGTAGCAGCGCCTACCGTCAGGGCCACGCTTTGCGATGGGCAGTGTCACCCAAGTCTTCATCAGTCGAAGCAGCCTCGTGAACAGTCTCACAAAGACATTTTTCTGCCCAACAGGCAAAATGCTGCCATGTGCTGCAATATGCTGCAATTTGCTGCAATCCTGTAGTTTCTCGAAGCAGTATAGGTTGCCTGCAGGCACCGATGAGAACGCCCGACAGAACGACATCTATCGCTACGATGTTCGCCACAAGTGCGCCTTGTGCACATGAATGTAAGGTGCATGCTACAAGCTTCCGCTCGCGATTCTTAGGACATGGGCTTGCATCGAGCCGGTGACGGGCAGTCCGCCTTCGGCACGATCTGGTTCCAAGGCGGGCATGTTGCTGGCAGTCGCCGCAAGCGCTATGCCCCTGGAGGGGAGATGTTCAGGTTGTCTCTATTGATTGGCAGCTGGCTCAGGCAGTGGTGTGCCGCGACAGTATTTTCTTCTTCGGCGGCTACACGAAGAAGGAGAGATCAACAAAAAGTCAGAAGAGAGAGGGAACGCAGACACTCGAAGCACTTCGGTGCGGCCGCCTCCAGGGGACTGTACTCGCAGAGAGAGAGAGAGAGAGAGAGAGAGAGAGAGAGAGAGAGAGAGAGAGAGAGAAAAAAAGAGAGAGAGAGAGAGAGAGAGAGAGGGGAGAAGGAAAGAAAGAAAGAGAGAGGGGAGGGGAGGGGGAGAAGAGGGGGAGGGGAGGGAGAGAGGAGGGGGAGAGACTGCGCCGGAAGATCAGTTTGGAGCTAACCATGCAACACTAGCTCAGCAAAGACATCGTACAAAGGCCGCATATTCCATACCACACTGTCTGTGTCTGTGTCTCTCCCTCTCCCTCTCCCTCTCCCTCTCCCTCTCCCACTCCCTCTCCCTCTCCCTCTCCCTCCTAGTTCCAATTTCATGAGTTCCGCGTAGTGCTTCTTGCATCGCATTGTTGCAAGCTCCAGCTGCCGAGGGCTAGGTTGTCAGGGAAATGGGCCCCCTGAGCTTCGTCGGACTCGAATAGAATTGACTGCCACAACTCCAGGATGGGGACTACTTCAACGATTTGTTTGAGTTCAACATCCCGAAAGCCCATTGGACTCGCCAGAGTCTCAGATTGGAAGCTTGTTTTCAGCTGAAGGCTGTGATTTTGGTTGCAGGCCTTGATGCTGCACAGAAACCATCAGTTCGAACAGACCATTCCTGTGTGGTGTACGAGGCCTCAGTGGGCTGCGCTAGCATGTGCTGGCAGGTATTTGTCGCACCATCGTTCCAGGCAAGTCTGTATATCTTCGGCGGCTTTGATGGCCGCACTCGGTTCCAGGCACGGAAGTGGGCTAGAGCTTGGCAATTGGTGCGCTTCTTGTCTGGCAGGACTTGCATCTGTTCAACACCGAAGAGAGGGAATGGATGCAGGCACCAAGACCTAAGTGCAGGCAAAACGAAGAGGGTTCTGCAAAGCCTGAGGTGTCGGACACAGACAATGTGCCAGTGGGCCGCTTCGGACATTCCGCTGTGGTTTACCAGTCCAGCATGTATGGAGCTCAACGCACGCATGCGGGTCGTTTATTTGCAGCTCGTCATTAGGCTTTGATTAGTTGTGCTGTGCAGGTTCGTGTTTGGAGGATGGGATGGCCATGACACACTGGATGACTTGTACGAGTTCTCCATAACCACGAACCAATGGCACGACGCACAGAATTGTTCGATGTCTGTGTTAAGGAGCACTTGGTAGTGGTCTGGGTGACGCACTTCGCTTATCAACAGGTACAGCGTTCCTGGCAGGGGAGACGTTCCTCCGTTTCCTCCTTGATCAGCAAGCTGGATGTAAACTAAGTTTACGTGCTATGCAGATGCGGCGAGTCACCGAGGTCCCGATACCGTCATAGCGCTGTTGTTCACGGGTGCTGCATGTTCGTCTTCGGGGGCGTGGACAAGCGACAGGAGCTCCTTCAGGGTCGTTGCTCTCCGCCGGGCAATGTTTGTCAAATGTCGTCCAGTACATTGCATCCAATCACACCAGTCCAACAGGCTCGCTTTGCTGACTTGTGTGAGTTCAGTTTTGACACTCGGCCTGCGCCCCAATTTGCAAGTTGATTCTTTGATGGCCCCAGCATGCTTCAGCTCAAAGTAGGACAGAGGTGCTTCTAGTTGGCTGGCTTTGTCCGTGTGTGACAGGTCGTGGTCTCGTGTGAAGACTGTCATGGCCCTTGATCCAGCCCGGAGTTGATGGTTTTTGAAGCAGAAGGCGTGGCAGCAATGATTGCTCCCAGTCTGGCGATCCACCATCTGCGAGAACCTTCCACCGCGCCTGCATGATCCAACCTTAGTCCTTTGGGAAGCAGACCTGCAGCATTCGAAAAGGTTGTTTCGTAAGCGCAGAAAAAAGCACCCAGGTACGGAGGTTGCATGTACATCCTCGGAGGGGTGCCGACCTGAGCTTTCGGCACAGTGGCGCTGGCGTATGCTTGTATGGTGCATTCCCTGAGTTCGATGGAACACGTCGCAACGACATGTACAAGATCGTGCTTGGCCCCAGAGTGACACGTCACCGCGCAGCAGAAGAAAGGTTTGCTAGTGCCAAGAAGCACATTCGGCAGCACATCTGGCTCAGGCCCTTCCCGAACAGCTCCCGCGAGGCGAAGAGAAGCGCAGGCAAGGGCCTGGAAAGAAGCCACCCTGTTGCGGATGACATGGGCCGTGACTGGTAGTGCTCTAAAGTGCTGTGGTAATTTCGATTAGTGGGGTTGCGACATGATTGCTCGGAGGCGTCGATTGCAAGGCTCAGGAGAAGGTGACGCAGAGGCCGGGCTAAAGTGAATGGGCTGTCCAGGGGCGCGTGGCATCCTTTGCCATCGTGTGACGTGTGTCTTGCGTGCGTTTCGTGGCTCTGAGAGGCAGCCGCCGAGCCGGACATAGGAGAGGTGGAAGGACGGACCGTTGCAAACTATGGAAAAAGTTATAAAGTGATAGAAAAGGTGATCGCTTTGTCCCCAGGCCCCCAGCCTGAGAACAGCAAGGAGGTCACAAGGCTCCGGCTGCAGGCGCCGTTGGGAACAAGATGGAATACGTACCGAGATCACGGCAAAAAAAGAAGTTACAGATCAGCACGGCTTCTTTGAAGGTCCTGGAACTTCAGAAGCGCCTGGAAGCTGAGCAAGAACGCTGGACCCCAGGTTTGAAGGTGACAACGGGATTTCAGACGGATGTGCTCACAGGATGTCGTTGCGTTATATCCCAGGCCATCTATGCAAAATCTGCTACGAGCGCGAGATCAATACGGCCAACGGCCCAGCAACAGCGCAGGAGTGGGTGTCTCGAATCGTTCCATCACTCCTCGATCCAATGTTCAGGTCATCCTGGATTGTCAGCATCGAGCAGTGTGCTCGAGATGTCTCGACCAGGCGGGAGTACTGGGTGTCTTCCCGGAACTACGGAAGGAAACTTGTTCAATCTCGTTCAGTTCCGTGTGGTCGAGGTGAACAGCTGCCCTCTCTGTCGGGCATCCATCAGTTCGACGGTCATCACGTAAGCCGGACAGAAATTCGAGAGGGGAGGGTGGTGAAGCCGCGCTGCAATCGTAATCTTCTGCTTCTCGAGAGAACCAGGTACAACGCCTAGGCGAAGCCCTGGCTCCTGAGCCGGCTTCAGCTTCAGTCATAGCTGTCAATAGCAAGAGGCTGCATTGCTGCATCATATCTTCTGGCAGTGAAGTGTAAAGCTTCTCCAGAGCTGAATCCAAACCGTTCCGCTCTTTTCGCTCCAGCAGCCTTTGTGTGCCATTTGGGCCGAAGTGCCAGGTCTTGTGGCTTTGCGTTGTCGCTTCATGCTTGCGGTCACAAGAGTGATCCCAAACCTTGTATAGTTACGTTTCTTCGCGAACTGGCCAGCAGCTTTTCACATTAGGTTTCTAGGCGCCGAGCTCAGCAAATTCAGCAGTGTCTGCTTGTATCTGTTTGTACTTCGTGAGTCACATGAGTACAGTGGTGAGGTTGGCATTTCTGTCAAGACTATGCGCTGAGTTCATGCACCACTTAGGTGGCATGCAGCTGTCAGGCTGTTGGCTGCATGTGGACGTGCCAAACGCCGTCTGTTTGAGACCTCCAATGTCTGGTGGATCTGGTTTGTTGGATCTGCATCAGATCATGAGGTCAGGGCTGGCCTGGGGAGCATGCAATGGGGGACTCCCCCCCTTTTGAGTTCGCTCTGATGTGGTTCTAAGTTGGCTCTCGATTCACGAGTTCTACTCCGGTAATCCATGCAATTGCTCCGCAAGCTGGTGCAATGTGGTGCAAGCCAGGTGCTTTTAAGGTACTCAGCTGCGCTTGAAGGGCCAAAGCTTGTTGATCTTATTTACCTCGAGAGGTGAAAGCCTCTTAAAGGGTGGTAGCGTACACTCTTGAGTTCTAAAGCCTTGGCACCGCAGCTCGAGCTCTAGCAGTCGTCCAGGTCGTGATGCCCATCTCTGTCCTTCGCGTTTGTTTACGGTGACGTTAGCCTTGTGTGGCGTTATCCAGGTCTGATATGATGGGCTTCCAGCATTTGCCAGGTTTCACTGTCAGGAACATGAGGTTCTTCACACCCTGTCATGGCCCAGGCGGCTAGGCAGAAGTCAGCATCTTGCCGTGTCGGATCTGATGGCCGGAGCCATGCCAGGGTCATCATGCCATCAGTAGTACAGGTCACTCAGGCAAGGCAGGGGCCGGAGAGCTGCTGTCGAAACCAGCTGCAAAGAACCGATTCCAAGACGTGCAGCCTGGCCCCTGCTCTCCCGCAAGGTTGAGGTGCCAAGATGCAGACTGCAGCTTCTATCGTGTGATACCCCCTACAGAAATCTTACATACTCCAAGTGCTCACTGCTGAGAACTTGACGAGAGGCAATAGAGGCTGCAAGCAGTCGCAGGCGACAGGTGTCAGGTGTACAAGGTTTTCCAGTTTCAGTGCTCAATGTGAGGTGGGTAGCTGTCCAGGTCTGCAAGCTGGATCGTTTTAAGCCTTCGACGTTTTTTCCCAGCGCAGACCTGAACACCAGTGCTTTAGGTGCATGTTCAGGTGCTCAGTTTCAGAGAAGTCCAGGCAGCTTCATGGCTCCAAATCACCACATCTAGACTTTCTATGCTTGAAGCCTCCAGCATCCAGCTGTCAGGACGGCACATGGAAGGGAACCTGCCAACAAAGTCTTAAACGCAGCCTGTTGGCTCTACCTCATTCATCACGGTGCAGGTTCCTCGAACAGGCAGGTTATTTCCAGGTCAGGTGCAGGCTCGCAACAGCAAGCTGGGCAAGGAATGGCAGTGTTTGAAGGCACCAACTCCACAACGAAGTGCCAGATTCAGCGGCTTTGAGACTCCAGCTTGCGTACCAATCGGGTATCTCAGGTGGCCCTGGCACATATGTGCAGGCCGCAGTTCCAGCCGCGCAGTGTGAGGCAGTTCTGAGCAGCAGTGCCATCTGATGCAATTTGCTGTCAAAACCGAGAAATCCACGGCGCAGCTTGTGCCCGCAATTGCATCACACTGTCCAATGTTTTTGGTCACGGGAAGCTGAGTCAGATGCCCCATTCCAAAAAGGGGTCCATAGTGGAGTGGTCACTGAGTAGTCGTGGGGCTGGCGTCAGCTTCCTTCAATTCATTTCTGGTAGGTCAGCTCAGGTCAACTCTCCAGACTTAGGTTTTCAATTGCGTCAAGCAGGTTTTCAATCCCCGCAGAGCTTACAGCTTGCATCGGAGCCTCTGAGCACAGAGCGCCCCACAAACCCCAAAAGTCAGAAAGGAGTGTTAGAGTGGTGGAGTGGTAGAGTGGTAGGAAAGAGTCTCACGATGCGAGCTGTAAGGGCCGTAGAGTTCCCAGCTAGGTACAATTGTGTCGGGAAGTCAACGTTTCAACGTTTCAGACCGTGAACTGTCGGCCACTTGGCAGAGAAGCTTGGAGTTCCCTGAGTTGTGAGTTTCGGCTACGGTTGGATGTGATTTCGCGATAATCTTCCCACGAAACGGTCCTCTAAGTTTCGGCAAGCCGCTTCGAGCACACGAGCACCCTTTCAACTCTCAGGAACTGCGGTCAAAGACTAAAAAAAGAGTGTGTCATGCACCGTCCTCATGACCGTGGGAACATGGGACAAGAGCTTGCGCACTGCCAGACTCACAAGCACTGACCAAAACAGCACATTTCTCCCCAGCAGCATGAATGTGGCATGTAGATGCTGCAAGGTGGCAGACCTTCATGATGTCCGTGGGTCCATGCTAGGAGTCCGGCAGCTTGTGCTGCAACACAAGATCTTGCAAGTCGAAGCTGAAGTAACATGAAGCCCTAGCGATCCCTAGCGGCACGAACAAAGAAGCACTGGCAACAAGCCTGTGGCGCGATGTTGTGTTGCTTCGGCGGCCTGGTCTGAAAGAGGTGCGTGAGTGATGCAGGTAAATTCATAACTTCTTTCTGATTTCGATACTTGTTGAGTACCTCATACAACAGAGGTGGAACAGATGAAGGCTCCTCTGACAGCTCGGGGAGGTCTGCTCCACTGGAGACTGCATGTGAGGAGACAGCTGTGGAGACAGAGAGCGAGAGAGCTGTCCTTAACACAGGTGCGCAGACCTCGACTCGGGAGCGGCATGCTTGGAACGAGTCTGAGTTGGAGGCTGAAGCTCTATGCAGTCTATGCAATCATGCAGTTGGTACAGGTGCAACCGGGGTTGCAGCCGAGGGTGCACCCGGGGGGTGCACCCGGGGGGTGCACCCTGCACCTTGGAACTTGCAGCATTTCGTGGCAACATGCCAGGGCCAGAAGGTTCACAGCCGCAAGTCCTTCGGGAAGGCACAGAGTGCATCACCCCGCCCACAGCGCCGGGACCTGAGATTCGTTTCAGTATTCCCTGTGAAGTCTGTCGACGGCAAATCGAAACTGGTGTCCCTCTGAGCGCAGGATTTCGAGCCGTTGATGCTGTGAAGCTTGCAAAGCATGAGCTCGAGACACAGACTGGGTCGGAAGCTCAAGCAGGGACGCCATGTTGCGGTTGCCAACTTTACTGACCAAGTTTATGCGCACAGCCGGCATAGCCTGCAGCAGCCTCACAAGCCAGCAATCCACGCGGAGTCCACCTGCCGCCTCCACTCTATTCCACTGCTCGGACCGCTTGGATCTAGAATCTAGAAGATCTTCGCAGAGATGCGGCTGGAACGTCAAGACAACTCCATTGGTGCTGGTCGCGCTCCTCGCTCTCCTTTTTTTGGTATATCCTTGCTTGCTTTCTCTCACTCTCTCACTCTCTCCCTCTCTCACTCTCTCCCTCTCTCACTCTCTCACTCTCTTTCTCTCTCACTCTCTCACTCTCCCGCTTCTATACTTTTTTCTCTCTGTCTCTCTCTCTCTCTCCCTCTCGCTCTCGCGCTCTCTCTCTCTCTCTCTCTCTTTCTTTCTCTCTTTATCTTTGGATCTTTCTCTGCAACGTGAACGTCGTCAGAACCTTCTCCAGACACATCGCTCCTTCGTTTTACAACTGACAATCGCACTTCCAGCGGCTGCCCTAGAATGCTTGCAAGCTCTCGCTGCGCCTCGTGGACCTGTCTTGTCGGGGTTTAAGGCTATACCAGTGTTACGTTCTCCGTCGTCTCAATCTGTGGGCTCGTGTCGGGAGTCGGGTCATTGTGTGGAGGTGCTGGTAAGACATTCCAGATTTTCATTCGCGTTTTTTGTACTGGTACTGGCTTGGACACAGCTTTCGTCTTGGCTGGCTCTCGCTTGGCTTTCTCCGGCAGTTGTTGCGATGTCTCGCGTTTCTGAAGGCCCATGGTCAAGGCAGGCAGACTTCGACTCTCCCAGTTCTCGACGTTGGAGGAGTGTGTACCTCAGAGTGAGGCAGGTGCGATAAGGCGTCGTAAGACACGCCATGGCGCGAATGTCGTATGCAATCCACTGGAGATGTCAGAGCCAGGAGAAGCCTCAAGCTAATGCCCTCAGTAGGATGCCATGTCGTTTGCCTGGTCCCCGCGGTCGCTACGGCCGCGGAGGACGGCTGTTGCATGCTGCTGCACTGTCACACTGTCACTCGCTGTTAATTCTTTTTCCTTCCAAAAGTTTTCCGTGTGGTTGTCAGTGAAGGGCAGTGCCGCAGGTGTTGCAGATGCTGCCCTTGGAGGCCCGTTGCTCGGGGCTTCGAGCGGGTTGCTGCCACTGTCTACGGATATCTCGATGACGATGATGACTCGGATTTCAGCGAGGATCCGGTAAGCAACAAGTCGCAACAACGAGCGTCCGAAGAAAAAAAGGAGGAGCCGGAGGCACGCAGCAGACAGGAGACGATGGACGAAATGTTTGAGCAGTTTTTCGATGCCATCGACGACCTTTCGGACTCTGAGCTTGGGAACACTTGTGGCACAGGTTTTGGGCTCGTGATTCCAAAGCTGAAAAATGAGAGCGAGATTGCTGCTCATTACAACGTTCCGCTGCAGGCGATTCATCAGCTGAAGGCCTGGCCATGTCCAATCTATCAACAATAGCGGGTGGATGCTTCAGGCAGTGCTATCTGCTCACACCTTCTAACTTTTGGCGATGCACGACTTAAGAAATCGAGAAGTGTCGTCTTCATATTTCGTGGTATTCCTCTCGTCAGGCAAGGCCCGTCTAACAAAACTGTTTTTTGGATAGCCTCCAGCATTCCCAGGCTCAACATGATAGCGGCACATCTGAGACCAAGCTCATGAACGAGACTAAGTAATTCCACGCCTTGGCTCAACAAAGTGACGTCCACTTGTCGTGCACAGCTCCTGGCATCCCCCAGGGTTACAGTCCTATGTCCAACCCGTCATGCAGGTATTGTCGGTATTGTGTTTGCAAACTGGCAGGGGGCTGCTTCCCCCCCCCCAACCCCGCTGAAATCTTTAACTGTCATGCGAGGATTGTGTTTTCAATGTGGGGGCGGCAGCCCGTTTGTTCATTCCTGTTGAAGCCTTATTGCAAGCTTGCGTGCTTTATGAAGAATATCATGCCGCAAGAAAACATGCGCATCCTTTCCTAAACCTGTCACGTGAGTATTGTGTTTGCAAATGGGGGGGGGACCCCCCCCCCCCCAACTCGTCCCCCCGCTTGTGTGTTCTTCAACCTCGCTATCCTCTTTATATCTATTTCAGTTTTTTTGGCATAGGGAGTCCTCTATATTGCAACAGGAAAACCTCTGTTTCCTCGGTGTTTCATTAGGAAGACCTCTGCTTCTTCTGTAGTTGACAGAGGAAAGTTTCTGTATTTCAATAGGAAGCCCCAGACCAAAAAAAGGGTACAAATCGCACAGAAAGGTACAACGAATTCCTCGCATCCGAAATTGATGGAGTTAAGGGCCGTAGTTGCAACGTGTTGCACAAGGGTTCATCGCCGTCCTGACAAGGTCGACTTCCCGGAGTGCCCCCCTGCGGAACTGGCTCGCTTCTTGGCGCGGAAAAGCGTCTCCGGGAATCCTGAGAAGGCAGCGAAGCTCATCAGTGCTTATTTGGAGTGGCGCAGGGGCATCCCGAAATGGCCGGCCCCGCCGCCCGACTTACCTAATCCATTCCGATTTAACGGCTTTGCCCGGGACGGGTCACGCCTGTTGTTACTGCTCCCATGCTGTATCAACATAGACTTCAAGCCGGATGCCTATTGCCAGCAGCTGGTGCGGCACCTGGACATGGAGGTCGAGCGTGCAGATGCCCTGCGCTTCACAGTTCTTTTGGACTGCCGGCCCCACAAAGCCTTGGGATACGATGCAAAGCCGGTTTGGCGACTCTGGACACACATCTCGGCCATGGCCAAGATGTTCCAGGCCCATCGGCTGTTTTCTACTAGGCTCGATTTTTGGCTCGATTTCTCGATAACTCGTTTTTTCTGCATGTGTCAAAGCCCCTCGGGACCCTCGACCCCTTGGCAGGCCTATTTCCCCGAGCGCCTGCAGCGGTTTGCTGCTGGGCTTAAATGGATGAAGCCTGGCTGAAGCTGTCGTTTGTGGCTGGACATTAGACCTGCGACTGGCACCAAGGTCATCTATCCGGCCGGGGACATCGAAATGGGCGCATTTCGGATGTTCAAGGGTCTGCTTTCTACCGAGACGCTGAAGCGCGCAAGATCCTCAGTCCGTTACATGCTGGGGATGGCGCTAGTTCGGTCCGGGTTCCGTTATTCCCGGCTGCAGGTGAGGCTGCTTTACAGCAAGCTGGGCTATGCGGCACCTGCTCCTCCACGAGAGCTGCTTGAGATCCTCGATGTCAGAGAGGTCCGCAGAGAGAACAAAGTCTTCTTCACAGGCTTGGAGGCCGAGTGCGCTGATGTACAGTTTGGCACAGGCGTATGATACTTGTGCCCCTGAGCCCTCACCCAGCCCTCAGCATCTTTGTAATTTTGTACGAAGGGCATCATCTTGGACACTCTCATGTCTCACCATCAACCCAAGAGCACAGCAGTGAGCTGGGCTCGAACAAGAATCACCAGACCAAAGCTATAAGGCAGTCTGTGCTATGAGAAAAGCCGCCTCTCCTTGACAGACTGCAGAGGCTGCTTGACATGCTTCCTTACTCCACAGCGCCATGTGATGCGATCCAGGTGCAATGCTGGCGAGCTTGGTCCTGTGATCCATGAAGGCTTCTACAAGTTGACCGCGGCTGTAACAAGGCCGGGCTTGCAATGGGCTTGCGTGTAGCGAGGGTGACGCCTCCGGTAAGCACAACTTTTTCCAGGCCCGCGCCTTCGCTTCGTCAGAAGGTCCGATGAATCACGTGCGATCACAAAACGAGACGGTGGCGCTTCTAAGTCCGTGCGAGCTCTGCAGGCTGCCAGCTTGCAGGAGAGCTTTCAGCAGCGGCTAAGTAACTTGCGCCACCGGGGCCGGAGCCTGAAAAAACCGAGTGGCACATCTGTTTTTGGACTTGAATTAGGAAGCTTGAACAAAGCCCCGGGGTTGCCGGGAGGTGGGGAGGGCGACGGTCCGCATGGTCATGGTCCGCCAGCAGGCCTCTCCACGGTACACACGTTGACAACCTGTATCACGGAAACTTGAAGTAGCTAGTCGAGCTGCATAGAACGCTAAGCAGGTGTGGGCAACGTGGCAGCGACGCAGTCACCGCGGTCTCCAGAAGCGGGAACGCTGTTGGCTTTGGAGGGTGCAGGCACTTCTCTCAACGCATCTCCGTGTCTCTGCTCTAGCACTCGCTTCAACGTGTTGGCCAAGATGACCTCCAAAGTGCCAGGCTCCCCTCATGCTGGGGGTGACACCTTCATCACTGCCCATGAGGCGAGCCGCGGGGAGCGGGGCCGGTGGCACGACGAGGCGCATGATGATGGTTCCCCTGCACCGGCAGGAGCATCAAGCCTCTGAGATTCTCAGCGATGCCAACCATCAGCTGGTGTGCTGGACTCAAAGCATCGGCAAAGAATATGAAGATGTGAAGCTGAAACCCGGATGACGGTCCCGAAGCATCCTCCAGCCTTGGGCATCGGGCTTACGAGGTCAGTGCCGGAGCGTCCGGAGCAGCCGGAGCTGGCTGGCCAGCACAAGGAGGAGACCCCATCAGCGGTGAAGGAGGTGGGGGGTGAGGATTGGGGATAGGGATAGGGATAGGGATAGGGGAGGTGAGGGATGGTGAGGGATGTCAAACTTTGCCGGAGTGCACGAGTCCATGGTTGCCATGGTAGGCAGAGCTCGCAAAGCAAGAGCTGGCGCTGTGTGCAGGGCTCTCAGCAAGCACTCAGCAAGCACTCGAGCCTTGATGCAGAGCAGGGCAAGAAATGGTTCGAGGTTGAGACTCTGCATACCTACTCCTGTGAGACATCTTCCGAGTCACGAGAGTCGAAGCCCCAGAAGCTCAATGCATCAACGGATATCGAATGACTCCTGAAAGGTACATGGAACATGAATGTGGTACAATCGCAATGTCGAAAGACGTTGCAGGGCTCGGCGCTTGAGCTGCAGGCGCTCTGCACTACTCGATGCCGCGACGGCGACAGCATCTGCATCCATCGAGAAGCTCATGCAACTTATCGAAAGGTGCCAGCTTTCAGTGGCTTCTCGTTGTGATTTCGGTTTGCCATGTCGGGATGAGGGAACTTTGTGAGAGCTTCGCAAAACCCTCTCAACATGCGCCTCTGCGCAGCTGTGACGCGTGATTTGTGAAACGAGGCAGGCCACGGAAGCGAGGGAAGCTGCCCAACAACGACGCGAACTGGAGGCCAATGGCTGCAGCCAGCAAACCCCCCATAATGCCTTCTTTTTGTCAATGTTTGTCGTGCATGCCTTGTGACTCAAAACCAGTTTAGGATTGGCACCTCTCAGCATTCTCCCTTAGGCCAAGATTGCCGAACTGGAAGGGGACGCCGACGGCTTGAGGAGGATGGCCTCCACCTTAGCGAGCTCGTTTTCTCCCACGCAAGAGTGTGGGGGGCTTCCCCATGTCCTCTCGGCGTCGCCTGTGCCGAGGTGCAGCGAGGCTTGCGAGAGGAGGTGCTCAGAGAAGAGTCCCACACACACATGCACATGCCTCTTTGCGCCATCTGAAAATCGCAGCTTCAACCTTGCCCCAGGCGGAGCTCCAGAAAGAGAAGGAGGAAAAAGCGGCTGAGGTGCTCGAGAAGCAGCAAAGCCTCGTCGAGGCGCAAGCCTAGGGAGGCCCCCTTCTAGGCCCCTTAAAAGCCCCCCCAGATTCCCTTTTTTGTGTCAAAAAAAGCGACTGGATCAGATTCTCTCTTAGATTCTCTCAGATTCCTCTCTTTGGTGTCTGAGAAGCGGGATCAAGCCTCGCTCTCAGGCAGAGAGGAAGGGGGAGAAGCTCACCGCCCAACTGGAAGAGGTGGACGTCAGCCGTAACTTATCGTAACAAGCGCACCTCGCGTGGCGCGCATCCTTTTGTTGCCTCGGAGGCCTTGGAAAGGATCAAGAGGCGTGAGGACGAAGAGCGGCAAGCGCAGGAGAATCTACGTTTGAGCCCCTGTTCGTCCTCACTGTGCGTGGCGGTACTGGAGCTTTAAGGGAGAGAAAGGTTAGTGTTCATGTCGTCGGAGAAAGGAATCCAGGGTCTCTGAATGGTGTGAATGTGAGTGTGTGTCTGATGGTGAGGCAGAAAATGTGATACTGTAGGTGAACTGAGGCGGAGATACTTGCATGGGGACGTTGTCCTGGTGAAGTCACGAGCCGCAGTCAGGTGATGGTGCCAATTCTCCGATGATGGCATTTTCCGCTTTTGTTCTTGGGCCGGATCAGGCTTGCCGGCTACCGTCCCTTTGCCAAGCGCTGCTTGGAGTTTTCCTGAGACACAGGTTCCGTGTGGCCTCCCGACAACTCTTGCCAGTATCAGCCTGGGACTCATGGTAGGCACCAACGTGGCCAAAAGCAAGCTTGATCAAATTTAACGGGTGGCGCTCAGGTGGTGATGTCTTGAAGGAGAAACCTGAACACAAGAGGCCACTGGCAGAATTCGGCAGACCATTTCTGAAGTGGACGCATGAGAAGATGCACTCCGGCACCGTTTCTCGATCTCGTGAGAAGAGCAACCAAGTGGCTCACAGCCTTGTGTTAAACATGTTCGACAGTTTTGGCACTGTCTTTAAGACTGCCTACCTCTGCAGCTTGATTGAACTGGCCAGGCTCGAGCGGCACCAGACCAATCTGCTTGCTACCCAGCATTGCACCTGCACTTCGTCCGAGCTTTCTCTGCTGCCGGCATTCAGTTGCTTCGCATCCTCGGTTATGAATCACGGTGCCTTCGGCCTAGGAGTGGAGCCAGCTCGACAACAAGGACCTCGCTCCTCATGGCAGCAGGATCTGCAGGTGAGCAGCCGCGGTGGGAGATTTTAACCAGTCGGCACGGTCCTGGTGCATCCGGGGGTACTTTTAGAGGTTCCTCTGCAAGGCTTACATGTGCCACCAAATGGTCGCCAGAGTGGGCGGCTGGATGCAGTGCAGGGGCACCCAGAAAGCGGTAGAAAGATCCGGCAAAAAGTACACAGGTTAGTGTTGGCACGTCTCGGGCAAACCTGCGCAAACCTCACAAATGCAGAGGCCTTCCCAGAACTTGTCCAGGCCGGAGTTGTGAGCTTCCGTGATTGTGAGAAGGCTTAGGCAAGCTTTGGCCTCACGCCATGATTTGTTGATCTCTGGTGCTGTTCAGCTCGAACCTGCAGCCGCCATGGTGAAGTGCTTCGTTTGTGGCTGCGCTGAGGTCAAGTATCGCTTTCCATGCTGCCGAGAAAGATACTGCTCCTTGCCCTGCTATCGGGTGCATGCTGCTGGGCAATGCCCTGCCCGTCCAGAGGTCGAGGTTCCAAAACGGGCTCGTAAGCAAGAGGAGGAGCCGGAGGACTTAATCTCTGAAGTCCGGCTGTGCGCACTGCGAGGTCATACAGGAGTGCGTGCGGCTTTGCAGAGCGAAGCCTTCCAGGAGGCTTTGCTGGCCTTGGATGAGGCTCACGATCGCCGTCAGGCCCTAGAGCGATATTTGGAGAAGGACAAGTACTTCGCCAAGTTTGCTGAGGACTTAATGGAGGCCATTGACTACTTTCCACGAGGGGAGTTCCTCAAGCATGCCAAACTTGCCAACAGTTAGCACGAGCAGGGCACATCCTGATCAGATCCACAGCGCGGGCTTGAAAGCTTCTGTCAAGAGCCGTGCCGCAAAGACGCAAAGACATTCGCGTGGATTTTCTAGCCGCCGGCTTTCTTGCTCCCCGTCCTTTAGACAGAGGTGCTGGACCAGAGTGATGAGCTTCAAGACAGATTCAGGTGATTACTTGTGGGCGCAGACAGCGTGTGAAAACAGATGCAGTTCCTGTTTTGCAGTAGGGCTTTTAGCAACTCGAAAGTTTGTCGTTGTTGCTCGCCGCATTCAGATCACTCGGCCAGGAGTGCATCACCAGATCCAACACAGGCGAGGCCTCTCACCGATCCTCCGATCCCCCACATACTCAGAGCCTCACCACCACGAGCAAGCGTTGCAGGGAAGTTCCAATCACAGCGAGGACAAGGACCCCCCCATGGTGCTTAAAATTGATGAATGCAGCATGTGCGACCGGCAGTAGCGACTGTATCGGGAGGACAGTGCTGCGACGCCGCCACAAACGAAGAAGCTTGGCACCAGGAGACGTTCGGAGGAGGCGGGGATGTGCAATGTGATGGAATGATGTGGAATGTGTGTTTCGTGGGGCAAGACCTTTTGGTGCCTGCAGGAGGACAGCACGGACTCCGAAGCAGAAGCCGACATGCCCAGGCGGGGTGCGAGCTCTGAGCAGCTAAAGCTCGAAAGGCTGTAGCTCGCGGCGCTTAATTAACGCGGATGCATTCGCGCAGAAAGATTGCATGTGCGAGCTCTCAGGGCCTCACCTCTGGCATCTTCGTTTCCTGCGCTTGTGCCATATCTGGACTTCCAGAAGGTCTGTGTGCCGGTAACGCTGAAGAGTAGGACTTCCCTTCACGGATCCCTGTGAAGGCAGATGTGGACGCCGAGAAGATTAAGGCAGAAGCCCAGCAAAACCTTGCTCTTCGCTTTATTCTCTGCTCACGCCAGTTGCTCTGGAAGGCTCAGACTGCGTCTCAGAACCATGAGCACTTGGAGAAGCACATGGTGATGCTTCAGGCTGGGAACTGTGGCACAGCTGTGCCTTCCTTTTGAGACAAAGAACTCGTAGCTGTTCGCGTTTGTGCTGCAATGTGTCACACCGCATCACGGTCAAGAGTCCACCAATTTCAGGAGGAGAGGCAGCAGCACTTGGAGCGGAACCAGCTGCTGCAGCATGCTGTTGATGCGTGCCTTCCTTGGCTTAGGATTGACCTGGAACATTGCCACCTTCCTGCGCGCATGATGTTTGATTCTGGTATAAGGACCCTCGAACGCATCCTTGTGTGGGTGCAGGCAGCTGGACTTACTGGGGTGTGCCCTCGGTTTGGATGCACCACTTGCTGTCATCTTGAAGCCACTTGCAGGCAGCGTATGACTCCTTGCACGACTTCGGTCCAACGTCGGTGCAGCAGGAGTTGAGAGTTTTTACATCCGAATCTGAAGTATACGGTCCACTACCGCAAGTTTTGTCGCGATTCCTAGTGGCCCGAGTACCGCAATATTGGTGCCCTTGTGATTCTTTTGCCGCTTGGAGAGCATGAGGATGCGGAGGCTCTTGCAGCGATTCGAGACATGCTTGCATGGCCCTAGACCCAGCCAGTTGAGCTTCTCCAGATCCTGTCACATGCTATGGAAATGCTCAGGCTCGCACAGCGTTCCTGCAAGGCACAGCATGCTGTGCTGTGGATGACAAGGGTTCAGGCTGTGAATGCGATCAGCAGTTATCATGACCGCTTGTCAGGCATGGGTCGATCCACCCGACAACCTGGAGCAGGCAGGTCTTGTTCCCTACGTCTGGATAGAGTGAATAGGGCTGTATCCGAGGCCTTGGCCAGCCATGAGGATCGTCTGCGCTCTGCTCTGGCTCTTGCAGAGAACCAGTCCTCATCGGGCGAGGCAAGATCGTGTTTTCTAAGCCACCGCAGAAAATCATGGAGTCCGAATCTATCCGACTGAAACCAGGTAGAGGAGCTTCGCAAAGCACTTCAGCAACAGATGAAGCGCGCGGAGGACCTGTCTGCAGTCTTGCCTTTAGAGCTGGAAATATCTGGTGCCCTTTACCCGTGGTCGCAGGACCTGGAGAAAGACTTGAAGGCTTGCCGCGCGTGCTTCACAAATGCTGTTCCTGCCGCGCCATATTATGCCTGCGTGCCATCATATGATATGCCTGCGTTTACCTCTTGCTTTGAGAAGCCAACCCGTTTGCCTAACGTTTGGCGCTGCGGCAAGGCCTTGCAAAGCAGCGACTCCGTGCCCAGCACGAAGCTCGAATTCTGGTTCCTTTAGCACTCTGTCTCTGTGCGCTCGCGTGTGTGCGAGCTGGTGTCAGTCCCGAAGTCAGTCGTACCGTGCAGCTGAGTGGAAACGAAACATCATATATGAGGTCGGACAAGCACGAAGGTCGTCGAGCCGCGTGCCTCTGTCCCGATCTCAAACTGGGACACCTGCAAACAGGGACTTTGTCGGTGAGTTTCAGCTTCCAGGCAAGCGGACCCAGCACGTATCCAGAACCTGACGCGAGCACTGCCCATGAGCCAGAGTCAGGATCGATGGAGAGGGTTCCGGGATGTTCCGGGAATGTTTCACAGAATCTCGACGCGACGAAGTTCATGAAATGCTGGCAGGCGCCGTTGGCACCGTGGCTATTGCCAGCCCAAGGAGCTCCAGCCCACATCCATCCCTGCCACGCACCCAATCACTGAAAAGGTCCCTTTGCCCTCCAAAAGCACAATCGCAAGGCCGCCCGACGCCGGTGAAGCTGGGCAGGAGGAGGAGGAGAGATTCGGGTTAAGAGGGGGGTAACACTGTTGGTGTTATGAGGATGCGTGGTTGTCAGCACTTGTATCATAGCATATCATAGCAAATGGGTGTGGTGTATCGAGAGAGTTTAATGGCGCAGCCTTGCGCCTTGAGCTCTCAGCTCTCAGCTTTCTGCCTGTTTTATTTTGAGGGCAGACTATCTCCTGCCATCTCCTGCACAATGTCGTCTTTTTGAGCAGTCGGGCGTCGAAGGTAGCCTAATCTTTTTAGAGCACATGTCCTGAATGCGCCTCGTGCGCGGGCGGGCCTTCGGTTCATGCCCTCTTCCGTGACCGCTCTCTTCAGGGTTGCGCAACGGAACGACCTTGAATAGGGGTTGGTGGCGGCCGCTGGGGTGAGGCTGGTGGATTCGACAGCGGGGGCATGTCGGCGAGCGCGGTCACAGCCCGACCGCAACCTTCTTGGGTGGTAAACTCATCCCTGGGCGGCTGCTTGGGGTGGTCCTGCTTCACCGAACTTTATCAAACAGGACCTCTCGCAGGCGGTGGACGACCTGGAAGTATGCACTCATGACCTGAGGCGATGGGCGGAAGACAGTCTGAATACGGGTGTCGGGGCACCAGGTGGGACAGTATGCGCCCTGTCCGGCACTTCTTCTCCGTGTGAAGGTCGCTGTCTGAAGGCAGAGCAGTCTTGCATCGCACACAACATAAACCTAATGTGGGTTGTGCAACTCTCTGGCAGTTCTCGTTAGAGGATTGTAGACCGTGGCTTTTTGAAAAACAGATGCCCCGCACAGCGCATTCAACAACTCGCATGAGGGTGTGTACGTTTTGTCAAGGAGCTTGCAGAAGGCTTTGAGCCAGCCGAGCCTGAGCAGGCCGGGTGTTACAGCACTTGCACACAGTCAGATTTCTTGAGCACACTAAACCTTGGAACAACTTGCCGCAGGACCGCGCTGTCTCTGCGGGCCAGGTGGCAGCTTCCCACCAATGTACTGTAGGGCTTGATGGGGTTGGGGACAGTTTGACGCGAGGGGAAGGATGCAGCAGAGGAAGCCGAGCAAGAGGCCACATGGATGACCTCTGGTTTAGAGATGTTTAGAGTTTAGAGCAAACATGATCCAGCCAACAGGCACAAAGGATGCGGCTCTTCAGATGCCCTTTTGCCCAAGCTGGGAGCCTGTGTCGAACTTGTATCGTGCTGTCGCATGTGGGTTCTTCGCTTACGAGACTCAGGCAATTGATCTCACTGCTGCCAAGCGTACGAGGCCCGTGCCATCCGCGAAGTTTTGTGAAGGGACAAACTAAGCTCGTAGCTCAATGGAAGTAATATACATGGTTTCATGGCTCTACAACATCCGAAGCGTTGCCACATCGGGGTGCTTTGGCAAAGGAGTGTCCAAAAGTTGATGAGGACGAAACTCACACCTAGCCTTCGGGGAACCTCTGTCTAAGCATTGAGCTCCGGTCCTTTGCCGAGCGACGCAGTGCTATGGTCGCCTGCTGTTTCAGGTTGTCAATTTCAGGCACTGGCGTCTCGGAGGCCAGCTTGGCTGCGTTGTGCAGTTTCCTGATGCAAGGTCACGCAGGTGATAAAACATTCTGCTGAGATTTGGGAACTGATGCCAACAAAGTGTCAGGAAGACGACGGGAAGCACCTGGGACGCAGGTGGGAGCTGTTGATGGCTGCAAGGGTCAGAACGCCTCATCTTTAAGTTGGAAATCGCTGGCGAGCAGGCCGTTACATCAATCTCATTCTCTCAGAGAGCTCTTGGCAGGCAACTGCGAGGCTTCATCGCGGAGGTGTACTCTGCCAAACGCTTCTCAGCCGATACTTCATACATCTTCATACATCTTCATACATTTTCATGCCTTGGAATCCGCTTTGGGTTCTGTATGTTCTGTGCTCGCCGCATCTCGCCGCGGCGCCTGGGCCTAGGCCTCGAAGATCGGCGGCGTGACAAGACCCAGCAGCCAAGACGGCAGCTGCACGCGGTCATGCAGGACACTCTGTTTTGCGCTGTTGGGCGTACTTTGCGTTGGATTGCTGAAGCTTCCTGGTGATCCTGATCCTAATTGTCCTTTGACATCGCAGGAGATCCTGCGAAGGCAGCATGGGGTAAAGCGGTTGGTGCATCAGAGATCCTGGCAGTCGCGGGCTTGGCAGTTGTTGGACTGTGCTGTGGCCATCGAAGGGCATGTATCCGATGACGTTTCACGCGCAGAGAACGTACGTTTGTCGTGAGGCTTTTGGAGTCTGTGGCGCAGCATGCCTTCACGGCCGGTTGGACATGTTTTGACATCTGACAGTCGTTTGCCTTTTCAACACAAGTGCGGCCGCTGGCAGGATGTAACGGTGGGCCTCTTTGCCGACTTTTTGGATGGCACCCGTGACCTGGAGGAGTCGGGGCCCCAACAAGAAGGTGCTTACAAAGCAATGTACAGCTCGGCCTTTCTGCATGGGCCGCTGATCCACACTGCAGTCAGTGGAAAGAGGAGCTGAGGACTCGGCTGAGGATTGCTTGGCCCATCTGAGGCTCTCCTTCTACCTGTACTGCTCTGCCATGCTTGCCTCAAGTATCCCGGAGGAGTCGCAGGCCGAGAAGAATCAACGAGTTGCCATGAGATCTCATGACATGGTGTGCAGGCAGTTCCCCCTTCAAAGCTTCCACCTGGGTTCGCCCAGCCCTGGGAATCTGCAACAGAGCATCTAGGACAAATTCCGGATCTTGCCAGAAATTCTTAGGTCAGCAGGTCTCGTTGCACCCGTCTGGTGGACCTCCTCTTTTCCGATATGCCAAAGGTGGGAAGCATACAGAAGTATCAGCGCAAGAGAGCTTGCTTGGCAGCCTGTCTGCGGCAAATTCAGGCACTGTCGGTTGTGCACGAGGAGATCGAGCGACTAGCAGGGGGACCTGGAAGGGGAAACCTTCGTGATAGCTCCTAAGTTATAACTTCCAGGCCTCTCTCAGTATCGGAGTATCGACTTCGCCTCGGCCTGTGGCCAGATGCGGTTGGTGCATTGGAGATGCCTGTGGGTGTCGTTCTCGTTTTGCATTTCCAACGAGCTTGGCGGCTAGATGATGGAACTATTGTCCACGGAGCTTTGCGCTGATTTCTGGAGGACCTTCAAGACATCACCGTGAAATTATCACTTTCTACCGAGACCCAGAATGAAACAGGAACTCATCAACAGGACAAGCTGGAGCCTCTCGCTCCTCTCTCTCTCTCGCTCTCGCCTTTGTAACCCCTCCCCCTCCCTGGACTGTGGAACAGCAGCTAAGCTTGATCGAATGGCCACTCTGCGCCAACGAGGCGCCCAGCTTTGCAAGTCCAGTGGGCAACAACCTGTCCTTCGAGGCCCCCTTCCTGTCACAAGATGTTTCGTATCTGGCCATGCTAGTTGAAACAGATGCGTTGCAAAAGGAGCAGTCCCAGGGTGTATCTGCAGGAGCTCAGCAACCAAAGCGGCAGCTTCTATGGCAGCATCGGTGGGATCGAAACCGATGGCTTGTGGCGGCCCAAGAGAGCATCTCTTGGAATTTTGTATTCAGTTTCAGTGAGCTTCCTGAGGTGCAGAGCATTGCTAGAGGGCTGGAGAGTGCCCAGAGCTTAGCTCAAAAGAGGGGGATTGTAGCTCACTGCACCGAGACCGAGCTCGAGCAAGGTGCAGTCTGCTGCTGAACAAGACCGCTCCGCCGCTCTTATGGCTCCTCTTTGTCATTTCAGGTACGAAGTATGCTACATTGCGAGACCGGTATGGCTTGTACTGGTGCTCTCTTCAGTCGCTAAATGCCAAGGCAAGCCGCCGTTCTTGCATTCACACAAGCTGATGTGCATTGCCGCGGGTGGCTTGACCCCCATGAGGCCATGCTGCATATCATAGACACCCCTCGTGCCTGAAGCCAATTGCAGAGGTACGGCATGCAGAGATGGCCCCCGTCCTGGCCAAGTCAAGTGTTGGACTTAGATTGGGCCATGAAGGAATCAGCCAGTCATGCGATCTGTCGTGTGATGAGCGTTGGCGATTCCGAGCCCAGGACGTTCCAGCGACTTGCCACTCGGTGATCAGACATCGCTCGGGCCGCGGAGGGCTCGTTGATGCTCATGTTCAGATGCTGTGCCCAAGCTGGCCTGGCATGAGCACGATGGACATTGCAGTGGCTCCAATCATAACAGAGTTTGAAAGACCTCAGTCACCCAAGGCATTCTTCATAGTCGGTGCGTTGCTGAAACAAACGAAAACGCAGCCGAAGGCTGGGCGCTTTCGTCTTCCGAGTGGTGCATGGCCTCGGCGATGCCGTCTGCTGGCTCAGACACTGCCACAAGCGAGTTGTTGAAAATACCAAGCAGCAGATGCAAAAGACGCAGCGCAGAGGCTCCTCTGCAGGATGCCAACGCAGTGCGAGAGCCCGAGACTTTCCCATGTGCAATAAACCCTAAACCCTAAACCCTAAACCCTAAACCCTAAACCCTAAGCCCTAAACCCTAAACCCTAAACCCTAAACCCTAAACCCTAAACCCTAAACCCTAAACCCTAAACCGAAGTCCGGGCCAGCGACCGGCTGTAAATCGCGCCCTGTGCCGAGGGTCGTGAGCGACCCTGGCAGAGGCCAAAAGCTGCCAGAGGCACAAAATGGCATAAAATGTCATTACAAATAATAACAACAGTAATAATAATAGCCATAACAATTTTATTTTTATGATGATTATTATTATTTTTGTTATTATTGATATAATGGTAACATTTAATTTAAAATCTGCGAACCTCTAAGCATTCGAAGCCGGGGCCGTGAGCCAACGATGCAGGCACCCGCAAGTCCCTGCCTGCAAGTCTGCCGGCGCCCGAGATCCACCACACTCCGCAAGACCCGGAGACCCGGAGATCGTGTCACTGGGAGGGGGGCACTGGCCAAATGCTTGGGTTCTCTGGGGAAAGTGGAGAGCCAGTCGGACAGTCGTCCTCATGCCGCTTGCGCTTCAGTTCTGAACCCACAGACTCGGGAAGTCCGTGCTGTAGCATAGATCTCACCTTTCTTCATGTCTCCCGGAACTTCCCGGAACCATAGGCTCGGCGGCTTTTGGCTCGCTGGAGCGCAGCCTCGGGGTGCCTGCAATTATCTGCAGTTCAATGAGGGCATTCCTGAAAACATGTTGCCTGTTGTGCTGAGAGTTGCAGGTGTACCTGTCTTGGTTGTTGCACAGCGAAGAGCCGCGAGACCGAGTCGTGTGACCCAAACGCGGCCCTAAAATTGTACTGCCCACAATCCTACCTGCGATTGCAGAGCCGTCATGGATTCGGCTTCTTGAATCTCGCCTCTGGTGCATGCAGGTACCAGAGCGTGAAGTCCAGGATTTTTGGCTACAGGTGCCTCGGCAGCCTCGACTGCTTCAGAACGTCGTCTGCAATTCCACGCTCAAATCGCTGCAGGCGTGCGGACAGCATGCAGGATGTTTGGCCGATGATTCACAATCTGCGGCCGGGCACCCACGCTTGCGCTCGTGCCCAAGCTTTTGTGGCAAGCAACTTGATTTTGCTTGCCATGAATCTAGATGCCTTCTGGTCCTCCTCCTGACGCACCAGTTTGACACACAGCTCGCTCGAGAAGAGGCAAAGCATGGCAAATGCGAGAAAGGGCTATTACAATTATGATGATGATTATTATTCTTATTACTATTCGCATTATTATTATTGTTATTATTATTACTATTTTTTTATTATTTTTCTTATTCTTATTCTGGCAGCTGAAGGGTTGACCTCCAAGGCATCGCCCGAACACTTGGCATGGGAGCTGACTGCCTGTGCCCCGGAAAGAAGCGATGATTCAGAGCTTCCACGTAAGATGGAAGGTCATAGTCGTGTGCCCATTGTCCTATGACTTATTTCTGGTAGTTGAGGCCTTGCTGCAGATCCTCCGTGAGAGCTGGAGGACTGCCAGCAAGCCCACTCTGCGGGGTTTGCTGGAACTGTATTGAGGGTTTAGGGTTGCAGAGGGAAGGCATGTCTGTTTTTTTGGAAGCATCATGGTGACACCCAACGTGCCTTTTTTCCTTGAACAAGGCCAGGGCCATCGGAAAACAAGGGGAGGAACACAGACACGGAGCCATGCAACGTAGACAGAGCGTCCTGATGCACGCAACGTCCAGTCTGCTCAGCTTCAAAGGACAGGCGCGAGTCATGAAGTGGCGGAGAGCGGGCCGGAATTTGGGCCCGAGCTGGAAGAGGCCACGGTAAGCTTGGGGGCTTTCATGGACCCTTGGTGGCCTAGGCCCAGTCTGACGTTGTCGCTTCGCAGGTCGGCGAGACCTATCGGGATCAAAAGGGTCCCGTTACTTTCAGTGATGCTGCATGATGGTGACCTGGCAAGGGGCGCGTCTGATTGTTTTTTGGTTGCCGGTCGAGGTAAGAACCGAGAAAGTGTTTTTCAGCGCAGGCCGTCTCAAGGTCCCAGGCAAAGCGTTGCAGACAAGCGATGGCTTTGTTTCTGTTTCACGGGTGAAAGTTCCAGCCCAGCACTCCCGAAGACAGGGATGCCATGTTCGGAAGCTGAGCTGGCAACCCAAGCGCTTCTCCAGACGCTTGTACAGACGGAATCAGGCGTATGCCGCGACGATCATGCCGGAGCATGCCGGAGCATCGGGTACGCATCAACATATCAGTGTGATCAGTGTGGCGAGCCCTCTGCTTGAGGAGCATCTCTTTTGCCCGACGGCAAGCGTGCCTATCAGCTGATGTCAATGATCAAGCCGCGTAGCCATGAAACAGCCGCCTGGCCATGTCGCAGAATGACGACACCACATGCATCTACTGCAAGTACAGTTATGGCAGGAGTGTTGTCAAGCAGACTACTTTGATTCCATAGAAGAGAAGTCTCCAACCAGACCGGTCTTCACACGCAGGGGAAACAATGAGGTTACTCTTCATGTTCTTTCTCGGGCTTGGCCCTGGCACTGCCCGAAGCTTTTCTACGCTTTTCTGAGTCTTCGGGGGCTCAGCTGCGTGCTTAGCACACAGCACACGTCCTACGCAGCTTTGAGGTGCGGCGCGCGCTGGCCAGGGAAGTGACGCCACTGCCTGTGGTCATTTGGTCACTCCAGTCAACTTCGTGAGCGGAGATTGTGGTGAGTATCAGGCTACACCCAACTTTCTGGCTCCTTGAGTGGCGCGAAGCCCTCTTCCAGTTGACATGACGTGTTTCTGCACAGCCTAAGCGCACACGGATAGGCCACAGGGGGCACGCACAGAATATGACTCAAAGCAACCATTGGCCCTCCATCCATCCAAAGCTTTGGACACTTCTCAGCAGTCAAGATGCATCCATGTAATATCGGTAGTTGTCCAGGGACCATGACTCCGTGCGTCCGTTTGTTCATGCCCGTTCCAAAGATTGAAGGAGGCGGGTTTTGGTTTGTTCAGTTTGTTCGTTTTGCTCAGTTTGGTCAGTTTGCTCGGATGAGTTTTTTTTGGGTTGATGTTTGCTGACAAGCCGCCAGGCATGATGTCAAGAGATTGACGGCCGAAGTGGCAGTTAATGACAGATGCTGGACCGCTTTGCTTTGAACCTCCGTGTCCGCTTGAGGATTTCCACCTTGTGCGGCTTGTGAGAGAGCGATGCAGAGGAGACACCAGTGCCGGGCACGTGCCATCCAGTGCTGGTACTGCGAGGGTCACGCATGTGCCCTACGATGTGCCACGTGTGCTCCACAAATCCCTGCGTTGCCTGCAACTTTCACGGTACTCGCCATTCTGCCCTGCACTCAGGGCTTGCTTCACCTGCTGCCCAGGCCGTCTGTGCTGAAGCTCCGTGTGTCCTGCGAAAACTTTGGCAGTTCTTCCTCTTCTGAGGTGACCAGCGGTCGGATGCCAGGCTAAGTGCCGCATGCCTTTGTGACACTATGCATTCTCCTTGTTGTTGCGTATGCGCCTGCGAGAAACAAAGATGGAAGGTTGGACCGTCCTTCGGAAGAGGCCCTGGCAGAAGAGTTCAAGTCGGATCAAGGCACGCCGGGGGTGCGGGGCCAGTCGGAAGTCGGAGGGTCTTTGGCCCTCAGGGGTCGCAGGGTTTAGGGTTGGCTTTAAGGGCCCCGAACCCTAAATCCCTAAACCCTAACACCCGATGAGCGCTAAAGCCCGAACTAATTTGAAACCCCAAGCCCCGAGATCCGGTGGAAAGGAGGCCGGGGAGCGCGTGACCATGATGCTTTTTGGCTTGTCAGTTTTGCGAAGTGGAGATGGAGTTGGCGAGAGTTCCTTCTGTTGCAGGTCTGGCTGCGGAAGATGCCAGGCCTGTGGCGTTTCATCACGAAACCCTGATTTGGACATGCGCCTGGCAATGGCATGAAAAGGCAGCACGGCACAGCACGGCGCAAACGTGCAAGCAGGCAACTCTCCCTTCTGCCGGAGAAGCCCAGACACACGCAGGAAGCGGTGGAGCCATCTCAGCCGCGAATGGCGCTTGTGGAGGCTAAGTTCAATCTCTGGAGAACGATGACGCACGGCAAATGCCGAAGTGTTGCAAACAGCAACAAGAGTGTAGCCATGCTATAGTTCCCGCGCAGGTGCAGCAAGTTTGCCCCATCTTTGAGCACGAGCCCGACGACGAGGTTCCTGAGCCAACTTACCCTCAAACATCTCAACACAGCCTCTTACAGTATCTCCAGATTCTTTGCCCGTCAATGTGCAGGTTCCTCCAGCAGAGGCCCTCAGCGGATGCAGCAGACAGACATGGACAACATTCGACTCAGTTTCATGCACTTGCCCCGGAAAGGTTGGGAGCCTTGCCCCGGAATATGAGTGGGTACCGAAGCCCAGAGCATCCATCGTGCAGGCTTGAAGCTTCCTATGAGAGCTACCAGGGTTGCTCGGGCTGAGCAGATTTTGCGACATCTGCTGGACAGGCCATGCCGAGGAAAAGGAATTCGATCTCCATCAGGCAGGGCCCGGGATTGTAGACTGTCTCATGGTGACATGAGTGACAGAGTGAGAGAAAAGAGAGTTCGCTTCGCTCAGTAAATTGATAGTATCCACCGGCCAAGAATGGGTATAGGGCCGTGTTCCGTTCCCACAATGCCAGAGTTCGTGCATCTTCACTTCGTGCTTCCTTAAACTTATATTATTGTGCTCTCTTCACCAGAAGACCCGTGCATGTAGTACCATGGGACTGCTGGAAGTTCGGGTCTCAAGGTGTGATGGGTGAACAAGGCTGAACCCCGAACCCTAAACCCTAAACCCCAAGTTCGCAACACGACGTTCCTGCCGCTTGTGGACTCGTGTAGAGTTCCCCCTTAGCTTGCCGCCCTCAGAGACTCGCCAGGACATGCTCCTGTAGAGCCTTAAACTCTAAACGCTAGACGTTAACTCCACCCTTTTATGTTGAATCTTCTCAAAACCTTTCATACAAAGCGCCCTTTAGATTAAGCCGTACATAGTCCACGCTTGGGACAAAGAAGGCGAAGGCCCGCCACACCCAGCTAGGAATAGGAAAGGCTTGCCACATCTAGGAAAACCCCGCGACACCTCACACCTTGGAAAACAATGGGCCCACCACGCCTAGAAAACAATTGTTTTTCTCCGGTGTCCTGCTGAAGTACCCGCGAAATTGGTTACTTCCGTTGGCTCCAGAGCAGCCCGCTGAATCCAGAGACGTTTAGGGTTTTGGGTTTGGGGCAAGGGCCCTGTGCTTGGAGGCGGGGGCTGCTTTTTCCCTGCATACCCAGCATAGTCTCAGAAGAATTTCAGTTCTCTCAATTTACTTCTTTAGGTCTTGCTTCCATTGCCTTCTTAACTAGAACGAACCCTAACCCCCAAACTCTAGTCCCTAAACCCTTAAAGTCTAAATACGGGAGATGAGACTCGGAGCGCCAGGCCGCCGCCGCCACGTGGCCTTGTGGCACGGAAGCTCGGGGATCGGTGCGACCGGCGTGTTGTTCAGCACCACCTGTCGGCAACAAAGCGCTGTAACAAACAACGATATACACAGCTCATGGGTTTCACCAAGGCAACAAGTAAGTGTAAGTGTGTGTGTGTCTCTGTCTCTGTCTCTGTCTCTGTCTCTGTCTCTGTCTCTGTCTCTGTCTCTGTCTCTGTCTCTGTCTCTGTCTCTGTCTCTGTCTCTGTCTCTGTCTCTGTCTCTGTCTCTGTCTCTGTCTCTGTCTCTGTCTCTGTCTCTGTCTCTGTCTCTGTCTCTGTCTCTGTCTCTGTCTCTGTCTCTGTCTCTGTCTCTGTCTCTGTCTCTGTCTCTGTCTCTGTCTCTGTCTCTGTCTCTGTCTCTGTCTCTGTCTCTGTCTCTGTCTCTGTCTGTGTGTGTGTGTGTGTGTGTGTTTTTTTTTGTGTTTGTGTTTGTGTTTGTGTTTGTGTTTGTGTGTTTTGTTGCGCATCGTGCCCTTTCACTATCATGTGCGCAGCAGGTACGATTCTGCCTTCATCCACTGCACCCGCAGAGTCATCACATCGCGGGCGTGGGACGTGGCTTCCATGTCAGACGCTCGGGAAGTGGCATGAAGTGGACTGGAGCTTTCGTTCAAGTATCTCGTTTACGGCGGGTTCTTGATACATCTTGGGTCGAAGACGAATCTTTCTGGAGGCTGGTTGTGCTTTGTGCTCTCTTCCTCACGGACATCTACGGCGTGGCTCAGGACCTGAGACAAGAACTGCATGGTCTCAGGGTTTTGGGTTTCGAGCATTCAGCGGCTCTGCTGAGGTGCACCACACAATCTCGGTAACTCACTTCCAGAATGTATAAGCCGCCAAAAAGCATCAAAGCATCAAAGGGGCTTGCGGCTCTAGGATTTTGGTCGGAGGCCATCCGAGTGTTAAATGTGATAAAAAAACGTCATCCTGAACGAGTTCTAAAGCCACCGCCACTCGCCACCGGCTTCGTTTTCGCAACTCACAGACTCGCAGTCCTCGGCGCAAGTGTGCCGCGCTTGTGGTCAACCATGGGAGGTCTGGTGCAAAGCATAAGGCCTAAACTTCCTAAACCCTGAAGTTTGAGAACTTGGAGTCGCACCCAAAAAAGCAAGTTGCTAGGGGGAGGAAGAGGGCCCAATCCCTACCGGGTTGGTCAACGAAATCTAGGGATGTTGTAGGAGGTCGCTCGGGGACCTCAAAAACCGATCCCACTTGAGACACTTTCTGGGCCCGATCGGAGCACAATTCGACATAGCCAAGTCTGCGCCAGGCTCCAGAGAACACCTCGCTGGACTTGCTGCTGATGGTCCGCCACTCCACACCTGCGGCAAAAGCACTGCAGAAACTATCCATCAGATGTCATACAATCTAGCAAGCCCTAATGCAATGTGGCTGGTATTAATACTATGTTTCATATGAGTGTTAATATGAATATTGATATTGATGTTAATTTGAATATAAATATGAATATAAATATTAATATTGATATTAAGTCGTTGCAGGGCTGCTTCTTTTTCTTCCTGGCCGAGCTGCTCGCCAACACGCTGACAGTAGAGTGGGAAGCTCGTTGCTCCAATTCCACAGGGCTCGCAGGGTAAAGCATCTGGCAACCTGGCGTCTAACCTGATCCTGGCTTGAGTCATTGTTTCGGTCATGGTGCAGGTCATACCTCAACAGCTTCTTTTTTTGGATGGACATAATCGGTGCTCCGGCATTCTTTACAACTCTAGATTTCTTGAAATGCATGTAGGCAAAGAGTTGCTCAAAAACTCTACTCGCATGCTCGTCTCCTTAGCAGGTACTGCCTCAATCATCTTCGACATCTCGATGTTTCTGGGCAGGGATGTCACGCAGAGAGAAAGGCACGCATTGCGTACAGCCTTGGTGAAGCAGCCTTAGAGCCGGATGCTTTGTCAGGTCTGGGGAGCAGGCTGTGGGAAGCGAAAATGCCTGTGACCCAGTTGGCCGAGCAGTATTGCTGGTGAGGTGGCAAACGCAACGTAAGTGCTTGGAATCTTGATTTCAAAGCAGATCTTGGAGCAGTCACAGGCACAGGAGTGCATTCCGAGGCGGTCTTTGCCCGTGCCTCTCGGGCAGCAAAGCAAGCGGCACGTGCTGGTCGAATGCTTCGCCCTTGGATTGGAACTGTGCTTGGGAGTATATCTGTATGAGTGCCACTCAGTGCTAGCTTGTCGGACGCGTTTCGAGTCTTGCAGCAGGGAGTCCCGTGCAGTCTTTGCGAGCAACCGTGGACAGCGGCAGAGCGTGTAAGTAGGTATAAGGAGACATACGACTAGTCATGACAAGTCAACTTGAGGTCGCGGCTGCTGAAACTGCTCCGCTTCTTGCCCTTCTTGCAGAACAAAGACAATGCACAACAGGTGATTGCCTGCTACACCTTGCTGCCGATGTGAATGAAATTCAATTCTGCAGGTGGCCAGTGCGGTCTCCAACAAGCTGACTGTGATGCTTGCCACGAGGGCCAGCTCTGCAATAAGCATGCAAAACGATTCACGGCTAGCACTGCAGAACTAGCTGTTAGTTCGTATGGAGGTCGCCTTTCTGTCGGTTTGCATTGTCTGGCACACGGAAGCCTGCTGTGTGCGTGATGAGTTGAATGTTCTGCCTCGGTTGTGATTCAGGTCATTCTCATTCCTCTTTTCAGCACGTTCATGTATCCAGAGGCCACGGTCTGCGCTTTCTTTACTGTGAGTCAGATCCCATTGTTTTCGTTTGTGCGGCATTTGATTGGCTCTAAGGCAGAAGATTCCATGACCACCTGGGCAACACTTTTGTCTGGTGATGCCGGGACCTCGCAGTTCACCCATGTGCACCTTTGCGGCTTAATTTGTTTGTAAAGAGGAATGCATGGGGGATGAAAAATCTTGGGCAGGTCGGAGAGTACTTTGCCAATCCAAGCCCTGCGGCCATGAACAGGACTGCCAAAAACTGCTGCGCAATCTTTTGGCTTCGCCTCATCGCGCTTCACTGGTGCTTCACGAGTCTTCACAGCCGGACAGGATCAATGCACAACTGCTGCAGTTCACCAGCTTTTATGTGAATCTGCCGTATGGTGGGCCACCCAAAATGTCAAGCTTCGCTCCCTTGTGTGGCTGTCTGTGGCAGGCCCCTTTAATATCTGCGTGCGAGACGCAGCCTCCGCTGGCTTTGACTGTTCAGGACGGTGTTTCAATGATCGATTTTGGAGATCCTTAGTGTGTCCATATGCAGGCATCATCATGCCTGACCTGATCTTCCGGAGTAGCTTCGTTGAGCCGCAGCAACTTGACTGAAGTCGTGGACTCGTGCAAGCTTTCGGAAGCTTGTGCTTTGCAGGCGCCAGTCCTCTGTCTTCGAAGCACGGAGCCTGGCACATCCACTGAAGTCAAGCTTGGAGGCTTGGTGGAGCTGCTTGCAAGGTGCAGTCCGCGCACGTCCTGCTCCTCTTCTCCCTTGCGGAGGTCAGGCGGTGCGCCCGAGCTTGATGCCTTCCTGCTCGCCTGACCTCACTGCAACCAGCATCCACCCGCAGGTACGAGGCACTCTCAAACCTGTGCTGCATGATTGTTGTCCTCGTGGTGATGTTTGTGGGCTGCGGGGTGCCCGGGCAACTTGCTGTGGACACTCTGCTGCCACTGTTTCATGGTGTGTGGGCTGCAGGTCTCATTATGAGCTCCAGCGTGAACTCAGTGGTCCTCAAGCCGTGCTCACCTTGGGGTAGAGGTCTTGCTTCTGCTTCGTCAATAGCCAACCTTGACAGTCGTTTGGTCCGTTTGGTCATTGCCGCCATGCTTACCACAACATCTTCGGCCCTTCTTTCTTTCTTTTTCTTTCTTTCTGTTGAATAAGCCTAGCAAACCCTGCCCTTCTTTTTTGCAACCCTGGTACGGAGACTGTGCGGTTCCGCCCTGCGGAATGCAGGTGCTGTTAGCTGGAAAGCTGGCTAGAAAAGCTACTGGTAGAACAGAGCAATGTTCTAAATGACCTCAGGCCCTGCATTTCTAGTGTTACAACACACGCGGCAGATGTTTGGGATGTTTACGGGGTTAAGGCGGTTTGGCCAAGTCGGCCAAGTCTCGCACCTTTAGGACAACATCTGCCCAACTTCTCCGTAAAACAAGAGTTATCTGGGGTTGAACTTCGCGTGACCTTTGTTGAATGCACTCGATTTTCGAACCACGCGACTCCTTCCAAAACCGCTTGTGCGATCTGCCCTCCGCTCCCCCGCTCTCTTTTGGAGCCGTGCATGCCTGCATCAAAGAAGCCTTCAGAACCGCAAGATTCGTTCATTCGTGCCGTTCACACACTTCATGCACGTAATTTATGCGCTTGCACATATAATATACGTGCATTCACTCCGTTCTCTTGTTTATTACTACTATTAGGAGTCATAGCCCTGTAAAAACTTCGTGAACGGGGCAAATGCTGTATGCACAGTATTATTCATGCGTCCGTAGACTCCCTCATGATAAGACTATGTGTGCTCACTTAATGCACACGGTCGAACAAGGACGCATGAACGCTATGAACGCACCTTGACAGTCAATCCAGGCTTTGGAAGCAGATCTTGGAACTGGAGAAGGTGGTATTTTTCTGTTAGAACCTGATGTTGGGGTCCCGAGGTTGGGTTCTTAGGGTATCGCTTGTGAATGAAGGAATAGAGTGAGGAAAAGGCACTAGAACTTGGGTCTAGAACTTGGGTGAATACAACAAATCAAGGCTTTTATGAATGTAGCAAGCTAAGATTACAATAAGAGTTGTTTTGCGAGACAACAAGATACGACGTGCCCAGACCCGTGTGCTAAACGCAGCTTGGCTGCTACGGGCTGGAAGCACGAACTTGAGCGCTACGGTTTCTGAAGTTCGAAGCGCCTTAAACGAGTTAAACGAGTACGAACTTGCATGTTGCGATTGTGCAATAAATCACCAGTACGTACGAAAGTGTGCGCTGCAGCTTCGCAAAGTGGCAAGGTGCACTCGGATGATTCACCAAGCGAACTGGAAGACACACGACAATGGAGGCTGTGGATGCGCAGGTTCTAAACAAGCACCAAACAGCAGCTGCATCTGATTTTGCTCGGTGCTCCGTTCGGGGCAAACACGAAAAATTCTCAACTTTTCCCATGCGACAGCTAACGTGTTTTTGTATCTCAAGCTTGTACAAGCTTCTGGCACACAAATCTCGGCACAGGGGGTAAGCTTGTTTCGCAAACGCTTAATGTCTTAATGTCATCTCACTTGCGGAAAGTAGTCCTGTTAAGTTCGGCGTCATGCGTAAGCATGGTGAAATTTTCCTGCGCGACGGCCACAACATCTCTTGTATCTCACGCTTGTACGTGCTTCTGGCGCAAACCTCGGCACGCATGTTTAATCTCGCAACCAGACTCTCAATTTCATCTTACTGGTGGAAAAAGGTGATTTTTCTCCATGCCTGGTTATGGGCAAGCACGACCAGTGCCTGTGCGATCTCGACAAACGGGGATCGGCAAGTTTCATGCGCGGCATATTCTTAGTTTTGACCCTTGCGAGAGCCAACCAGACTCTTGCATGTCAAGTTTGTGCGTGCTGGCACACAAATCTCGGCTCGTGGGTATCTTGTCAAGGAGCTCTCAATGTCATCTCACTTGCTGGGTTCGGGGCAAACACGGCGAATTTCCCATACTTTCCGGGCAGCAATGCACTCTTCCAAAAACATTGTACGATCAGCGCGCCGTGCATGTGGATCGAAAAAGCCCTTCAACCTCACTACGCCTCCCCGGACCGGTGAGGGGGTCAAAAGAGGCCGGGGAAAGAGGGGGAGGGGGGATCGCAAGCGTGGTCCATCGTCACAGACAAGAAGCTCCAGCTTCATGGCTTAAAGAAACATCTTGGGCAGCCTTGAAGCTTAAAATCGAGATCTTGGCTGGGAAGCCCGAAGTCCCAAAACCCTGCGGGCTGTCGACTGGGCAACGAGATGTTGGGCAAGCGGAAAACTGCGAAGAGTTGGGGGCAAGTTTGGTTTCGGCTCGGGCAAGTGACGTTGAAAACGGTTGACCGAATGATGGGATTACCCGTCGTGCGATCTGTGCCGATCTGTGCTGAAGGCTCCAGCGCGTGGTGACTGTCTTGCGAGAGCATTGCGTGCCCTCCCCAGAAGTGCGCGTGAAAGTGCCGTGAGGTGTCTCTCATATACTTTCACTGCTGTGTTTGATCATTCGGGCCTCTCTAACCTTGTATACGGAAGACCACGAAGCTGAGGCCGAGATCATGAAAATGTCCATGCAGATCCGAGCCAAAACCGACAACGACAGTAAGGTAAGCGTCCACGGAACTGCAAGCTTTGTGCAGATGCGGACGCTGAATGTAGATTGACATCAAAGGAGGCTCCTTCCCGTGTCCCGACGATGAATGAAGCGGATGCTGAGGATACGGCAGTCGAAAGTCCGTGCGCATGTCAGAGTCAGAGTGGAGCACGGCATGCCATGGCCCTCAGGACAGTGAGCTGGACCTCCTTGAGAAGGCCTTTGAGTTGAACCACTTTGAGCAGCTAGCTGTTGAGCTAGCTGTCGAAAGACTCTTGAAAGAGTCGTGCCACGGCAGGTTTTGACCAAGATCGTCAGCATCTGTGAGGTGGTGATTCCGACCAGGAGGCGGGCATCCAATCAGGACCGAGTTCGCATTGCTAGCCGCGTGATAGCAATGATGGTGCCCAAATGCCGGCAACAAGCTAAGCACAAACACAAGACATTTGCCGCAGGAGGAGTTTGTGTTTCTTGTTGACTATGGCGCGGAAAGCTCTTGCCCGAGGGCTGGTGGCTTTTGTTGCCGCTTCCTTGCTGACAAATGTCAGCGCCCTAGCCCCGAGAGGTCGAAACGCTGGCCACGTGGACGCACCCATTATGTCGGAGCCCGAGATGCTCTCAGAGCGTTCCAGAGCGTTCCCATGTCTGCGAGAATTCAGAGGTTTTGAACGAATGCCTGCAGAATGAAGTGCTACGATTCGGGCAGGAGATTGGAAACTGCCGACCACATCGAAGACACATCGCCGCTTGCCCGGATGCTCTCTGGTTTCGCGAGGAGGGAGAGGCCTCTTGAGCCTAAGGGCTGGAATCGACGATGACATGAAGCAACTGTTGGACAACAGAGTGCTGAATGTCTTTGAGGTCTGCGGCCTTTTCCATCAAAAAATGTGCAACTTGCAACTGCAACTGTTTCTAACTACTGCCGAGGTGCCACCGGACCAACAGCGCAACCTGGCTTTCCATCTCATGGCCAACACTCGCAGCTGCCGACGCTGGGTGAGGAAACCGGGCAGTTTGTCGCGAACTGCCTCGTTCTTCCAGCGGCCATCTTTGTTCTGCTTGCAGGAAGCAAGCCTTGTCGGAGAAGCTGGTGAACTTCATTGCTGCAATACAGAGCAGAATGCCGAGACTGCTTCTTCGTAAGTTGTTGGTTAGGGTGTGAACATCGCGATCCAAGGCAGATATCTGAACAATCCCTTCCACAACTTCTCGCATGGGCAGTGGCCCCAGTTCTGCAATGTTCCCTGATGTTCTGCGATGTTCTGAATGGACCTTGCTGCAGCCTCTCTAGGTACCATAGATGAGGTTCGAGTACACTAGGTGTCATGTTCAAGCTTACTCAGCAGGCCTGTAAAATTTTAAGGGATGCAATCCGGGTTCAGTGCCTTCGTGGCTCGGTGGCCTGTTTGGCTTGGCTGCTTAGCCAATGTGGGCTCATGTTACGTTGTCTGCCAGCAAACACGCGACCTCTGATTGAGGCTGGATGTTCTTGCAGAAGCCCGACTCTACCTGCACAGCATCAAGTCCTACACGCTGTTGTCGGAGGTGCCGAGCAGTACAGCAGAGTCAGAGCAGTCAGAGCACGCGCCACGGGCGCAAGTGCGTCGACCTCCTGCGGTTTTCCGGCGTCAGGTGACGGTGTTTTGGTTCTTGATTGCTGCCTTGGGACACGATGTCGGTCATCTGGGTGTGAACAACCAGTTCCTCGTCACAGCCTCAGAAAAGGAGATCCTGGGAGCGCAGCAACAGCAGCAGCCGCAGCGCAGCAAACCCCGAGCCCTTTTGGGCTCAGGTCGAGACATCGCACGTGCTAGCGTTGAGGCTAGCGGCGCGCAGGCCAAAGATTGAGGTTGGATGTTTTTTCTGTGCACAGGTACAATGACAAGTCTGTGCTGGAGAACATGCACTGCAAGCTTGTTTTTGAGGCCAGGCATGCTTCTTTCTGGACTTGAGACTGTTGCTTGCAAATCGAAGGTTCTCAGCGAAGCACGGAACAATGTGCTGGAGGTTTGCCAGCTTGTCCTCGCTTGCATGGTAACTGTTTCGCGCTTCCCAGCTCTTGTTTCCAAGGTTTTGGACAAAGCCGACTACAAAACGGCCAGATCGGGCATTGCAGAGTCCTCAGCAGACGAGTGGCTGGTTGTGGGCATGCCGGAAGTTGCAGTTTGCTGCGCTTGGCGGCCCTTTGTGCCACATCGGTTACGTCTGTGGCATGTAAACATGGCAGAAGGTAGAGGTCATCCTGGGCACGGACATGGTACGACACAGTGAGGATGTGAAGGCCGGATATGTAGCCAAGCTCTCTTATCATTCTCTTATCCGCGGGCTTTGGAAAGACTCGAAGGCCATGTCGATTGTGTACGCCATGCACCAGGAGGTGCATGATGAGAATGAGAACCCGTAGCCAGCGCATGGCCGCCCTTCAGCTGGGCACGAGTGGCAGATTGGCACGCTGTGCCAGGTCTTCGAATCAGCCCAGGAAGATCCGAGCCAGCACAAAGCTGAGTTACAATGAGATGTGCGCTGACAATCGTCTGAGTGGGGTGGTGTCTGGAGTTGTTGTGGCAGAGGCTGAGCCACGCGCTGCAGGAGGACAACAAGAGTCGGCTGAAGGCGTGGACGGAGAGTGGCGACAAAGGATTACCTCACAAATCAATTGTCCTAGCAGGTCTTATCGTCATTGTTCTTGCCTCAGACGTTTTTGCAAGGCTGCCGCACACAACACTTGCAGTCTGTGAGGCTTCATACAGCGGACATCTCCAATCCCATGAAGCCTTGGGTTGCGCCCACAGCTGCTGGACGTTCCTGCACTTTTCTTCTTCCATGGCAGCTTCAGCTCGGGGTTTCTTGCCTGGCCCCCAGGCCATCTGCCAACATTTAGCAGACCTTTGCTTGGAAGAGTTCTTTGCTCAAGGAGACAAGGAGAAGGCCCTCTCGAGGGTGCTTTTGGACGCCTCCTCTGGGCATCAAGCCTCTGTTGCAGGAACTTGGCATTCCTGTGCAGATGCTCAACGATCGGGACAAGGTGAACCGTCCAAACTCACAGGCACGGCACAATCCGTGGCATGCCACAACACGTCATTAGCATAGCCACAGCATGGCCAGGTGGGATTCATTGAGTTTGTCATCGCACCTCTCGCAGAGCAGATGGTCGGTCTCCGAGCTTTAGCTTCATTTCAAAGCAGCACAAGGGCAACCGAGATGACGTCGAGATGAGGCCATCATCTTCCCTGGACTGTCCTTCCTGCCTGCAAACCTCAGCATGGGCCTGATCTACTCCGCAGGCCCTTGTTGATTGCATGGGGCCCCCCTACCGCACGCACAGGCACGAACACGCAGAACTGGGCTGAGATTTGGAAGCAGACGCCCATGGCCCAGCGACCGACGACTTGTTTTCATGTTGTGCCCACTCTACCCGAGTGGTAGAACAGACGGACGGCCCTGCGGTCGCCTGGACGTTGCCTTATGTTGTCCTCAGATCTAGTGCATCGACGGAAGAGCTTGTGAAGTTTGACGTGCGGATCTCGAAAGCCACGTTCTGAGAAGAGACTTCGGTCTTAAATGTAGGCTCTCCAAAACCTCAACCCGTCATCACTCTAAGCGGCCTTAGCGGTCTCAGAATCGAGCTCGCCTGCTGAAGGTCACTGGTCGATTCAAGGCTCCCGGCCTCAAAACCCCTGCAAGGGCAAGGGTATAGTCTCTCGTGATGCTGCGCCTACCAGAGCAAGTGCCCTGAGGCCTTTAACCAGCGGCGGGAGGTTAACGTGCGGCAGTCGCTCTCGGCTGCGGCCTAAGATCAGCCTCTTCTGCTCTATGAATCGATGTAGAACCCTAAGGGGGGTGGGGCAGGGGGGGGGGCCGGGGCCAGAGAGCGCGCGACAAGCCTAAACCGCACAATTATGTGAGACGCAATGCCAGCCCGAGCTCAGGTGCAGAGTGAAGTCTCCGGATAAGGCACTAAACCGTCACCAACCGCGTCACTACCCATTAGAGTTAGCGATGAACACTCGAGCGAGTTCCTTGAAAAGGCTCGTTCTTCTTCGCAGAAGTGTGCCAAAGGCACCTTAATTTTCGTTTCACAAAGTTGGAGACAGCTCGTGGGCATTGCAATGGCCTCCGAAGACCAACGCTGCCGTTGACGATCAGTATCGAACCGTTCATAGCTGGTGAAGTTGAGATGAGGAGGCCCGCAAGCATTCTGGCCTTGAAGGAATTCTGTATGCTTGCAGAGGAGACGATACGTGTGGCAATGTGTGAAAAATGGTGTTCACTTGCTCACTGTCTTGCAGAGTTCCGGGCTTTTTGAGGTTGTACTAGATGGTCACACAACATTGGGTATCAGAAGACGCCTACTTACTTCCCTCAAGGAGGTGCTTTGAACACCATGCAGAACCCTCTTGGCTTGCATTGCTAATGTGGCTGGACAAGACAGGTGTTCGGTGTCGAATCGCCAGCACCCTAAACCCAAAGCCCCAAATCCCCCAGCCCAAAGTGAAGGGGATCAGAAAGCAGCCTCTCGCCAACCAGTAATCTTGATCTGCCTGCAGCCGCACTTCGAAAACCTCAGAGGTTACTGGGGAGAGACTTGGGAAGATTTCTGGGAAGCCTCACTTCCTATTCCCTAAGACGATTTGTGCTTGAACTCGGCTTTGCTCGGGCTGAGGTATCCTTCGGGTGTGAAGCCTGGGGACCAGGTTTCTGGATCTGAGCCGAGCTCAGTCTCTGGTGGGTTGCAAGTGAAATCTCACACGAGACTACAAAGCCTTTACATGCTCAATGCTCGTCTGTGAAGGAAGGGGAGTATTTCAGGCCAGTGCCTCGCTGGACGGAAGACCGAGCATTGAGTCAACCTGAGCTAGCCAACAAGTTCTGCGCAGGTACAAGCATGTCTTCGTGAAGCCCCCGGACGATGAGGAGCATCGCAGCTCATCGCTAAAGAAGTCATCGCTCTCGGCAGCGGTGACAAGAAGGGGGCGAGCAGGGCGGGACTGCTGACAGGGGCCTCACCATGAGAACTCATGACAGGATCGTGTGGAAGCGCTGAAGATGGCGGCGGACTTCAAGTGCACTGCCTGTGAGGCCAGCTATGACCGTCGTGAGATGTCGCAAGTGCTCCAAGGCTCTAACGGAAGCAACATGAGAATATCACTGCTGCTACTGCTACTGTAGGCGCCACCCCCGAGTGTTTAGGGTTTAGTGCTTATTAGTGTTTATAGGGTTTAGGGTTTAGGGTTCAGGGTTCAGGGTTTAGGGTTAAGGGTTTCGGGTTTCGGGATCGGGCTTACCAAATACTCCACCGTTGGATGAGATAGTAGGGTTACAAGACCAAAATTCAGTGTTGGCGAACATCACAACAACCCAAAAACATCGCGCCTGCGCAACTCCAGACAAGAGCGCGGGCAACCCGTCGTTTGCAAATTAGCAGAGGGTGGTCGTTTATGAAAAAAGCAAAAAGAAAGACAATGTTTGCGGACGTCCAAACACCGGAAACATGGCGCCTGCGCAAGTTTCGTGTACCTCAAGACAAGAAGCGGGGGCAAACCGCCGCTTTGCACCGTACTAGTACTAGTGCTGGTGCATGAGAATATCACTGCTACTGCTACTGCTCCTGCTGCTGCTACTGCTACTGCTATTGCTACTATGACCACTGGCAGGTATGCATTTGGATCTTTGTTATGCTCTTACTGATCTTTATACATCTTTTTTGCTCCGCTGCCCTCTTGGCTCCTCTCGTTTCACTTGGCAACTCTCACACACTTTGCTTGTGCTATGCAGGTTCTCCTCCAAAGTCTGCTCCAGCGTGCTGAGTCCCTGACGGAGGAGCGCCCAAAAGCTCTCCGAAAGGAGCAGCTCCAAGACATTTTTCGTAATTTTGCGTGCTTTCGATGCAGGATCATATCATGGACCAGTTCGATGGCGAGCTTGAGGAAACCGTAGCAAGGACCTCAGATCCTGAGAACTTGCTTGTGAGCTCCGTCGGCACCTTCGCAAGCCTGAAGGAGCTGACCGACAATCCCCAGGACAGATCGGTTTTTGGTGTCTTTCTTGGAGGACGTCAAGCTGGTGGATCACACAAGACAATGTGGCATTTGTCATCGAAGGCTTGAGACAGGAAGGGAGTTTGAAGCTTGAAGCCTTTTTCAACGTCTGTGGCTCGAGCAAGCCCATTCTGGGGCCCAGAATTTTCACAATTGCTCAGCATCTGCATCCAAAATCACATTCTCTTTCAGCGTCTGTCCTGACCGGAGTTTGGGGGTTTGCTGCTCCGGCCCGAGTGATGGGAGCGAAGGACCGGGAGCCGGGAGTCTTCCCGAAAGTGAACCTGTAGCCTCAGAGTCAGATGGGCGATGCAATGGTGTGGTTCTCGACCAGGCAGGCCGGCTTCTTTTCAAGCTCTGCTTCTTGCGGCAAGACTGTCCTATCAAAGCAACCCGTGAGGTGTCGCGCCAAATGTGACGGAGGTGGCAGGCCTGGGGCCTGGACCTGGGTTGTTGGGGACATGGCTGGGGAAAGCTGCGCTTAGGTTTGGGCCTTCCAAGGCGAACGGCACTTGTCCTCGGCTCAGAATTGTCCTCTGGTTTCCGAGATAGTACTAGAGCTCAATAAATCGAGATCAAGGCTGGAAGTTCATGAGCCGGAGAGTTATAAGATAGGAGTTTGCGGTGGATTTCAAGAGAAGCTACCAGCAGCCGGGCTTTGCTCAGCCGTGAGACGTTCAGTCCTAGTTTTCGTTTTTCGCCTTGAGAATACCGGATCTACTGCACGTTCTCACTCGAGGCAGCAGTGGTGCTGCACCTCCGGGATTTGCCGCTGTTTCGCAGCTGGAGATGCCACGCCAGGTGGAGGATTTCTTGTGTATCCGGAAACCGGACCACCATTTCATTCATTTCCATCAGGCGGCTGGCGACACCTTTCGTCGCCGTGAGTGCGATCCTCCATCTCGGAGCCTCAGTGCCTGATTTGCCATGTGCGACTGTCGAGGCGGGCAGCGTGCAGCCTTCGCCGGCCTGTGCCAGGTGCGGCAGCGCGAGGGGGAGGCCAGCACAGGTCGACACAATCCTAAACACGTGAAGAAAGGACCGGCAACCTGGCGAGCTGGTGGCCTTCGCAGGCGCCACCCACACAGCTCCGGATCGTACCTTTGAGTTCGGTGCACTTGCACTGAGGTGAGGCTCCTCCGTTGCCAAGAACTCGTTCGTGGCTGCTGATCAGGCTGCTGCAGGCGTGCGGCAAAGTCCACGTGACGCGCAGGCACTATCGACTACCGGTGCCGTCTTTCAACAGGCCTTGCCAAAGTGGAACGTGTTCTATCTGGCGCTGGATGCTGTGTGGCTACAACCGCTCTCAGGACGCAGGAGCCCCATTCACAGCGAGATAGAAGCGTGACCTTATCTGCTTGTACATGCAGGCTGGAACACAGAATCCGACGTTGTGGTTGTTGGACGGTGGCATCGCGCGTGCAAGCCGCGCCGCATCGGGGCGCTAGCCTCGCCAATGCTGCCAAGCAAGATCCTCTCTGCTGTGTGGCTGTGCTGAGCTTAAGGGGATCTCAGGGGCCTTCAGAAGCATGCTAACACAATGTGGCAGCAAGGATGAACAAGCATGGATGTCGGCAGCACTTGTGCTAGCGGGTCGCCGTCGTTGAGGCGACCAGTGCCTGATGTTCTAGCGCTCCTGGAAGAGGCGCATCCTGATGTGTAAAAGTATGTTGCCGGGCCACATCTCACATTGTGCATTGAGTCGTAACTCAAATTCATCCACAGCTGTGTCTGTCCACGCAGTGACTTGGTACGCACGGCCACACAACTGTCCGCGCATGCATACTGTGCGTTCTGGGATCCCCTGCGAAAAGCAGTATGGAGCCGCTTTGGCTTTTAAGCAGCACGAACGGACTCAGCAAGCAAAGGTTGCATGCAACTGGTGCTTCACGGCATTTGGGTGAGATTTTGTTGCAATTGAAGATGTCGAGAAATATGCTACCAAAAAGAACTGTGCTTGCCACATCTTGCCACTTAGATTTCAAAATTCTATCTGATGTGACAGCAGCTGCCAACATAACACAGATGGACTGGAAAGATTTCGGCGGCCAAGGAGATCGTGCTTGCAGTACAGCTTTTGTCCACATTTCGTATATTTTATAATTTTATATGTCTACTGATCTACTGCCATGAAACCTCACTCTTGCCTCATCCATTTATTCAATCACCTTTGGAGCTCCGTCGCAGATGCTGCGCGACCCGGCTCTCACATGCCATACGCAACGTTGTGAAGCTGGGAAACCTGGAGTAGTAAGAGGCAGCACGAACATTCACCACAACCTCATGCATGCAAAAGATCGTTCATGAAATGAAAACAAGCAATCATTGCGATTGTGTCCACCGCCGACCTCAAAGCATCATAGGCAGCGACGCTTGAGCTGACGCTCCCGAGGTTGTCAACATGATGAACAGCTCCTCTCTTCTTGGTGCGGGGCCTACGATGCCTGGCAACTGCTGTCGTGATGAATCGCTCAAGTGTCATCAGTGTCATCAGTCAAGGGTTAGGTGGCCCAGTATCGTTTGACCTTCGCTTCGTTCTCTCGCATTTCTTGTTGCGGAGACCTGCTTTTCCTTGGTATACCATGAGAGCTCGTACCATGAGTGGGCGGGGAGAAAACAACGGCGAAGAAAACCGAACTTGTGCGCCAAGACATGTGTCCCAGAGGACCGGCGAGGATTGGCAGTGCAGGCGCTGCGGCTAGCTGTGGCTCATCTAGCTGTGGCTCAGCATCCCGCCCCCCCGGCTGACAAACCAACTGTCACCAGTTGGGACATCTGGACTGGTGGGCCTTTCCTTCTTGATCTACGGCGGAACCGGAACAGAAACTCTTCGGGCAAGCACAGGCATTCGCTTGGCTTCTGGCAATGCCTGTCTCCTAGACAGGCTTCTTGGGATGAGGTTGTAGCTTTAACATACTTTAGCCCTGGTGGCTTCTTGAACTATCTTAAACTATGGCCCTTTTGGCCCTAGGGGTTGGATGCGGTGCTCCATCGCCTTCTCCGCATTACCCTCCTTCAGGAGGGCAGCGCTCCTGTCCAAGGGGTGTTCTCATTTGGGGTACGAGTGCACCCTCTTGGTACAACCCTGCCCTCGCTTGGGCTGCTTGGACGTGCCCGTGGTCCCAACCACTGTTTCACGTCATGGTGCATGGTCGAGGACCATATCGCTGGAACTAAGGGGCGAATCACGCAGGTCGCCTTGGTGCTGGTGCTCAAGCACCTGCGTGCAGTAGCCTCGCGATCCTTAGGTAGATTGCAAGCACTTCTTGAATGGCGGTCCGCCGTAGATTGTGAGGATCTTCTGGCAGTTGTTGTACGCAGCCATGCGTCAAAGAAAGCTGTCATTCGCAGTGCACAAGAAAAGATGGATAACGTAGGGACCATGGTTTGTTGAGAGTTTCTCAGATGATCAAGATGCAGCTTCTGCTTGGAAGAAGTTGATGCGAAGTGAGGTCTGGGAAGCTTGGCGGAGGCACGGCAAAGGGCTGTCGTGGGCCTTTCTGAGAGACTTGCTATGACTTGCTCTGCCATCTGCACTGACCAGGAGTCTGTTGTCTTTCACAAGGTTTTGCAGAGGGACCTCGCTATTGGCAAGGCCAGGCACTTCGGCTCGAAAGTGGCTCGAAGTTTCGTGTAGATGGGTGCCTCCTGAGGTGAAGATCTCCTACGTCGTGGGTGCTGTGACCAGCTACGAGCAGTTCACCGGACGATCTCAGGCAATCCTTTTGAGAACGTCCCCACAAGGTCACCCAGAGGAAGCGAACGCTTTCCGGCAGGTTCGGCAATTGCTTGCAGCCGGTCACTGGCTCTGTGCCGAGACCGAGTTTGCGGATGTGGCTGGGACTTGGGACCCAACTTCTTGCGTTAAGCCAGATCGGTTGCATGACGTGGACGTCTCTGTAAGTTGTGCGGGCGCGATGCGGGGCAACCAGGACATGTTCTACCACAATGGGTTTCGAACCACCTACTCAGTCTCCCAGAAGGGAGAGGTGGAACATGCCAAACTTGCATTTCAAGCTGCTCCAGATAGTAGCAGGTACGAGCAACGCGCGCTGATGGATCCGGCGTTGGGCATCTCCAGGCTCCAGAGATCTCAAGAACATGTGTTGAGCTGGCCACTTTTGCTTGTGTCGATATCATATGCAGCGTGAGCGATCTATGCTTCAAAGACAGATCAGGCCGTCGAAGCTGGAAGGTTCAGTGTTTCGGCAAGAAAGTCAGTCGGAAGTAATGTTGCTTGAGCCAAATCCACATCTTGATGTTTCAGATTCACAGCCGAACTCAGCTCCTGCGAAGGTCACAAGCTGCTTGGCATCCATCGCCCAGGAACATGGGAGCGGTTTCGTCTCGAGAGCGCTGCCCCTGAAGCCTGCCATGCGCCCACCCACACTGTGCTGGTCCTTTTGGAGCTTGCACTGTGAGGCCCTGGCAGGCTGCACTTGCAACATTGGGAGCAGGTCCCACCCAAGCCCTTGAGCTGAGAGAAGATCTGTAGGGATCCTTGAAGGAGACACTCGTGTCCATCGCCAAGGGCTTCCGGAAACGGCATCCACTCTTGCCAGGCGGCCATGAGTACGTCCATTATTGGCATGTTGCGGTCATGAGTCTTGCAGAGAGACGACTTATGTATGTTAAGAGTCCAGGGGACTGTGGGCATGCACATCTGTTTTAAATATGTTCTATCACTCATGCTCGACAATACGCATGCAACTGATTAGAGCAAAAGTCTATATTTAGTATATTTAGACGACGTTTTGCAAAACTAACATGCCTTGGGTGTTACTTATCGGGGTGTGAATGCCTTGTTGATTATACTAATTACTGCAGAACCTGGCAGAACCTCTCTCATTTTGCTTCTTGAGTTTTTCACTATGTGTGAGTGCATGCTGTGCAGGCTATCCAAGTGAGTCTACACCTTGCTTAGTTAGGACAAGACGGGGCACTTCCCTAAAGCCTCACTCCTTCACCTTAATCCCTCGAAGCAATGCTCATGCTTGAGGGGGATTGAATAAATGCATGAGTAGTCAAGCCCTCACTCCCCCACCTCAATTGTTTAAAGACATGGCAATGGTTATCGTTAAACGAAATATTGTTGGAGTATTATCTTGAATTAATCCAAGCATCCGAGACCCCCCATCCTAAACCCTCACTCCTCCACCTTAATCCTTCAAAAAACACATGTTTATTATTAGGGGAAGATGTAGTAACTCTGTACTTAAGCCCTCACTCCTCCACCTTAATTCTACCAGAAGAATACTTGTTTATCAAGAGTGGATAAATTGTTTGAGGTTTATATTGAATTAACCCCAGCATTCAGTACCCTAAGCTGTCTACCCGAAACCCTCACTCATATCACCAAGTGTAGACAACTAGAAAACGGTTGGTTTTAGGGGGAGTTGCATATATACATATGTATATGTATATGTATATGTATATGTATATGTATATGTGTATGTGTATGTTTATGTTTATGTATATGTATATATAGATGTATATATATATATATGTATATGTATATACATATACATATGAGCGAGAGAGAGAGAGAGAGAGAGAGAGAGACAGAGAGAGAGAGAGAGAGAGAGAGAGAGAGAGAGACAGAGAGAGAGAGAGAGAGAGAGAGACAGAGAGAGAGAGGGGGAGGGGGAGACCCTTCCTCAGGCCCCATAGAAGAAGAAGAAGAAGAAGAAGAAGAAGAAGAAGAAGAAGAAGAAGAAGAAGAAGAAGAGGAGAGAAAACAGCCCGCAGACTCCCTGTAAGCATGGCCCACTAGTATAGGGTCTTGCCACGGGGTTGGGGAAAGGAGGGAGTCTGCACAGTGCAGCAGATGCAGTCGTGTCACACTATCGCAGGGGAGTAGTTCTGATGCCCAGGTTGTGCCCTAAGAATAGGAGTGTATGCCCTGGCCGCTTTCCGCCCTCTTGATAGTTTTTCTTGTGGACCTCAGCGGGGAAGACTAACATTTTGTGTGTGTGTGTGTTTACACTGGAACGGGGGAAGTCTTCTCGGGAGGGGTCTATACGTCTCGCGCCGACCTGGATTCAGACTGGGCGTGCCTTGTGCGCGGAGGGTGCTTGCCTGCACCCTTCAAGCCCCGAAGAAGAAGAAGAAGAAGAAGCAGAAGAAGAAGAAGAAGAAGAAGAAGAAGAAGAAGAAGAAGAAGAAAAAAAAGAAAGAAAGAAAGAAAGAAGGAAAGAAAGAAAGAAGGAAGGAAAGAGCGAAAGAACGAAAGAAAGAAAAAACTATATACAGACAGAAAGAAAGAGTAGCCCTGAATACCGGGGCAGGCGAGGACGCCCGGCAAGCCCCCTTACCCCCAAGAAAGACAGAAAGAAAAGAAAGAGAGAGAGATCGGGGGGCCTCTTCACTGAGTAGAAGAAGAAGAAGAGCGAGCGAGCGAGCGAGAGCGAGAGCATTCAATCTTGCAGCTTGCAGGCTGTGGCTGCCCTGAAGACCACGTTTGGTGTGTCCATGCCTCGGCACAGCGAGTTGCTGGAGCACGCTGGCTTCCCAGCGCTGTGAGGTGCCATCCGTGTCGTGCTCAGCTCCCAGTGCCTGCAGCCCCCAAAAAGAGGAGGCCAGAACCTTGGCAACAGAAAGGTCAACAGGCTTAGTGGCTGTGCTTGGAGTTGGTAAGAATATGTAAGAATGTGTTCGAATGTGTAAGCCTCCATTCTGTTTCAAGTGCTTTGTGGGCCAGTTTGGAGAGGCCTGCATCAGTGCGTCGGTCGAAGCGGCCGAGACGGGTTTGAACCGGAAGGATGCGCGGGTCCGGCCATCACCCCGGTGCCCAAAGATGTTTAACCGCGCTTCTCCCTGCGCTCTGAGTACTTCTGAGCCTCTGAGGCATCTTCTACGGGTGTCAGCGATGTCTGGGTGGCAGGTCGGCCTCCAAAGCAAAAAGCTCTCGTATTCCAGAGTACTTGAGAGGCTAAGCAGGTGCCAATTGGTGTTGGCGGTGGCTTTAGCTCCAAGCTCCAGATGGCAGTTGGACGAGCCGCCGGTGCCTCGCGTTTGCTGCACAACGTGCTCTGAGTCTAAGTGGCGGCGCCGCAGACTGTTTTAATGTCGAGCTTTCCCGAGGTCAAGGCAATGCGCTTTGGCAAGCACCCAGAGTTTGTCGGGCATCTGGGAAGATATACCAACAACTCGGAATGTCTGCGCCTTTCCCATTTCCTGGGTTCTCGTTGTGTTGATCCACGGCTTGGTTTTCCAGGCCTTGCTTTCCTCGGTGAGGCCTGTCACTTGGTTGTTCGCCCCTCCCCCCCCCAGGGCTGCCAATGGACTGACGATGAGCGCACTGCAGGTGCAGTTTCGTCACAGTGGCTGGGCGTGCTTATTCAAGGCAGGCAGATGACGAAGATGCCGTTTGCAACATGGAAGCACGTGCAAGGTTTTTTGAAATGCCTAGCCGGAGCTGCAACGTGCGCAACTCTGTGCGACCTACAGGCTCTGCCGAGAGCCTTTCGCAGATGGTCCCGGACAGCTGCACAAAAATCTAGACTGCGAATGCTTTCCGCTGGTGCGGTGCAGGCACGTGATCAAGCTTGAAGGTAGCGTCTACTTGTAGGAATATATGTGGCTCAGTTTTATGTTTAACTTGCACTTTTCTGTAAGAAGGAGAGAGTCATTGTCTTTTTTTCTGCGTTTTCGCTAGGCGGCAGCTTGGCAACCTAGCAGATTGATCTGGTCCTTCTTCGATCGCTTTCGGCCTGATGCCTTCTGATGCACACCGCACAATGAGAGCTTCGCTGAATTTAACTCCGCTATTCGCTTAGGCAGCAGGCAGAGTTCCAAGCAGGCGCTTCTCTGCAGTTTCGGAGCCACACAGGACAGCAACCATCGCTTCTTGAAGAGGTGCATCCTCACCTTTGTTGGCTGTGCATGTCCGCCGTGGTGACAAAGTCGTGTGCCCGGATAATTGACTGAAATTCTGCACGAACTTCGGTCTGTCTCGGACAGCTGAGCTTAAGGTGACCAATCCTTTTAACAGATATCATTCGGTTCAGGACTATGTCGCTCAGGTGCCTTGTGTCGAATGAATGAGCTCGAGCTCGTTCTTGCTTCGTCTCGATGCTCGCAGGTCCTGCAAGCAGCGAAAGAACTACAGCTATGCATGACAGAGATGTGCCAGACAGGATCTCGGCACAGTTACGACAGGCAAAAGTCAAGACGGAGCGTGGGCCCAGGCTATATGTTGCATCAGACTCGCCAGATACACTGGACGAGGCGTGGATGGCGAGTAAGTGAGAGACGAACCTTTGTCCAAGTGTCTGCCATCTCGGAGGCCATGGGTGCAGTGCAAGCTGTGCAAGGTGTGCAAGGTGTGCAAGGTGTGCAAGCCCGCGGCCTGAGAGTTTTGTCAAGAATCCAAAAAAACAACAGCAGCAGATCAGGTCATCGGGCTCCGCAATTCGGAGACCCATCGTCGAAGTGCCATCGGTGTGGAGGCCGGACCGCTTTCATTCGCCGAGCCTTGTCCCAATGTCGCCTGACAGGTGGCCAGTTTTATGCCGGGTGATGCCATGGCTCTCCAAATGGCCGCCGAGGCGGAAGGGCCGGGGGCCGTGCCTATCCGTGCCTGCAGCAGCAGGCAGCCCTTAGCATAGCTGGCATAGCTGCGCTGAGAGAGGTGATGTTTGACATTGACATGCTGAGCCGCGCACAGGTAGTGGCATACTTCCCAGTTGCCAGTAGTCTCAGTCTGCCTGGCATGCCTGGCGCAGCATCTCTAAGGTAGGAACGTTGGCCTCGCAGGCAAGTTGCCCCATCGATACGCTTATGCGACATCTGAGACAACAGCAAGAGTGGCTGCCGCAGGTCACGAGAGTTGGCTGCAGCATTGGGTTTGCCAGGAGGCTTGACGTGTCGAACGTGTGTAAGCAAACGGGCTGGAACAAGAGAGAAGGAGCAAGAAGTGGTGCAAGAGGCTCATCATTCGTCCTGGAAGGAAGCTTCTTAAAGCCGTTGCGTTGGACTATGAGCTTTTGCAGAGCCAGAAGGACTTGCACAAGCAATGGGATGTTCGTCTTGCGCTTACGGCAGCGAAAACAGTTTTGCCTGTCCAAACCTGCGTAAGTTGTGAGGTGTGGACGACGTGCCATGGTCACCGCCAGCATGGAATCATGATGCCGGAAGTTAGCTTCTCTTTCCAAACACAGCCTTGCTGTGTTTGGAACCCTGTAGATTGCTGAAGGTACCTGTGCAAACAGCACGCACCTCGACAGCATGCATGCGACCTCTCAAAATGCCAGTGCTCCAGTCAGCTCGAACAGCGCTCATTATGTGCCAGTACAAGTCCTGCTTGCTCATCACAGCTGCCATGTTGGTGCTTTTGTGTGTTTGTGACATCTTTGGAGTTCGTGAGTCCACAGAGAGTGCAGATGACGGTCTGTGCCAGCTTGCAGGACAATCGCGTCAATCGAAATAGAAGAGGTTGCAACAAGCACTTCAAGGACGTACAGTAGAACCCTTGCACCGGGGGGTCAAGGTCTCCCACTCCTTCAGCTGTCGTTTTCGTCGACTTTCAAGACTGTGGTTGACTTGCACAGCATTGCGCATCATGGGGTTAAGCTGTTTGGCGTGATCAGGACGAGCTGCTCCTCAGGCACGTTTCGACAGGGGCACGTTGTCACCACGATATATCACGATGTTGCACTCTGATGTTGAAAGCCGTTATGCATGAGTGGTCACCGCAGAACACACCTCGCAGCTGTTTCCACCATGGTCAAGCCTGATGTGCCCCACTTGCGGTGTGGGCCAGGAGCTTGGTCACGAGTGGCTAGAGATGGATGTCTTAGTCCAAAGCGCATTCGCCTATCTGAGGCTTTGATGGGGCAAGCTGAGCGGAGGAGCTTTCCGTCTGGAGCTCAGACCAGGACTATGAAGGTTGGCTTCTGAGTGGGTTTGGGGCCTCAGGTTCCTGTCGTGGCCATGGACACCCTTTCTCATGGCTTGCCTTAGCCCGGCGCCACGGAGTGTTTTAAGCCTGTAGGCACTGTAGGCCTGTCGGCGATAGCATGTGCTGGACAAGCCCGGCGCAATAGGCCGCGCTGTCCTCAGCTTGTACGTTCTGTTCTTGATCGAGGATAAGGCCGATGCTGTGATGTGTGCCGTCATGCGCCGTTTTTGTGCTCATGCGCTGTTTTTGTGCTGTTCCTTCCGTACTTGCCAGGTCATCGGCTTGGCCAGGGGCTTTTTCATCATCTTGTCCGCGCAACGGCGAGTGTACGGTGCAAGCCCTTGAGGCTCCTGTCCTGCTTCGCTCCGGCTGCTTCTATGCAGCCCGGAGCTTTGGGGGTGTCCTCCACCATGAAAAAGGGCACATGCCCAACCATGCCCAAGGTTGCCGCGCTGTTCACGACTTGGGTGTTACGCCAGGCTCACCCACTCGCAGTACTCTCATGTACTCTCCAAGGAGCCGAAGCTGAGTCAGGTGTTCTCCCTTTGCACGGTGCAGCCTACCCCCGACCTGCGAGTCCACGTAGAGCCCCTTCCTCAGCCTGGCGCCCAAGCGGAATTTCCTGAGAATGCGCTGAATGCGGGAAGGTCTGGGAGTTTCCGGGACAACTCGGTCTCCTGGGTTTCAGCCGAGATGAGGGGCTGGCGCGAAAACATGGAGGCACGATTCATTGATGGCCGGCTTCTTACAGTGGTTTACACAACAAGACTCCCCGCAGGACGCGCATGTTGCTGCGGAGCTCTGCAAAGATGCATTTGAAGGCACTAGGACACGAGGATGTAGCCATCTAAGTGTGGAAGACCTGAAGACAGTAGCAAGCCACAATGTGATCCCCTGGCAGATGCGCTGCTCTTCGCAGTACTGGATGGCCATGGAGGTGAGGAGCTTTGTTCACGGCTATCGACGCATCAGAGAGCTTTTGGGAGCTACTTCCCACGTGACGCGCTTCTGTACTCAGAGGGCCTTGCCATGCCTTGCCATGCCTTGCCTAAACTTCCAATTCTGCCGTCGACCCCAGCTCTAGAAGTGAGGCAATCTGGTCTACTGATGCTTATTGATTATCGGGACTCCAGGATTGAGAGCTTCAGGTTTGGGGTGTTAGGGCATCGTTTCTGCTTTCATGGTTGAAGCCTTAGGTTCTCCGTGACTCGTGTTTTTTTTTTAAACGGGTGGACCCGGTTTCCGACTCATTTTCCCGAGCCGGTCGTCCTTAGCAAGAACCTGTTTGGGACTAAGGCAGCGAAGTCTCAACTTTGGCCTCGAAGCTGCTGACACGGGAGATGGAGGCAGGGAGCTCTGCGAAGCTTCGTCTTGCACGTCATTTTCCATTGCTGTCTTGCTTTGTGGTTCCGCTGTCTCGTGCCTGCCTGCTACACGGCTTTCCAGCACTGCCATCCGACTGCGTTCAAAGACTTGGCGTGGCAAGGGCTCGTGCACGATTCAGAAACTGAGAAACAGGATTCTGGAAACCAGGGTTGAGGCAACAGCCCGAATGCAGGAAACTTCCTTCACGCGATTGAGGAAACTGTGGGGTTGGGAGGGGGGGGGGGAGGTTTTTGGGAGGGGGCTTTCCAGTTTCCCGAATCACCGGCCCCCCGAATCCGCGGTTTCCAGTTTTCTGACCAAGCTGTTTTCAGTTCCCCGAATCCGCAGTTTCGAGTTTCCCGAATCCCCGGTTGTCGAATCTGCGCTTTCCCAATTTCCTGAAGCAGCGGGTTTCCCGAATCCTGGATTGCCGATTCCGCGCTTTTGGTTTCCCGAATCCGCCTTTTCCCTCGCATCAGCTCCGGCAATGTTTGTTGGAATCCTGGTCTCTTTCGCTGTGAACCCCGAAATCGAAATCCCTCGAAACGTGAGATTAGGTTCCTGCGTCGAGCCCCGGACGAATCTGACCTGGACCCCAAGATTGTCGTCTATTGTCTCCGTGTTTCAGATCTGACTTCTACTGATTTCTAGATTTAGTCGGTCAGCAGCGGATTCGGAAGACTGACTCCGCTCCGCTGGGTGGATTTTTTTTTTCATGTGGAGCTGCCACAACTCTACTTGCCACTGTTTGGGGTCTTCGGCGCTTTGTTTTCTGTTGATTGCGGCTTTGTGTTGGCTTTGTGAGTTGAGTGGCAGAGTATGGTGTGGAGCTGGAACTCAAGAGTTGCTCGAAAGTGCCCGGAGAAGCGAGGCCTGCAGGAGAAAAATCCACAACGGCAAGACATCTCAGGCAGAGCTGCTGGCGGAGGCGGGGTCGGGAAATGAGAAAGCGTAGCTAGTAACCTGAGAACACTTTGACACAGAGAGACTCTCGAAAGATCGATAAGACGCCAAGGGCAACGTGCAAGTGGCGGTTGTGAAATGTTGTGAAGCCCAAGGTCATTCGGCAGTCTCTGCCGCGCCTGGACGAGAAGCTGCGCAGCGGGTCTTGGGGTGCCTCGGCCCAAAAGCTCGAAATGCCTCGAAAATGCCAAGACTCTGAGGAATCGGGTGGCTGTTCCCGGGTGTGCTACATCCGTTTGCTGCCTGCGGCTCCACTTGTGTGACCGCCGCCGTGGACTTTGTTGGGCGGGAGGCTGGGCGACACATGACGTCGCATGACTCCATATGAGGCAACGTCGCTGCCATCAATGAAGGTGATTGTCGGGAACGTCGGTGACTCCCGCGCTCTTCTCATCCGGGACGGCAAGGACTGTCCCGGACTGCAGAATACTTAGGCCGTCCCCTGACCGTAGCGGCCGCCACTATCCATGCCCTGCGCCAGGCCATAGCGTTGTCCGAGGACCACAAGCCCGAGAACCCCATCGAGCGAAACCGAATCCGAGCAGCCGGTGGGCAGGCCACAACAAACAACACGTATATAAGAAAGATCTACAGATATACATGCATGCATGTATGAATCTCCCATATGCTTAATCGGCTTAATCTCAAACCTGACGCCGCCCCGGGGGGGGGGGGGCGGGGCGAGAAATCGCGGGCGTCGCTACAACACAGCGCAAAAGCTCCGCAATGCGCTCAGATCTCGGTGACCCTCAAAACTTAACCCCGAGCCGCATAGCCACGGCACAAGCGGGGGGGGTGGGGCTGAACCCTGCATGGGGGGGGGGGGGGGGGGTTGGGTGGGTGGGTGGGTGGCTGCCAAGTGGCCACTGGCATCACCAGTCTGATGGGACGTGGTGCTACCTGCACAGGGACCCTCATTGCGCGCAGGTCATCAAAATCGGACCTTGCCACCGAGTAGACGGAAATCTAAACTTATCAAGAGCCTGCAGCTCAGCTTCTGCGTGACGGGGTTTGTGGCTTTGTCTATTGAATGCCTGAGGCATTTGGTGACTTCAACTACAAGTCAACAGCCAACCTCCCTGCTGAGAAGCAGAAGGCAAACTGCATGTGCAGGCGTAGTGCAGCTTTCACAGCAACTTGATCCTCCTTGCTTCGTGAAGGTCATCGCGTTTCCAGATGTCACGCGGACCGCTTTCCGTGGCTGGTCAGAGCCTTTGTGCTGACTGTGTGCACTACTTCCGAAAGCAGACCGTCCGTGCCCATTTCATACTTTCTTTCGCTCCTTGCTGCTGGCAAGATCTCACATCTCAAAGATGTGAGCAGTCATTTCATAGTACTGCGACCCGGCGCCCTCAAGGCGAGACATGGGACCGGCCTGTGGCTGTGGAACCCGATCCCCCCCTCCGGCCCCCAAACCTGCATCAACCCATGTCAACCCACATCCTCCAGAACAGGGTCTTTGCCCCAAGAAACCTTCAAGATGTCCTCCTCCTCGCTTTGAGGCCACAGGAGCTGCTGGTCCTCGCCTGCGACGGCCTCTTCGAGCGCTGTTCGAATCAGGAGAGCAGAGGGACAGAGTCATGGAGGGTCAATCTGCTGCGGCGCTGTTGTCAGATGATGTGTGTGAGACGCTCTTGAGACAAAGTGCCGTCATATTTGTGTCGGCTTCCTTCACGAAGGATATAGCAAATCTCATCTGGCCACGGCTGAAGATGGCTATGCCTCTGGAACAGATAGCGTCTTGGCCCCGGTGCGCATCCAGCAAAAGGAAGCCTGGCTTTCGAGCTTCGAGCTTCGTGAGCGGAGAACTTAGGACAGAAGTGCTCCACGCATGCTGTGCCCGGTCTGCTCTTCTTGGTGTTGGTTGATATTGGTATTGTGCTCTTTGTGCTCCCTTGAACTCTTGAGCCAGCATTGGCCGCCAGGTCGTCACGAGGCAGACCCATCGAAGAAGGCTGATGCATGAACCGACGTACAGGGGTTCAAGGGTCGTAGAAGGCATTCTAAAGTTGTATCCAGGAACAGACAACGAGACGATCATCTTGATCCGGCTTCCATCAGACAGCAATGGCCTCAGATGGGCCATGGAAGCATGCATTTGCGTGGGACGCGACCCGGTACGCAGCGCATCGCCACTCTGAGGCCGGGTAGATGGTGCTGGCCCTGCAGGCCCTACTAGTGGAACCGAAGAGCCCCTGGCATCCGGCCAGCGGGTCCGCGTCCGTCTCTCATCCTTGAAAGGAGCAATGCAGGGCAACAGGCAACAAAATGCTTCGCAATGCTTCGCAGAACAGCGCTCGGACTGTGCTCAGGTTCAGAACCTGGAAAGCTGGAGCCTTTTCTGATGACGTATGCTTCGTGCCACAAGTCTGCGCTCATGCTGACCAGGTGAAGCTGGACAGAAGCTAAATGGGCTGGAAGGCACCGTCGAGGCAATCTGAAACCGCCGCTTCACATCCATCGGAAGGGGCTACTCCAGTCTTTACATCTGTCTAAAAGTCACACATCCACACTGCGCATGCACTTCTTTGCGAGGGTGCGGGCAGCTGCGAGGGCCGCTACAGCGTTCGTCTTTCAGGCCTTCGTTGGGGTGTTCTGTTCCATGGTGTTCCATGGCGTTTTTCGTTCTCACGGCGCCTTCACCACTGTGGGGTTCTCGGCAGCGCGGCGGGAGCAGCCAACCGGGAGATTCGGAGGGCATGTGGTCTGAGAAATTGCAGGGTGTCCTGAGAAAATCCGCGAAACATGCCGTGGCAGAGAGTGCGTTCTTTGGGGTCTATGTCGGCGAGCAGCAAAGTTCGGTGTTTGCTGTTGGCTTAAAATCTCCGTGCTCAGGAGTGCCTGAGGCCAAGTCCTTGAAGGCCGAGAATTTGGCTCCAATACCTCCTATCCAGGCCCGAGACCGCCAAGTCCCAAGCCAGTCCGAGAAGCTGAAATCTGTGCCTCGAACGAGGCATGCTAGCTGCATGCAAAACCGGCTGCGTTCTTACCAAGTGCACATGGCATGGAGGCATGGAAGTCTGATCGGGGCAGTTGATTTGCAATGTCTGCTTGCGACTCTGCAGTCCGAGGCTCTGAGTGCCGACAGTGCAGACATCTGCGTGAAAGCTGACAGCGCAATCGTTCTGCCGTTCTGCTCCGGAACATTCTGCGGCACTCATGTGCCACCGTTCCTTCTTTCCTGAAAGCAGATGGCTGGTAGTAGCGCGAGCTGGATATCAGCCAGATCTTATCGGTAATTCATGCGAAAAAATGGAGCTATGAGGCCTTTGTGCTGTTGACATGTTAGCATGCTAGCATGTGACACGTGACTCGAGCACAGTGCCACCGCATGAGCGAGGTAAGCGAAGTAGAGGTCTTTGTGACAAATGACGGCATCAACCTGTTTGCAGGGGCTGGTCAGCAAGAAAATGTGCACCGGTCTCCGTCTGCTCTCCCAGAGAATTGCAGATGTCAGCTTCGGAAAGCATGTTTTTCATGCACCTGCTTGAGCTGGGCATAGTTCGGCGTGAATGGTGCAGGAGGGATCCGATGCTGGCCGACAAGGCGGTGGACTCATACACTCCGTGATAGTTCGGATGCACGGAACACGCTGGCTTTTGGCGTCTTGGGCTCAGGCCGCGTGTGGTGTCTGGAGCAAGCTGAAAAGCTGTCACAGGCTTAGGCACTTTCGACGATGGATTCGCAGAACAGCCAGCCTAGACCTGCCTAGAATCTGACGAAAAATCGACCAAGGCCAACAGAGCGAGACGTGGACACTTACCACGTCCGAAATGAGGCTTCACTTTGAGCTGACCCAGCGTGCGACTTGACCTGTTCTGAGCCATCAGGCTGTGTTCATCGCTTGCGAGAGTACAGTTGGGCGCAATGGTGCGGAGATGGCTGCGCAAGTGGTGGAGATGAAGGAGGCAGGGGCCATTAAATATGATGAGCTTTTTCATGGCTCTCCTATGTTTCTGCCCGCGTGTACATGGCAGCGCTGCCCCAGAGAGGACGGCGCTGAGTTCTCCGCGATTGTTCAGACTGTATGTGCCTTGGCCGATGGCTTTAGCGGCTTTCCCAAGTGAGTGATCACGGGAATGCGTCAAAAAACTGCTCTCCATGGCATTGAGGCCGGGAGGCCGGGCGCTGCGAAGCTCCCAGGCTCGCAAGGGCAGACTAGCAACTGACTAGCAACTGCCCCCCGCCCACGTGCTCCTTTTGAAGTCCTCTTGTCAGGAAGGGCAAAGGGAAGAGCGGCGAGCTCTGACACGCCCTGCCGCCAGAACGCAAGCACACAAGATCTCATAAGCTCATAGAATCGAGGACACGCAACATCACACGCAATATGCATTCGATACCTCATTCCACTTCATTCCACCACGCAACGGCGAGTTGCTCATTGTCGGTCGACCAGATGGGTGCCTGGTTTCACACATTTGCTCGAAAAAAGACACCGAGCACGCTCTACATTCTCTACATACTGCTGCCTGATTTGTGATTTGCTGGCGTCACTGTCAAGGGACCATACGCTCTTGTGCCCTCGATTGGCTCGAAACATTCCACACCAAAGCCTGCCGGGCATTGGCCCTGTGCCAGCCATGGCAGAGACAAACGAGGCGCCTCATGCTGCTGCGATCTTGTATGATCTTGTATGCCTGCTGAGCTTCCGAACAGCGCTTTGCAAGCTGCAGGCAGCGGAGCCTCCAGCGGCAGACCCTGAACCACCTTCAGAACCTGCAAAACCTGCAGAACCTGCAGAACCTGCAGCTGCTGGGAACGAGGAGCAGCTATCATATTCATCTTTCATCCATTGCCCTTTGCCAGTGCGAGTTGCAGGCGGCGGAGCCTCCAAGAGCAGACCCTGAACCTCCTGCAGAACCTGCAGAACCTGCAGCTGCTGGTGCCGAGGCTCATGCTTCTAAATAATTTCGCAAGCCACGACGATGGTTGTTGGCCTTCCTTGGTGGCAGCAGGCGAGTGCGGCAGCTTCAAACGAGGCCCGGCCATTTTGAAACCTGCATCCTTCCTCGAGGGCATCAAGGTGCTAAGTACATTATATATTCAACGACCATAATCACGAAAGGGCGGCGGGCGGGGGGGGGGGTGCGGGGGCGGGGGCGGGGGGGGGGAAAGGGACGAGGGTGGGGAAGAAAAAAGCACTTGTAACCACAATCACAATGCTCATTTTGCTATTCCGGCTCAGAGGCGACGGACTCTGGGGCCGGTGCTTCCAGTGAGCCGGCGGCGCCAGCGGCACCAGAAGCACCAGAAGCACCAGAAGCACCAGCGGCGCCGGCGCCCGCAGAGGCAAGGACCATCACTTCAAACTGAACTTCCACCCCAAGTAGGAGCAACCCAAAGCAGGTTTTCAGGAGCGTCGCATAGCTTCGCACTTTTGCCTACTTCACATTTTCAATTTAAGCTATTTCAGCTGCCGTTTTCTAAGCGGCCAGGGCGGGCAGCACGACCCCACTGAGCCCACTCAGACTGTGGAGCCCACGAGCCCTGCAGAGAACGCAGAGGCTCGTCCAATCGGTTCTTCGGGGGGGGGGGGGGGGTGTTGGAATTGTGATGTTCCACCCACGTGGCCTTGTGTTTGGGTGGCCTCAGGACATCGTTCAGCAAGCCCTTGCCGAGCATGTCGATACAAGTGAGGCGAGCGCATCTTCTTGATTGTCTTTGATGATCTCTTAACTGCGGCTTCTTGAATGTTGCACCTCTGTTCTTCTGGTCTGTTCTGGTCTGTTCTGGTCTGTTCTGGTCTGTTCTGGTCTGTTCTGGTCTGTTCTGGCCTTCAGGCAGAGAATCGTGCAGCAGTTTCACACGCACTTGCGGAGCACGCTTCTCCAGAGGTCAGCCGTGCCGCCATGCCCTGTGGTAGTCCGTAAAGACAGCGATGATCTTTATGAGACAATTGACGGACTTGGAGCCAAAGTTTGTCCAGGATGCAGCAGAGAATCCAGCCGGCGAGCCTCCAGAGGAACCTGCGAAGCCGACTCCGGAGCAGGCTGGGACTGTGAGCCCACGGAGATCCTCTTGCCACAATGGCTCCTTATGTTCTTGAACGTCACTTGAGAACTTCAGGAGCCCCAGCCAGCAACAGGCGTGCAGGCCGGCGCTGTGTGCTGTCAGCGTTGTTTCATCAAATGCACCATCTTCTTCATGGGGTCCAAGAAGCCAAACGAAGCCCAGAAGGGCTCATGAAGGAGGGGTCGCGTGCTTGTCTCAATTCTCAGTTGTGTGAAGGATTCATGATGGCCTGTGGGCCTTTTCGAGCATCATCATCAGCGGTGCAGCCTGATGGCCGTGGTGTGTGTTGCGTCCAAGGGGGCAAGCGCGACGCAGGCCCGTTGCGGAGGAAATAATCACAGGCTAACGCTGCGCCAATGCAGCTCTGGGCTATGATTTGGAGGGAGCGCGCTAGAGAGGGCAAAGCGAAAGGCGCACTACAGAAACAGCCTGGAAACGGAGTGCTGCAATGCATTGCCAAGTCTTTTGGTGAGCAGGTAGCCTGCTCCCAATGCTGTGAATCGTTCTTTTGCAGCACGTTTCTTTAAGCACAAAGCTTTTCACCCCTGTTGCTTCAGTGTCTTGCGCCACGACAGGCAGGTGGCCTTTTGGTTTTCCATGAAGCAGCACACAAGTGCTGCGGCAACAGCGTTCCATGCGGGCGACTAGCATGGCTGTCACGAAAGCTCTTCGGAGCTTGAGGAAGGAACCTTGTGTTGGGGCAAAAGAGACCTGAGGTGACCCATCTCAGAGATTTCCGGTCAAACGGGGGGGGCCTGCCCATGCCCGCCCCCTTCCTCTATTTACCCTGTTCCCTGGTTCATCAGGAGGCGTCACCGGACTTTTCCTGATTGAATAGGTGGTCCCCCCCCCCCCCCCCCCCGTGACCTACTCAAGTAAGCAAGGACACTCCCCCACGGCAACAGAACCTGCTCAGCCACGTAAACCGAAAACCCAAACCTTACCAAGCCCACATCCTCCTCAGCACCTGTTTCGGCAGCTGCCATCGGAGTACTAGCTTCGTCCGCCCTGCTCAAGTTGCAGATGCAGTACAGTTCCGTCCCTGGGACGCTCCCGCAGCCCGGCGCTTGCGGAACATGCTGATACGGCGGCTGCCGACAATGATCAAGCAGTCTCACAGGAGAGAAGCATAGAAAGGCTCAATGTTTTGGAGCATCTTGTCATTGAGTGCCGAGCCCTGGACAGGCCTTGGCAGAGCATGCAGAAAATCTGGCAGCCGAGACACCAGAAGCTGGGCCGACAAACGCTCCGGCAGACACTCCCGTGGCTGCTCCGCCGGATGCTCCGCCGGACGCCACCGGACGTGCCTCAACACGGCCCATCAAATGATGAAGCAGGGGCCCAAGAAGTTGTCTGAGATAAGTCGGCATGTGCTCAGAATTAGAAGGTCCTTTTGGTTTTTCGAGCGGGGGGGGGGGGGGGACACCGAGATCCCCTCCAAATTTTGCAGCTTTGTAGCTCATCTTGTCAAAAGGACAGCGCTGACAAGCTCCTGAAGGATGTCCGAGAAGTGGCGCTCCCAGTGATTCAATCTCTTGTGGCATTGAGGACATCCGGTTGCCAATCACTGAGGACATGGGAGAGCCATCTCGGGATCGACAAGATATGCATCATGACCACTCGCTCGCCCTCGGGCTCAGACTGTGCAGCTTGAGCCGGTGCATATCCTTGGCATGCCGCAAAAAAGCTTCATCTCATTGCTGCAACCTTGCTTAGGATTCATTCCACAGCGCATCCCCCAAGACGATGAACCGGAGTATCAGAAGTTCGCCACAACCTTAATCGTACTGGGTAGCTGAAGAATTTGAGAGTTGTTGGTGCAATTTATTGGTGCGGTCACGAAGTTTCCTGTCAGGCCTGGCTTTACCTCGCACTCATCGGATGATTTGAAGAGCAAGCTGCAGTTCTCCAGCATGACCATGGATGGCGTAGCCTTCTTACTCCTCTTACTCCTGCAGAGTTGCAGCAAGTTGGTGGAGGGGGCTGAGGGCATAAGGCCACCTGCAGCATGCTGACTTGAGGTGAAGAAGGGGCCGACTTTCATGCACACGGTCTCCACATTCAAGACAGGAGCAAGGCGGCCCTGTGTCTTGTGTCTTGGAGCTCGAAAGCCTGGCTATGTCTGTCTTCGAGGTGGTCCTTCGGCCAGAAGGGGCCGGGCTGTTAGATTGGCGAGTCAGGGGTTTGGGCGACAAGTACTTCCTGAACGCGAGGCCGAGCACGTTCATCGCCAGCAGCGCTACCCCGGCGCCGGGATCCTATAACATGCCGCGGCCCGAGCTCCAGCCATGCCAAGCCCGCGATGTCATTCAAGCAGATGCCCAGTTTCCTCTCAGGCACGCTGGTGGGCAGGCCGGCGGAGGACGGTATAAGGCAAGGAGCCCTCCGCTCTGAAGGTAGTGGAAGTCCGACCTATTTTCAGCAATCACCTTTGCCGTGCTTGCCAGTGATCTTCCATGTTAAGTTTTCTTCCATGCGCAGCGCAGAGCATCGCAGCTTCCTTGGCTCAAAGATCTGCGAGCTGGACCAGCTATTCGTACCGTGCGCAGTGGCGGCTTGGGCATGGATTCTGTAGGCGCTGTTTTGCACCTCGGACTGCACCTGCGCAACTGAGGACGCACAACGACCTCATGTTGAAGATGGCAACAGGACAGCCTTTGATCATTTGACTGCCGCTGCTTAAGCAAAGCACCACTTTGCAGGATTTGGTGGATTCAACGTGCCGCATGACGTGCCGGCATGGCCGATGTGGTCTCCGAATGTGTACTACATGTACTCTGCCGCACCGGGCGTGTTGAAGCATTTGCGTGTGCGTTGGCTTGGCACTCGCTCCACGGTTCCATGCCAGGCTTCGTCGACAACTGCATCGACACCTTTATCGATGCCTGCATCGACGCCTACGTCATCGACCAACTCGCCTCCCAACACGCCCACAGGGCTGCGCCTGGAGGCATCTGCTGGACTGGTTTAGTCACTCGAGTCATCTTAGTCGACATCTCCATCACTTGCAGGTCGTGCGCAAAGCCCATGACAGGGTGGGATGCCGAGAGCTGCAAGAGCTGCTTCAGGCTGAGAAGCCGGCACCATACCCCACGAACAGATCTTTATACATGTCTTTATAGATAGATCTTGGTTGTCGCTTTGTGTCACCTATCTCAGTTGCTGCTCGCCAAATCTTGCAGTATGGTACCAAACGCGAGAAAGACGAGATCCTGCAGCAACTCCACGGCCACGTGGCCGAAGCCCCTGCCTCAGTCCCCAGGCGACGAGGAAAAGCTTGGAAACGTTCAGAAACATTGGGAATCAGTGGGTTTGGTCGGAAGAGCTGGCCGATTTAGGTCGCCCAATCGCCCCACGGGAACTTTGTGCTTCAGCACGCCATCCGGGTGCTCTCTTCCGGACGTTTGTATTTCGCCTTGAACCCAGCTTCCTGTTGTCAGTTGCTTGCAGACACTTCAAAGAGATCATAGTGGGGCTTGGCCTGGCAGGTGATTGAGGAGCTGCTCAGGTGGGAGACTTTCTGCTTTTGTTAGGGGGTCGGGTCGCGTTTGATGTTCATGATCGTGCCATGTTCTGTGTTCAGAAGAGACCTGCATGGGGTTGCTCATGGATGTCTATCCTGCGGCACTACTTTGAAATCAGCAAGCCGGCATGCCAACTGGCACTCTTTGCAACTTCGGACATAATTTTGAACCTGGATACAGGACTGACTCAGGAATAGAACAGAAATGCAAGGAACGAACACAAGATCCACAGTATTCAGTTGAGATTCTTAGCAGACGAGCTATTCGATATGAGCCATCAGAAGAGCACAGAATGAACCTCCAGGTCTTGTATGTCTTTACTCCTTGCCTGAAGAGCTCCTTTGGCTCCCGTCATTCATTGTGGGTTTTCTTGGTTTATTTTGAATCCTGGAAGGTGAGACAGTGAAACACCAGAAAGGGAAGTATTTGCTTGTCTTGCGAGGGGCGAACTTGCATCACCAGTCTCATTTCGGGCTTGTTCTTCAGCCACGTGTTGCCTCATCCTTTACACACTGGGCTTATTGCCGCGACGCCCTCCAGATGTTTATGCCTTTCGCGCCCTGTCGCGCGTGTGACGTTGAATATACCAGCCTCAAGTCGAGGAGGTCGACCCAATCGCACATACTGTGAATGGAACTCATCCCTTCCGCAGGCGTCCTTTTCCCATTCTTGTTTTCGCAATCTTGATGGGCTGAGGGATGGGTGGGCAAGCACGAGTACGTAGCTTGGAAGCCTGCTTCACCTTGCCCACCTTGGACTGAGGTGGAAAAACCCTGCTGAGATTGCCAAGCACAGGTGACCTCAGGAAAGTGGCGACCGACAGCCCTTGCGGGTGCAACTTTCTGCCAGGTATGCGTGCCGCGTGCTGGAACGCATCATTGAGTTCTTTCCCGCGGAGCAGAGTTTCCCCTTCATTCAGGAGGGCTCGCAGACGTCACTGATCGCCACTGAGCGCCCCGACCTGGACAGGATGTGGTTCGCCACACTGCCGAGCTCGCATGCCATGCCCGAAGCCTAACAAGAGTCATGAGTCATGACGGAGTCATGACGGAGTCATGACAGAGTCATGACGGAGTGACTGTGACAAGTACATGCAAGCGAATTGCTCGATCGAGAGCACTGTGAGGCGATTGGAAACTACTCCGTGCAACACTGCCTGGAGTATGGTGGACACAGCTGCTGCCAAGAAATCGCCACTTCCTCAGTGCTGAGCAGGGGCTGCGAAAATGAAAGCGCGTGTCAGATTCGAGATGTAGTCCTACGACAATCTTAATAACCCATCCGACTGCATACTCAATGTGGCCCACAGCCGACATTATTCTTGAATGTAAGTCCATTGAGAGTTGTTGCTTGCTGTTGCTGCCTCGGTTTCCTTTTGGGAGTGCCTATCGCCACCTGCCTGTGAAGCAGCCGGGTCACTGTTGCGTTCTTGCTCCACATTTCGGGCGGGCCCTTTTCGGGCTAGTTGATGCTTCGAGGTCGCGGCCCATAGCAAGGGACCATGAAACTACTTAAGATAAGAGTCTAGCTAAGTTGGGTGTGGAGAGTAGACGACTGATCCAGGCCAATGTGGTGCTGAACCATATCCACGACTTTGCAGTGGATCCGAGTGGATGTGGGGTGGTCAACAAGGCGCGGGGATCTGAGATCGCAAGCCTGGGTTTCGGTGATGCCTGGCAGGCCCTGACCCACGCCAGCCACGTGCACCAAACTTTGATTGCGGTTGCCATTGCCGGCAACTGGAACACCTTCGCGCAAATGGTCGCCATGCAGAAGGGCCCTGATCTCAGATCCTCTGTATTGTGAACAGGTGGTAAGATCTGGAAATGGCCTGAATGGCAACTGCAATTCAGCTTGATGCATCATGGACCACTGTGATGAGGCTTCGCTGCAACACAGAGCCTCTTTCACGCCCCTCGGCAGCATGCCGAAGGTGCAGTCGGAGCGATCTTAAACATGAGGCTGGATTGATGTCGAATGACGACACTTCACCTCAGGATGATGAGCATGAGTCTGAATACGACAATACCAAGTAGCAGTCTTTTGTGAAAAAGTAGTGGAAGGCCTAGCTGCGAGACCGGACTTGCTTCAAGCGATACTTTTCCGAGGAATGTTCTGGATTGTTTCGCACGCTGTGGAGACCAGACGTTGGGCAGAAAGAAAGGGTAGTAGCAAGAGCAATGCAACGTGGATGGCGTTGACATGATTACGCCATTGCCGTGACCAGAAAATATGATCATGACAATGACGACGACGATGATGATGTTGGTGCTTGTGGCGGTGATGATCTGATGCTGATGATTCTGATGACGGTCATGATGGTGAGGTGGCGGACGCTAGAGAGTAGTGGTGCCTTGTTGTTGGTGGTGGTGCTGTTGCTGCTCTCCAATCAGCATCTTCCCCGGCGAAATGCCAACAACAGCTGCGTGGAAGGCACCTCCAGGCCATCCATTTTTTTTGCCAGAGCTGCCCTCAATTGCCCTCACTTTGATGCCGTGCGTTGCAGCTCGGCTTAGGATTGTGAGAGGTTATGCCACGAACAGGCACAAAGCAGGCTGGTAGAAGGAGTGAAATCCATATCTTTGTACAGCACCAGAGAGTGTCATGCACCTGGTGATCAGAAGCACCAAGAAGGTACAAGGACCCAACCTTTTCGCCCACAGCACAATGACTGGTGACGGTGTGCTGGTGCTGATGCTGTGGTCACGCTGGTCTGCCTACGATAGAGGGAATGATGACATGAACGATGGCGACCAGACCTTAAATGCTGGAAACGAGGCATGGAACACTGACCTTGCGCACCGACACAACTCTCTGTCTCTCGATATCTGTGTGTTGTGTTGTGTCTTAAACGCCAAGGTTGCTCAGCGGGCGCCTTTTCTGGAGCATCAGGTGCGCCTGCTCTTGCAGGCGGGCGGAGCACCTGATGTATGGGGTAATGCACGCGGGAAAGTCGCGACATCATCGGGCTCCAGTTTCTCAAGCGACCAATGACAAGGACAATGTGGGTAACCTCTCGCGCACCAAGCACGGCCAAGCCCTCCTGCACACGCTGCTGGGACCTCAGTACCTGCAAGCAGAGCTCCTTTGGAAGTTTCGAGACGCGGGGTAGTTTAGTGAGCAACTGTAAAGTTCAAGCCGTTTTACGCAATAGGCAACACTTTCGGACATGTTCGCCACGGTGAAGTCTACGATTGTTTTACGAAGCGCGTCGTCTTCTGAGGCTTCCTGAGTTAGGGACGCGCAAAGGCAACATGGGCTGGCCAAGTCCGTGCCCGAGGAGTCGTGTAGTCACTGAGAAGACTAAGGGGGCATTAAGGCTTAGTGTTCACACTCGTTCGACTTGTTTAAGTTGTCAAAACAACAAGTCCCTGCGTGTCCAAGAGGAGTTTTGTATCAGAGCACAGCCTGGCTCTCTGAGGCAACGAGAAGAAGCGTTATCCGCAAAAGAAGCATCAGTCCCAACATCAGCAGTGGCCACAGCAGCATCAGCAGCATCAGTTGCCACAGCATCAGATGCCACAGCATCAGATGCCACAGCATCAGTTCCCACAGCATCAGCAGCAGCATCAGCAGCAGCAGAATGCCCAGCAGAAGCAGCAGACTTACCCGTACCGCCAGCAGCGTTTCCGCGGCGGTCGGAATCAGCGCTATCAGCAATGAAGGCACAAAGAGAAGTGCTGCAAAGTGAAGCCGTGAGAAGCTTGGTGCAAAGCGGCACTTCCCAAGTTCTACGCCAGTTGAGTTGGATTGTTGACATGACTTGTCTGTCTCAACGAGGTGAGACAAAGCAGCACTGACCTTCAGCTGACATGGTTGCCCTTAAGAGTGCACAGATGGAGCTGCAAAGTACGGCGCCTCGGACACTGCAGAGGGAGCCAACCTCACAAACCGTGGCTTTGCTGCCAGGTTTTCAGATATTTCATATGTCGGTAGAAACCTCAATCCCCCCCCCCCCCCCCCGCTCCCCTGGTTTCCTGTGAAGGGAGACACGCTCTCTTCTGCCCGAGCGGAACGCTCGCTCCTTTTCTTCCTTGGAGCTCAGACCATGAGTTCCTCGGCAGGCCCCAGCTGCAGCCTTTCAATGAAAGTACATGGGAGAAGGTTCCTTGGGCTCCAGCAAGGCTCCATATGACAACATGTTACAACTTTTCTCATTTCAAACGGGGTGCAGCACATGCATGCACAGAGTCATCATTGACGAGCTTGTAAATAGTTCCAGGACCACGCCGCAATCTTGGCGCACGCTTCCGCAGTTGGTGCATTCGGGATAGGGCTCACAACTTAACAGAACAGTTTGGGGGATTTAAGTTCAGGGCCTGCTGGACAGTGCTTGCTGGACAGTGCTTTTTTTCTTCAGTTGATCTGCCCCGACCTGGGCACCAAGCTTATGCGTCAGCACGGCTGGCCTACGTGCTTCGTTGCACGCACATTGGCTCACAGGGCCAGAATTCCAATCGCTTCAATCCCCACCATCGCGACGAATTTCAACGACTCGTTTCAAGGGAGATCTCTCCTCAACATTGCGGACAAAAGGAGGGCGTTCAGGGCATTTCAGACGTCAGGCAGCATTGCATTGCATCGAAGTGCTTGGATTTGACGCGCTCGTTGCTGCCCTGCCAGTCTTTGCCGAAGTTCAGCTTTGGCGGTGCGACGCGCTTTGCTGCTGGCCGGGGCCTCGACGACATGCTGTATACACCCGTATACACCCGTATACACCCGTATACACCCGTATACTGCAGTCTGGCGGACATGGAGGGACATGGAGGGTGCCAGTACTGTGGTTACCGCTTCGTGATGCAGTCGAAACCCAGGCGAGGCTCCGACCAAGAAACAGCCGGGACCCGGAGCGCACCCTTTGGGCCTGCTTGAGCTAAGCCTTAGCTAAGCAGCTTTCCCTGACTCTAGTCGCGAGGTGTGTGGGGTTCATTCATGCCGTAGGCCTTTCTAAAGCCTCTCGCCAGGTACAACCCAAGAGATCCGCTTCTAACAGCTGGTCCCAAGGCGGTTGTATCTGTTTTTTTTACTGCAATGGGACGCTGTGGCAGTGGAAGTTCTTCGGACAGGTCAGCTTCGCTGGTGCCAATGCTGGGCGTGGTCCTCCTCTGCCCGAGGTCGATTTGACTCTTCGGATCTAAGATTGACACCTGCCCACTGTCATGTCGATCGGTCTGGCGCAGAATGCTCCTGGACCTGGCGCTTACGAGCAGAGAAGCACCCTGGGAAAGTCGAAGATGTTTACAGCTCGAGGGTGCGGACGCTGCGGTCTTGTTGCTTTTCTTGGGGTTGCAAGAATGGAGAAGAGGCCTGCTCAGCATCTCGCGGAGGCGTCAAGCAAGTTCGTACATGCGAAGCAGGTCACAGCCAGGCACGATTGTCCACGGCAGTGGTTTTTCGTTCGAACCAGTGGAGACCTCGAGCAGGACCTGGAGCTTACGATCCCAAAGTGGGTGCTGTGCTCATGGGAATCCCCAAGTCATGCCCTCAGCCGCAGATGTGAAATGGATAGTCATAGCCACGGCTCAGACTGCTTTGCTTAGGTGCGGCTTTGGCACCTCCATACGGAATGACATAACGGGTGCTGCAAGAAGTCTGATGCTGCCTGGACCTGGAGCGTCTCCCGCGGGCTTGCAGTGGAGTTTTGAGCAGTGTGACACCATGTGACAGTTTCTTAATACTTAAGATGTCTCGGATGTCCTCGCGCACATGGTGGCTTGAGAGGTACGACATGCAAAGCGCAATGGCGGTTGGAAGAAATGGCCCCAAGTACTCTGCAGCCTCCAGGCGCCGGGCAGCAGCCTCAGGTATCGATGGCCCTAACTTATGGGGGGATGAGGTACCCTACATAATCCCTTAAAGGGTATATACAGAATAGAGGGCCCTAATTCCCCCATTCCCTGCTAAGCAGCAGTATGCCAAAGGTGTCAGGGAATGAAAGATTGCTGCCAGACGTCTATTCCAGCGAGTTCTCAGGTTCACGATCTGGACAGTTATGTCACTCCTGGCCCTGGAACCTACAACGCGCACACCACGTCGTTCGTGTATTGAGGCGGGAAAGTGTAGAACTTCTAGCATTATCTTGAAGCCCTCATCGACTGGTTCCAAGCAAGATAAAGCAAACACTTCGACATTGAGGGTTTGAGGGATCAAAGAACGAATTCAGGATCAATTATGCCAACCTCGACCCAGAACGGTGAGAGATGATGTGAGTGCAGACGCGCAAAAGCTAGGGCCCAGACGTGCAAGAGCCTGTTTCGCATTTGGCGAGCCCAGACGTCCAAAAGCGACGACAGTGTCTCGCATATCGCGAACGCAGCTGGCAAAATGCGATGACAGTTGCGAGGACGGCGAGTGTGACCAACGAGCCTAAGGCGAAATCGGGCTTTACGTCCCCATTACGAGCAGGCCTCGAGAAACACGGATGGTCCGGCCGCGGGTGCCGGCTGTGTGCGCCGCGTGCGCCGCGTGCGCCGTGTGCGCTGCGTGCGCTGCGTGCGCCACTCGATCTCGCCCCTTCTGTGGCACCCCTTAGTGTTGACACACTGATTGGGGTTCAGGAAGGAGGTAGAGAGCCAAGAAGGCAGGGAGGGAAGAAAGGAATCAAGCAAGGCAGGAAGGAAGCAGGCAGGAAGGAAGCGGAAGCAAGAAAAGGAAACGAGCGGACGGGGGCAAGCAACAGAGCAGGCAAGGAACCCGGGCTGGGGGGGGGGCCGGGGGGCAGAATTTCAGGGCTCAAAATCGGAAGTCTCATTTATTGATCCTGAAAGCATTTTTGATACTTCAGCCCACCAAAGCGGCGCCAACAAGGGTCCGAGTCCAAAGCTTGTCATGTTTCGCCTCATGCTGCTGATCACCACAAGGCGACAGAACAGATACTCTCACCTGCATGCGAATGGATTGCCAAAAGCCTCTTGGCAAGTTCGGATTGTGACACTGTGATGCGCTTGTGAGTTTGCTGTGGTAAGGTCTCACGAAGTGAGCTTGTTGACCGAATCCAGCCCATGGCACCATGGAGTTCAGCAACCGGCTAGCAAGCGTACTAGCTATCGCAGGAGAAACAGTCAAGCTTGCTCAGAGGTAGCCAAGGATTCCATGTGCCTAATTTGACTCCAAGCTAGCACAGCGCTTCATGCGCTCTTGAGGCATGCAGGACCATACAACTTATCGATTTGCAGAGCGTTGTGCAAAGGCCCATCTCAGAGGGAGCGTGGATTCATGACCGTTTGGGATGGACTACCTGTCAGAAGTATGTAGGCCTTGGCAAGTGATGGGCGATTTTTCAGCTCAGCACGTTGCTTTGGGCATCGAGCATAGGGACTTTTCTGCAAGGCAGAGGCAAAGCATGCGATGAGAGTAGCCAGAGGACTCACCAGGTTACATGGAGCTTGGTTTTGGTTCAACTCAAAGAAAGGCATGCACAGATCCCATTCCGCAAGCCTTGCATGGAGCAGCGTTTCACCGAGGCAGCATACATCCGCCTGCACAGGAAAAAGAGGCCCGAGCTTGGCGCGTGATCGCGCTCTCAGCTGGAGCTGCAGTCGATAGCAGAGAAAAGCCAAGGCTCGTCACAGAAGAGGACATCCCGCAACAATGGTGTCTAAGTTTTGCTCATATTATGCATGAATTTCGGCAGGGAGGCTTTCCGATTTCAATATGCAGGGCATAGAGGCTTGAAGCAAAGAATGCCCAAGAGGAGAATAAAGCCTGGGCTGAGAGGCCTCCCTCAGCCACGGCTAGGAACAAAAAGACAGCGAGTCCCGGACGGTTGCCGTTTTTGTTCTTGGCTTAGCCTTGGCTGAGTATAAGTAGACAACGTTATCAACCACGGCTTTCGACGGATCCCGTCAGCCGTGGCTCTTAAGTATGCCGGTAGTGGACCGCATAGCCTTGGCGGCCGCAAAGAAAAACTCAACCATTGGGTTCTCGAAAATGATGCACAGACTGGGTGGGGCGCGAGTGCGAAGCTCCGTTGTAGGTTTGGAGGGTTGGCCACTGAGAGATGTCAGCAATGCCGCCAGAGATTCAAAGGTTCTGTGGTTGCCAGCCATCATGGCCTCTTTGGCATGGGTCGTGCGGTGTGATTTTACGTTTCGGGAAGTGTTTCGATCACCAGTGTGGCAAAAAAGCCGCCTCCAGCTTGTTGCAAAAAGCCGCCTCCAGCTTGTTGCAGTCACGGGAAGTCAGACTATGGCAGCCCGGCTGCACGAGAATCAGTTTGAGGGCAGCGATGCAGGAAGCTATTAAGGGGAAGGAAGATTTTAAGGAGACCACGCTCGACGCTGGGTGTGACCCTTTTAGACGAGCATCACAAACTGCAAGGGGCCCTGCTGAGGTACCAACCCATCCAACCTTTGCAAAAGGGCTGCCGCGTTCATTGACTCTAACCTTGTATTCGCTGGTGCATGGCTCTTGGCAGATGGGCCATTTGCATGAGATGCGCCGCAGTCTTTGATAGCAGGATGGAAGCAGACTGAACTCGTAATGATTCGTAAATTCAGCAGGAACGTGCCAAAGCAACTTGTTATATGAGTGTTATGTACCGACAAAAGATTTGCGGCACGTATCCGGCATGTGCCCACGGGATGTCTGCTGAAACTGAGCAGTGGCGTGGGCCATGAGCAGAGAATTTAGCCCTCAGGCTGGGTAGTCATAACTGAATCCTGCTTCATGCAACATGTTGCAGCATGCAGATACGAATTACAGAGTCCTGGCAGATGCAGAGTCCTGGCAGATGCATTGAGCCCGTAGGCTTCGCCGAGACCAGACGCTCAGGTCGGGAAGCCTCTACTAGTCTTCAGTAAATGTGCCGCAATGCGCAGGTTCTGGGTCGGTCAGTGAGTTGCAGGATTACCCTGGCTCAGCTGGATTTGTCCATTGCTGCAAGGGGAACTCAAGGGCCTCCGGTCCACAAAGCGTTACGGAACCTTGGTCCATTGGTCCAAAGCGGCAAGTAAAAACTCGAAGCCCGCAGCCAGAAGAGGCCACCGGACCACCGGACCTTGCTGGCAACGGTGGTTGTGTGTTTTCTTGTTCGTTGAGACAAGCTTAGCTATGGGGGGGGTCCTCACCGTCCTGGCTCTAGCCTCGCTCCTGTTTTTTTTTTTTACATCCTCTATGCTCGGCTTGTCAGGCTGATGAGGAGGCTACATGCTGGTCTAGAACTTTGGACTGCTTGGCGATCGTTATTGCACTCATCTCAGCTGTCTTTGCCGCTGAGCCTGCGTGCATGGCGAGCAGGTTGAGTCGCTCAACTCGTTCATCAAACTCTGAGGCATATGTGCTGGCATTCTTCGGGGCCACCTGGAGGCTGCTCAAAGAACATGCCCTTCGGCTGCCAGTTCCTTGTCAAGCTGTTTCTTGGGCTGCTTTGAAGCTCACTGCGCACCTCAGGTGGTCTATCCCTTCAAAGAGTACATCCTCCGAGGCTATGACGATGTGGCTGAGAATCTCTCGCCCTACAAGAAGGGAAGAAAGGCCCTGTGTAAGCTTATGAAGTTATGAAGCTCAGTTACTCTCAAGCGACGGCCTGTTGCCGAAGCTGGCCACACCCTAGACGTGACTTCTTTGCGACTCCTGGGGAGTGCATGGCGCGCACGCGCACAAGCGGGGAGGGCAGGGAGTGAAGGGGCCGCCAGCGATGGCCTGGTTGGCCGTTAGCATCATGGGAAGCCACAGGTGCCGATGATGCTCGGTCCAAGCAGTCAATGACTAAAACTCATCCGCAACATCGTCATTCGAAGCGTGACATCCTAGTTCTGACTTCCTGTTGGTACTTGCCTTGTCTTTGCCGCTTCCCAGCCAACCACCCCAACAACCCCCACCGAAACAAAACCAAAGTCCATCTCCGTGACCTGGGCCACTATTTCTGCCAGCCCAAAGCCAACCGGTGTGTGGGTCGGCTCATCGAGCAAGGAGCAGCAGTGTTGAATCTAGAGAAAGCAAAGATTAGTTGAGGGTGTTCCGGAACAGTTTTGTATGCCAGCATGTCAATGAGCACGGCTCTATTTCTGCAGGTGCCTTTTAGCTACACCGAAGTGCCTGGCTTTCGGGTGTGAAGCTACTTGAGTTGGGGCAACACCTGTCCAAATGGACATCCCTTTTCACGGCCAGCAGCACCTGGCAAGGCTTGGATAGGTCTCTTGTCTGAAAGCTTTGCGGTCGGCCACAAGAGCTGACCCTCAGCCTGAACGCAACAACCGTCCGAGCAGCCTGCCCATTGCAAGTACGGCGATCACTGATCGAATAAAGCCTATCTGTTCATGTGAACTGCGCCTGAACTGCGCCTTGTCACCACTGCGAGTCGAAGGTCAGCGGTGTTTCAGTACAAAGTGTGCCTACATCCTAGGTGTTCTAGCCTTGCCCACTGCCACGTGCCGTAGCGTGGGCGGAAAAATGGAGGAAAGGGAAGCCCAAGCTGCGAGCTTCTTGCCCTCTTGTGTCAGCTTGATTGATGTCATTTGCTGCTGCATGTTTGCTTGCAATTGGCTCGAGCCACCCTCGACGCCTTCGCCTCGAGGCCAGGATGTGACCAAGGTGGACCACGTGCCGGGTGTTTGTCAAACCGTGCCAGAGGCCATGGCAGAGATGATTGATAGGGCAGCTTCCGCGTCCCCGGACCGAAAGTCGGAAATGGCGACGTCCGGGCTTACGATGGGGCCAAAGGCGCGTCATGATTCGGTGCAGTATTTGTTTTTGCTTCCTTTCCTGCCTTTGCAGGGGACAAAGATCATCACCGCGCCTGAGCCAAGCCATGCAGATATGCTGCATGGCCTGTGAGGTAAAGGCAGTTAGGCATAGGGGTGCCAGAAGGGTTCAGCCAGCGTTATCTTGGCCTCTTCAGGTTTTATGCCACCACCAACGGCCAGTACTGCGGGAATTGGCACAATGGACTGCCAGGGCACCAGGCGGGGGGGGGGCAACCAATGTATGCAGGCGAGTCTTCAGCCCCCAAACCCTAAACCCTGTGGTCGTGGCAGACATCCTGGCTTGTTTTCTGCAAGAGAGGCTGTACAAGGTTCCTCTCTGCATCTGACTACTCAGACTAAGAGCGGCGCCCCTTCGCAGTTGGGCGATGTGCCTGCCATCAGCGAAATTCTGGGCGCTCGGCCCACAATGAAGAAGCCGGTGCCTGCCCAAGTTGATGAGACACTCAGGAAGCACAGGGGCCGAACAGAGAGTAACCCTGGCAGCCCTCTTCCCAGGTGCGGCCAATCCAGACAACGGCACGGCTCTCATCTCCCGAGCTCCCGTGCCAGCTTACAATTCATGGGCCTTTCCGTGCCATGCCGTATGGGCATACCGGCTTTGAGGTTTCTGATGGTCTATGCTACTTTTCTGCTGCAAGTGAACATCCAGTCTGTGGAGTGAGGCCAAGTGCGTGCTGGCGAACCAGATTGCAGAGGAGAAGAGGTCCATGGAAGCAGACAAGGCTGATGTAAGCCGAAGCAAGCCTGTTCTGTTTCGCAGCATGCTCCTCTCGATTCTGTGCTGCCAGGTTCTCTCAGCAGACGTCATACCAAAGAAGTTTCCTGTGCAGGCCATGGTTCTTTCAGATTAGACGCTACAAAAAAGCACACGAGAGGCAAGTCGTGCTAGCGAAACAGAGATGGCCAACCTGCAAATTGCAACTCTCCGCCGCTGGAACCAGAAGTCAGCCAAGACTCTCCCAATAAGAACGGACAGAATGCCATTCTGCGCACCACAACAAATTTGGAAGGCGCAGAACTACTGCTACCCGCAGAGTGCAAAGCGAGGCCGAAGTTGCTCTGAAGCACATCATCGCACCCTGCATGAGCGCCCTGCCTCAAATGTGTGCAGAGGTGCAAACAACCCTCTCTACGCCACGAGTGCGCAAGCCACGAGCCTTTGATATGCCGTCCTGTACCGCACATCAGTGGTACTCATGATTGGGGCGCTGCCAAGGCATACGGCAGTGAGATGCCAATGGACCATCAGGCTTTGGGGCTAAACGTGGGTTTGCGAAGCCGCACAGCTCCATCAAAGTCCTATGCGCAATGGTTGCTTCCTTGCGACATGCAGGTCCCTGACCGCTACTTTCCCAGCACCAATCAGTTCACCAAGGCAGGTGTAATGGTCGATGATTGTGGCATCAGCATGCAGTCTTGATCGTCAGAGAGTCTTCCTGTACCAAAACGCACAGCACCTTTGCGCAGGGATTTGTGGACACGAAGCCTCGGTTCACAGGGCTCAGTACAGCTCCGACGCCCTCCAAAGTCTTTGCCTCAGGCTGCGCGCAGAAGCCTTGAAGTGAGAGCAGTTGACTTGCTGTTCCTATGATTTCCTATGTCTATGGAATGATGTCTATGTGGGCCATTCCTGCATATTGCTTTACACTTGTGGGGCCTGTGGGCGGCTGAGGTGCACAAGGCCAGCTGGGAGGGGGTGCCGCTTCCACCTTGGCAAATAGCGGTATCAGCTCATAGCAGCGGGCACGAGAGTTTGTACATGTTTGTACTCTTAACCCCCAAGAGCACCCAGAGGTCATTCAGAACAACTCAATGCGCACATGCCGCTTACGTGTTTCTTCTTGCCGCTTGAAGTTTGAGAAGCCGTATGCCCCTTTACAACGAGTAGCACACCCAAAGTCCGAAAAAAAATGCACTTCATTACAGAGGGTTGGGCGTGCATAACTGGGGTCACGAGGCCCTCAAACGAGTGGGGAGCTAATGTGCAACACCAGTGACCGCTCTGCCCTCTTGCCTGCTTTCCTGCTTTGTTTCCATCCGACCACCGCCAGCCCCCATTTCATCCCATTCCCAAGCGCCCCATGTTCTGAGAGCTCCATGGGCCCTAAGTCTGGAGCACGAAGCGTATCACAGGAGCTGGACATGTTCTACTGATGGAGGACTGGTTAGGAGTGCCGGCAGTCCAGGGAGTTTCCGGGGGGCGCCAAGAATGCTTGGAGAGCTTCTGGAGATTATGCATTCAGAAAGGCTTCGGAACACTTTGCTCAACTTGCTCCGATCCAAGCCTCCAAGCCTCCTGTGAGCTCATTGAAGGGCTGTTGTGCATAAAGTGTGTTCACCAAATCCTTTCGATCATTTTAAATCATTTTATCATCTGTTGATCGTAGTCATAGGCTCAGAGGAATGATTCTCCTGCTTCAGCCAGTGCAGAGAGCAGGCACGTCTCACCTGAATTGCACGTCCCAATTCTCTGTTCGCATGGGTCAGCAGGGCCCGTGTAAGACATTGTAAGACTGATGAAGAAAGTCAGGCGGTTTCACAGCCTTTTGCAAAGATGCTGGTCGGGCACGCGCTTTGTGTTCCTTGTGGAAGGCCTTAGCCTTCGACCCCGAACTGGATTGAGCAAAGAACTGCGTCAGCAGCCTGGAAACTGTGTTGGTACTGTAACATGGCTGAAATTTGGCTGAGCAGGGTCGAGGCATCACATAAAGTTCGTGTTTCACAGCAGAGGTAACCGGGTCATGTCAGTGAAAAAAGGGGTTCGAGAGACATTGTATTTCTGTGGGACACATGATTTGTGCAGCGCTGCTTGCTACACAGTAGCTTGATGAGCCAAGTGTGGTCACCCAAGAGGCCAGCCCCATGTGGAGTCTTTTCCAATGACTGGCAGGGATCCAACGCAGCATCGAGAAGAGAGCTCCAACCCTTGCGAACGAGTTCCGGTCTATCCAGCTCATTCTAACCAGCTGCGTGTCCCTGTTAATGTACGCATGGTGAGGCCCGTTGTGTAATCGAATGTGGCTTCTTTGAGGCGCTTGCAACCCCAAATATAACAGCAGCGTTGTCTTGGGATGCCGAGCAGATGTATTTCTTTGGCAAGCAATTATGTAGGGTGTAGGATCGTTTTCGCATGCTGATTGGTTCAAGCTTGATTCTGACTCGGCAGATCCCGTGGCGGTCCTGCTATGATGTTCACCAGAACCTTCCAGGCCTTGATGACACTATGACATTGGTAAGATTTTTACAAGATTCAGAAGCACGTTCGCGATAATCGTTAAGAATCCAAGCAAGTGTGAAAACCAAGAACCTCATTCTGCTGGTTGTTGGAGCGGGCTGCACCGGAGCTTCGGAGTTCATCCCTGACACACATTCACGCAGTTCCTCTGCACCCTTGTCACCACCGGTGCACATGAATTGCCTGTCTGAAGAGCACATGGACAGACAAATGCTGAGCTCGCGTTGAAGAGGCGAGGCCTGCGCACTCATGCAGTTTGATCCGATGGAGCTAGCATTTTCAGCACATGTTCTGGTGTGCCATCATCCAACCCATATGCAAGACCGAAGGCCAGGCAGCACAAATGCCTTACAATGTTTGCAGGTCAGAGATGCGATCTGGGTGTGGCACACCGCTGCTGAACAGGCCCGTATTTCTCAGTAAAGGACCTTTGCATTGCTCGCTGATTCAACTTCGAAGTGAGCAGGCGGCATGTCACAGCCAGCAGACCAGGCCGGCCCCGTGCTCGATTTTTCTTAGGCTAAGCTGGAAGCTCACATGTTGAGGAGGCGCCCGTTTAAGTCTAAGTATTGGATAAACAGCTCAGCCGCAGTAGGACAACAAATTAAAAGACCACAACGCACGCGCGCGCGCGCGCGCGCTCGCGCGCGTGCGTGCTCACACACACACACCCAACAAACACAGGTAACGACCCAACAACAGAAGAATTCAGGGATCCACCCCGAGCCCTCTACATTTCCCGCACGGTGCCCCACGGCTCCAAAGCAAGCATAGCTTGACCTATGCAAGATATGTTCATGCTCCATGGACCTCCATGGGCTCCAGGCAGTGTTTTGAGGCTCAGTGCCAGGTAGGGGGCTTTGTGCCACAGTGCCAAGTTAGATGTTGTACCTGGCACAACGTTAGACAAAGTGCATAGCAGGCAATGAGACACCCGACGCAGGCCGAAAGCATCCCACTCATCCTCAAGGATTTCAAATTCACGTGCCCGTGTTAGCGAGTCTTTCCATAAAGTTAAAATTATCAGGTGATTGGCTGCTTCATTCAATGCAAGAGTTCCCGGCAATCCCAGGCTTGAAGGGTTTTGGATTGAGGATTCCCATGATAGGTATAAATCAATTACAGGATGTCTTGGTCCTCGTATTATATTTGGGGCGGGGGGGGGGGGGGGGAGTGGAGTGGATTACCCTGATAAGCTGGGGGATGAGGTCACTGTACATTGGGTAGTTTGGGCCACGTTGCTGGTCAGTGTCCAGTTTGTAGCTTGGCTGTTAGTAAATGTACAGGTTGACTCGCGCGAATAGAACGGCTGTCCATTTTGGACTTTTACCCCCTTTTGCGTAGACTTATTTTAAGGGGCTGCGCCCATGGGCGGGCAGCGCACGCAGAAGCCCGGGGCGAGCAGTTTCTAAGCATGTTGAGGCCCCTAAACTCCCTTAAAATCTCTAAGCGTTAAGTTTCTAAGCATTTTCAGGCCCCTAAACTCCCTTCAAATCTCTAAGCGTTTGAGGCTCCTAGACTTCCTTAACGTTTCTAAGCACTTTATAAGGCCCCTAAACTCCCTTTTTCCTATTTATGCCCGCCCTTTGGGGGGCGTCATGCTCCTGATGCGCCCCCGGGGTCCCGCCCCGGGAGCCGCTGATGCTCCTGATGCGCGCCTGGGGGTCCCGGGCTGGACCCGCTGATGCTCATGATGCGCGCCCTCTGGGGGCCTCCGTGGCGACGCAAAAAACCACGAAAAAAAAACCGTTCACCGGCGGCACGCGGGGGTCGGCGGCACTGGCGTCCGGCCTAATTCTGCTTCGCAGAAGGCCAGAGGCCAGCAAGGCTATTCCCGGGACGACCCGGGCTAAAAGGTCCGCATTTGCTCGGTCCTTTGGGGACCTCGCGCTGCCCGATTTAATGGCTACCGCCAGTGCCGCCGACCCCAGACCCAAGACAGTCGCATTGGGGCGGAAGGCAGGGTGGAGCGCGGGCAGGCGGGGGGGGCGGGGGCGGGGGGGGTGGGGGTGGGTGGGGGTGGAAAGGGGGGCGGCGGGGGTGGGGGGTGTGGGGGGTGACGGTAGAGGGTTGGTGTAGTTGGGGGCAGGGGGTAGGCGAGGCCACAGGAGGGTGGGGGTGGGGGGGGGTGGGGGGGGTGGGGGGGGGGGGGGGTGGGTGGGGGTGGGGGGGGGTGGGGGTGGGGGGTGGGGGTGGGGGGGGTGGGGGGGGGGGGTGGGAGGGGGGGGGGGGGGGGGGGTGGGGGGGGCGTGGGGGGGGTGGGGGGTGGGGGGGGCGTGGGGGGGCGTTAAACCACCTGAATGGATGGGGTGGGGGGGGGTCAAAGGTCCAATTCAAGGTCAAGGCGTCATGGGTGAGGGCGATGGGTGGCGGGGTTTGGGCATGCACTGAAGCCAAACAATGCAAAAACACTCCAATTCAAGGTGTCATGAGCAGCATGCTGTGAGAGCGGGTGAGGGCGGTGAGGGCGGTGGGGGGTCTTCACTGACGCCGCCCTGCTACCGCTGGGGTCGGCGGATATTTCAAATTACGCCCGCAAATCAACAAATCCAGCGCCGTATGTCAACAGAAGCTAAAGACACAGCGACGAGCGACAAGGCAAAGCCCATGACTGTGGAGCCCGAAAGTGTATGGACGCTCTTTTTAGGTGTCTTCTTACGGAATCACGGGTCCGGGGTCCTGCCTCCATGAGAACCGTCAGATGCATGTCCCGGACTCAAGGTGTTTACGGGGACATTGATCCTGCTTTTACTTTAGAGCTGGGGTTTTGATTCCTGAGACATTAGTATTCTGAGTCGGCAAAGGCCAGCATCTCCAGCCACGCAAGCCATGCAGCTTCCATGGACAGAGCACTGGAAAGCACTTTCCCTTGGCGCCGGAAGTTTAATCACTTTGCTTTGGATCCGGCGGTTGTCGAGGCAGCCTTGGGCACCCTTCTGGGCAGAGTGGGCGATTGCTCAAATCCTTTGGCGTGATGGGGTCCGGCGGATGCTTGCCCCCTCTGCAGACGACGGCACCCTGTCTCTCAGCTTCTGGGAGAGGCTTCAGCGAGTCGCCGAGCTGCGGGCCATCCTGGGCTTAGAGAGGCTTCATCAAATCGATGCTGCCCGTCGAAAGCACGAGGGCGATGGCTGGGGCAAGACTACGGGGACACATCACATGCAGCACTTGCCTGGCCTCGTCTTCCGTGGCGAGGACCAGGAGGCCGCACGAGAAGCGCTGAGGCGCAGTGCACGGATCTTCGGGGACCCGTTGGAGGGCCTCCGCCTGCACCAAGACTGGGAGAGAACGCCCATCATCAAGGACCTGGTCCTTGTTGGGGGTGGCCACTCCCACGTGAACGTCCTGCGCATGCTTGGAATGGAGCCCTTGCCAGGAGTGCGCGTGACGCTGGTGACGCGTGATGTGGAAACTCCCTACAGTGGCATGCTGCCGGCACATATAGCAGGCACATACACGAGGCGAGAGTGCCACCTGGACCTCAACGTTTTGGCACGCTTCGCGAGAGTCCGTTTGATTCATGCAACGGTTGAAAGCATCGATCTGCAAAAGAAACATGTCTACCTCAAGGAAGACCGGCCGCCCATTGCATATGACATACTGTCAATCAACATCGGTTCAGCTCCAAAGGTACAGACAGATGCCTCCAAGGAGAACATCACTGCTGTAAAGCCGATCGACAGCTTCGGCGCTCGATGGGATGACTTGCTGACAAGGGTTCCCTCCTGGACTGGGTCACGCCGCTTGCTGGTGGTAGGTGGGGGTGCTGGTGGCTTTGAGCTGGCATCCACCATGCATGCCCGTCTGGCCAGCGAGCTCGCGCGGTTGGGAAGCACGGCTCGGATCACTGTGGGCCTTGTCACCAGGAGCGGGCTCTTGCCGCAGCATACCCCAGGAGCAAGGGCACTGGCCGAGAAGGCGCTGAAGCAGCGAGGTATCCAAGTCTACACGGGATACGACGTGACGCATGCCGAAGCTGGAGTCCTGCACTGCAGCGATGGCAAGACACTGAATTACGACGACTGTATCTGGTGCACTCAAGGCTCCCCCCAGCACTGGGTCGCTTCATGTGGGCTCTGCACTGATGAAAATGGCTTCCTCCTGGTTGATCAGCAGATGCGATGCAGGCCCAAGGACCCCAAGGGTGGAACTCTGGACAGCCCTGTTTTCGCGGGCGGGGACATCGCGTCGGTGGAAGGCCACCCTCGGCCAAAGGCAGGCGTCTTTGCTGTCATGGCCGGGATGGTTCTGTGGATAAACATCCGTGCCAGCCTGACTGGTGAGAAGTTGGTGACGTACTGGCCGCAGCAGTCCTTCTTGGGACTCCTGAATCTGGGTGATGGCACCTGTATTGCATCCAGGGGTACACTTGCAACTGAAGGAGAGTGGCTGTGGGGACTGAAGGACTGGATTGACAGGCGTTGGATGTGGAACTACTTCGAGGGTTTGCCAGAGATGCCTGCATCTCTCAATGTCGGCTCAGCAGGTCTTGCTGTGGCCAATGCTGCTGGAGGCTCGGCCGCCGCCCTGCTGAAGCATTCCGTCATGCGCTGTGGGGGCTGTGGAGCAAAGGTGGGTGCCACTACGCTGGAGAGAGCCATGTCCCGAGTGGACCTTCCCAAACAACCCACACAGGAAGCCAAGGCCTGGAAACGTTTTTGAAAGCTTTCATTTTGCACTTCGGGAACTTCAGGGAAGTTCGCCGGTAATCGCCGGTAGTCGCCGGTGGTCGCCGAGCGATTGCCGTAAGCGTGCATAAGCTTGCCCTCAGCTCTCCAGTCGGAGGTAGACGCAGTCAAGGTAGGAGGCGTGAATGGGCTTCAGAGAGATTTCCCATGCTGCGACATGCACTGACCAGTCACGCACCTCGACATAGCCCCCTGAGGCGGAGGTCATCATTGGAGCAGGTGATGATGCAGCTGTGGTGGATCTCAGCGCTGACGGCGGAGGTAAAGTCTCATCGGTGCAGACGATCGACTTCTTCCGTAGCTTTCTCGGAGATCCCTATCAATTCGGGTGCATCGCGGCTGTGCATGCGCTCAGTGACTGCGAGGCGATGGGTGCCATACCCCAGACTGCTTTGGCCTTGGTCCAGATCCCCTTTGCTTCGGAAGACAAACAAGAGGAAGACGTGGTGCAGCTGATGGCCGGGGCGGCTTCGGCACTAAAGAGAGCGGGCTGCGCCTTGGTTGGTGGACACACATGCGAATCGCACGAGCTTGGATTGGGCTTTGCTATTTCCGGACGCTTGCCGGGCGGTAGCAGCACGGCCATGACCAAGGTGGCCATGCGGCCCGGAGACGCGCTTGTCCTAACGAAGCCGTTGGGAACGGGCACCCTGTTTGCTGCGGACATGCGCGCGAAAGCCCGGGGCCCATGGATCGCCGCAGCATTGCGCAGCATGACCGCCTCCAACAAGGACGCTGCCGCGGTGCTTCGCTCGCAGGGCGCCCTGGCGTGTACGGACGTCACAGGCTTCGGCCTCATCGGTCATCTTGTCGACGCGTGGCCGGTACCCTTTGCCCATCTTATGCCTATCTCCCTTTTTTGTTGCTAGTGCCCATCCTTTGCCCTCCATGGTCTCACTATTCTCGCTCTCAACGGTCACTAGGGCCTCTGTGCTGGAGAGCTGAGGAGATGTGCCGCCAGTCCGGCGTGACGGCTACGCTGCAACTCTCACAGATTCCGTTGTACGAGGGTGCGGTCGACTGCCTTAGGATGGGTATCGAGAGTTCCCTTCAGCCTGCCAACGTCAGACTCCGCAGAGCCGTGGCAAACCACGACGAGGCCAGGCCAATCCGTTCCATCTGTAGGATCAGAGGCAGAGGCTCCTCAGAGGTAAGCTCGATCGGATCCGATCGAAAGTCTCAAGAAACGTGTTCCCACCGGCTACAGCTCCCTGCACAGCTTGCGCAAAGGTGCGGGGCCACGTAGAGTATCCTCTCCTCTTCGATCCTCAGACTTCCGGTGGGCTGCTTGCAGCTGTCCCCCGGGAACATGCGGACGCCTGTGCCACTCGGACTCGCATGAACAGGTTTTGGCTGGAAGTTAAGAAAACCGGGGAATCCATACAAATCTGAAGCAGCGCTTCGGCCACGCGGCTGAAGTGCGAGAGCTGCGTATGCGGATATATGCGATATATATATATATATATATGTATATATGTATATATGTATATATAAATATAAATATAAATATAAATATAAATATAAATATAAATATAAATATAAATATAAATATAAATATAAATATAAATATAAATATAAATATATATATATATATATGCGGCATGAGGTTTCGGAGTTGCGAGCTTCCGGTGCACCCCGGGCGGCCATCATTGGATTCATTGGTGTGAGGACCTCAGAGCTGGTGCTTCCTGGCACATTGACTGCTGACTGCTAAATAGCAACTGCTAAATAGCAACTGCTAAATAGCAACTGCAAAATAGCAACTGCTAAATAGCATTAAATAACACACTCAACTGCGGTGGCCTGGTATGAGTGATCGTTCTTGGCTTGAGCAGGCCGCAGCGGCAACAGATCCATCTGAGCTGATCACCGTGAAAGTGTAAACGACGGCAAGACAAGCACAGTCTTCAATTTTTCTGCCTGTTGGGCCTAGCTTCGAGGAAAAAGTTGCCCCGGCAACGATTCTTGGGGACTTCGTGCTTGCTGCGTGCCACTCAAGCTCTTATGTCGTCAGGCTTTGGACTACACCCTCAAGACGTATGCTTTCGGGCTGCTTCCGCAGAGGCTGCAGCCGAGCTGGAAGCACCGGGGGTGCGGTGGGTGTCTGCAGTAGTTCGGCACAACAGCCACCTGTCATGCTTGGTGTCGGTGACTTTGCCAGCGGGATTTGCTCGGAAGGTCTTCCCAGAGCGACCTATGCAAGGACATCTGGAGTCTCAACGCATCCCAGAAGCCCAGTGCTCATGGTGCTCATCGTGCTCATAGACCTTTACATCGCCCTGTCTCGCAGGAGGACATGCAGGGTGGCCGGCTGAGACTAGACACAGAAAGTAGGGACGCACGGCTTGCCAGCCGCCCCGCTTTAAGACTCCAAAGCCGAGGCTTAGAAGACTGGAGCCACTGGAGCTGCGTGCCGACCCCGACCGAGATCCCGGGTGCGCGCGATGCTCAGAAACAACAGTTCGGGGGAGCATCTCCCGCTCTCTCTCTCCCTCGCTCTCTCGCGCACTCTCTCACTCTCTCTCTCTCTCTCTTTCTCTTTCTCGCTTTCTCCTTGTAGGGCAGGGAAGGAATGTGCCGCGATGAGAGCACTCTCTTAAACTGCTTCCCAGACCCTCCAAGCCCTTCCAGTTGAAGCCCCAAACCGAAAACCCCAAACCCTAAACCCTAGCAATCCCTTGGGTGGCGAAACCTGAGGCCTGGATTCACCACGCTTGCTGGAGGAGAAGATGGCTGCCTTGGCATCACTCCCGAGGCTTTGGCCTAGGGTTTTGGGGTTTTAGGGTTTGGGGTTTAGGGCTTGGGGTTGGTTTTGGGTTTTTTTCCACAATGGAGCCATCATAAGCCACATGCTTGTATCCAGGTATGACATTAAGTGTTTTTCTGGTTCAAACTTACAAACACGTTTGTGGTCAGCTTCCTGCTTTGATAGGTTTTTTTGTGGATGTCTCTCTCTCTCTCTCTCCCTCTCGCTCTCTTACTCTCCCTCCCTCCCTCCTCCAATTGGCTCTTCCCACCTGTTAGGGCGATGTGCACCGCTGGGTGGCTGCCAGCAACACTGGCAAAGTGGTTTGGTCCTCAAGCACAAGAAAGTGGCCCCACGGATCTTGATTGGATCAGCCTGAGCTCCTTCTTGTCGCCTGCTTTGCAGCAGAAACTTTTCGCTCTGAGGCACGTGGCTTTGCGATGGAATGGTCGCTGACGGTGTTGAAGGACGAGGCATGAGCATCTGGGAAGATGGGCTAGGGCTTCTTCGGGTGTAGGGCTTGTAGGGTTCCGGGTTTTTTTACGGTTTTGGGTTTAGGGTTTTTAGGGTTTTGAGTTCATGGGTTTGCAGGGTTTAGGGCTTAGGGTTTTTCAAGGGTTGAGGGCTGCGGGGTTTTTAGGGTTTAGGGTTCTTAGGGGTTTTTAGGGTTTAGGGTTTTTTCTGGGCATAGGGCTGGGTTTTGAGTTTAGGGTTTAGGGTTGAGGGTTTAGGGTTTAGGGTTTAGGGTTTAGGGTTTAGGGGGTTAGGGGTTGGGGGTCAGGGGTTAGGGGTTAGGGGCTAGGGGCTAGAGGTTAGGGTCTAGGGTCTAGGGTCTAGGGTTTAGGGTTTAGGGTTTAGGGTTTAGGGTTTAGGGTTTAGGGTTTAGGGTTTAGGGTTTTGTTTAGGGATTAGGGTTTCTTTTTGGGTTTAGGATTAGGGCTTATTTGCCAACACAACGCTCGCATGATGGCTTCGAAAAAGAATGAAGGGGGGGGGGGGGGGGGGCGTTGGGGGCCCCATTTGCACAGACAATGCTCGCATGATGGGTTTGACAAAACAAATGCCTATGTTTAGGGGTTTGCAGGGTTTAGGGTTTAGGGTTCTTGACGGTTTGGATTCATTACGGTTTAGGGCTTAGGAGTGTAGGGGTTAGTGTCTTCGGGGTTTGACGTTGAGGGTTGCATCTGGAGACACGCTTGCCAGGGCTTCAGGACCATGCTTGCCTTTCTGCATTTCTTGCTTCTCCGAGAGGCTGGACAGAAGCTGCAGCTGCGCGATGTAGCTCGGCCCTCGCCATGAGACCAGAATCACGAGTCGCGCAGCATTGCACGAGCTGCTTTCTCGCCACGCTCAGGCTTTGGGTTTTGGCCACGGCAGGCTTGCATGCGCTTGGTATGCTGGGGCTTGGGGGGATTGTTTAGGTTGCTGTTTCTTCGGTGCGCACATCGGGCATTGGTCTTTGAGCATGCTCGTCCATGAGTACACGACACTGTATGTACTTTCTTACCGTTACTACCCTTGGTTTCTTTACCAAGCTTATGCGCTCCTTCTTTTCCTTGACCTTGCTGCCTCGACTCGTTCGCCTACGACTTGCTGTCCTGCGGATGCTTGGACTGAGAAGTGTTCCACTGAAGCGCCTCCTACGCCACCTTCGTCCCATCGGTTTGGCCAAAATCGCAGATGATTCCCAAGTTCTGTGTGTAGGATGGTGTAGGACGGCGTAGGCTTCATTCGCATCCATGCAGGACTGCGTTTGTTGCCGCTCTAAGCCCTGCTCTCCATGGAGCTGGGTTCTTTTTCCCTGTGGGATGCTGTTGTGCATTGTTGTTGGTCGTTGCTTCCAGCACTTTTCCGAGACGTTCCAGGAACGGTTTCCTCCTCAACAAATCTGTGCGGTTGCTGGGCAATGCTCAGCTCCTCGGAGCCGCATATCAGAAGAACAAGAAGAAGAAGAAGTACAAGAGCAAGAAGAAGAATAAGAAGAAGAAGAAGAAGACGACGGGATGCTGTGGGCAGGACAGGTGGCAGCCGCATCGCTGCCATCGCGCTCATGGACAGCGGCGACGTGTTTTCGTCGCAGGCCCATTCGGCTTCAGGGTTGTCGTTGTGTTCAATACATGCTATAGGCATCTTCAGGTGCTACAAGTTGATTTGCGCTCTGTGCTTGCCTGGGCTCTGGGAGATGGCGGGAGGCGTGGTATGCGGACGGCGGCGACGGTTCCGAGGGCAGTCGCCCCCTCGCATGCCCAGATTGGAGGCAGAGGCCGGAAGTTCATGCACAGTGCATAAGAATTCACGCATACGCAATGTTGCAGCGCGTGGAGATCCCGAAATCTATGCCCGTTCCAGTTACTCGAGAGTTGCCCTGCCCAAGGCCAGGTCTCCATGCGACCCTGGTGCCTCCCTCGGATACGATCTCACGTTGACGTGACACCGTGGGCCATCTGCAGCCTGTGCCTCCGGATTCCTGATGGATTCCAACAACCCCGCCTTCAGAGGTTGTGTCTGTCGCTTGCGGTGGCGGCTTTTGTGCTGCACTGACCGCGCGAGGGGAGCTGCTAGCACTGGGCTGAGTGGCTCAAAGCAAGGCTAAGTAGCGCTCGATGACTGCATCCTCCTCCTTATTGCTAGCTTTAGTGGAGGCCTCGGGGGCCAAGTAACACATTGTGAAGTATTTCTTGGCCTCGAAGGCCTGGGGCGAGTCCGACTGCGGCGCGCTGGGCCTTGGCGATGTGCAGCGGGCAGAAGAGCAGCTTGTCCTCATCTGCTGTGGCCTGTTTGTTGCTTGTTGCCTTTCCACTGTACTCTTGTTTTCAAGCATCCGTGCTACGGGCGCTTGTTGAATAATTGACCCAGGCCAAACCAGGGCTCTCTGGCAAGACTTGTCAGCAGCTAGTGCTCAGGATATCTGAGAATGCTAATGGCTGTGGACTGGCATAGTGGGTGTGCTTGAACATTCCTCGAAATATCTGCCGTAGGCTGGGTAGGCTGGGCTACTGAGGATCCAAAGGCCAAGGACTCACAGCAAGAACTCGGAGGAGAGGAGAGGATTGGCTGGGTCCCGCGCCCCTTAGGGCGCTTAATCAGAGATTTGCAAAACATCGCAAGCCGCACGGACGCGAAGCTTAGATTTCACAGAAACAAAGGCAGCAACGGGCGGAGCACATTTTGACACACAAGAGGTTTGTCGGGGCAGTTGCATCGTGTTGTTTGTGGCGGTTTGAATGTTTTGCCAATTTGTTCACTCTGAAGGCCCTCACTGGTGCAGGGAGAGCTGGCGCGGCGCCGTGTGGCAGCCTGATGCCCAGCTTTGCCCGGCTTTCCCGAAGATGGCTGAAATTACAAGTGGTCTGCATGTGCTACCTTGCAATAATTGTTGCTTAAAGATGCATGACAAGATTATAGCGCAACGGGCAATTGGCGTTGACTTGGGGATTTGTACTAGTCATGTTCTCAGAAGAGCCAATCGCCGCCAGTTGTCCACCATGTGTTCTTCGCTGTTCTGCACACAGAGAATCTGTTTGCTGTGATGATCTGGGATTGACTTGGAGGTTTCCAACGATTGTGTGACTTGATGCACCCAATTCGTACCATGCTGGTCGTATTCGGGTCGGGATGATGCTGCAGCCAGCAGGCAGTCTGTCCTGGGACGAAGAAAGGACAAGCACATAGCAGAAGCTGCCTGGCAGCGGCAAGTGGTGTTGACCACATCAATCTTTGAGGCTGAGGACTTGCACTGCTTCAGTTGAGATGGCATATGTTCAGAATTTGTTGCGCAAGCTCCAAGAATTTGGCGATTGCGGTGCCGCTCGCCAGATTCCCGTCGTTTGCGAACAGAGGCCCGAGGATTTTATCGAGCACGTCTGAATTCAGAGTTCGGCCACGTGTTCTTCGCAGTTCTCCACACTTAGAAGCTGCTGTGATGAACTGAGACGGCCGTGTCTGTTTTGTGACGTTTGCGTGGCTGGATGCTCCCGTACGGTGTCATGCGGTCGGGTTGAGCTGCAGCGAGCAGGCAGTCTGTCCTGGGACGAAGAAATGACAAGCATATAGCAGAAGCTGCCTGGCAGCGGCAAGTGGTGTTGACCACATCAATCTTTGAGGCTGAGGACTTGCACTGCTTCAGTTGGGATGGCATATGTTCAGAATTTGTTGCGCAAGCTCCAAGAATTTGGCGATTGCGGTGCCGCTCGCCAGATTCCCGTCGTTTGCGAACAGAGGCCCGAGGATTTTATCGAGCACGTCTGAATTCAGAGTTCGGCCACGTGTTCTTCGCAGTTCTCCACACTTAGAAGCTGCTGTGATAAACTGAGACGGCCGTGTCTGTTTTGTGACGTTTGCGTGGCTGGATGCTCCCGTACGGTGTCATGCGGTCGGGTTGAGCTGCAGCGAACAGGCAGTCTGTCCTGGGACGAAGAAATGACAAGCATATAGCAGAAGCTGCCTGGCAGCGGCAAGTGGTGTTGACCGCATCAATCTTTGAGGCTGAGGACTTGCACTGCTTCAGTTGAGATGGCATATGTTCAGAATTTGTTGCGCAAGCTCCAAGAATTTGGCGATTGCGGTGCCGCTCGCCAGATTCCCGTCGTTTGCGAACAGAGGCCCGAGGATTTTATCGAGCACGTCTGAATTCAGAGTTCGGCCACGTGTTCTTCGCAGTTCTCCACATTTAGAAGCTGCTGTGATGAACTGAGACGGCCGTGTCTGTTTTGTGACGTTTGCGTGGCTGGATGCTCCCGTACGGTGTCATGCGGTCGGGTTGAGCTGCAGTGAGCAGGCAGTCTGTCCTGGGACGAAGAAAGGACAAGCATATAGCAGAAGCTGCCTGGCAGCGGCAAGTGGTGTTGACCACATCAATCTTTGAGGCTGAGGACTTGCACTGCTTCAGTTGAGATGGCATATGTTCAGAATTTGTTGCGCAAGCTCCAAGAATTTGGCGATTGCGGTGCCGCTCGCCAGATTCCCGTCGTTTGCGAACAGAGGCCCGAGGATTTTATCGAGCACGTCTGAATTCAGAGTTCGGCCACGTGTTCTTCGCAGTTCTCCACACGTAGAAGCTGATGTGATGAACTGAGACGGCCGTGTCTGTTTTGCAACGTTTGCGTGGCTGGATGCTCCCGTACGGTGTCATGCGGTCGGGTTGAGCTGCAGCGAGCAGGCAGTCTGTCCTGGGACGAAGAAATGACAAGCATATAGCAGAAGCTGCCTGGCAGCGGCAAGTGGTGTTGACCACATCAATCTTTGAGGCTGAGGACTTGCACTGCTTCAGTTGAGATGGCATATGTTCAGAATTTGTTGCGCAAGCTCCAAGAATTTGGCGATTGCGGTGCCGCTCGCCAGATTCCCGTCGTTTGCGAACAGAGGCCCGAGGATTTTATCGAGCACATCTGAATTCAGAGTTCGGCCACGTGTTCTTCGGAGTTCTCCACACGTAGAAGCTGCTGTGATGAACTGAGACGGCCGTGTCTGTTTTGTGACGTTTGCGTGGCTGGATGCTCCTGTACGGTGTCATGCGGTCGGGTTGAGCTGCAGCGAGCAGGCAGTCTGTCCTGGGACGAAGAAATGACAAGCATATAGCAGAAGCTGCCTGGCAGCGGCAAGTGGTGTTGACCACATCAATCTTTGAGGCTGAGGACTTGCACTGCTTCAGTTGAGATGGCATATGTTCAGAATTTGTTGCGCAAGCTCCAAGAATTTGGCGATTGCGGTGCCGCTCGCCAGATTCCCGTCGTTTGCGAACAGAGGCCCGAGGATTTTATCGAGCACGTCTGAATTCAGAGTTCGGCCACGTGTTCTTCGCAGTTCTCCACACGTAGAAGCTGCTGTGATGAACTGAGACCGCCGTGTCTGTTTTGTAACGTTTGCGTGGCTGGATGCTCCTGTACGGTGTCATGCGGTCGGGTTGAGCTGCAGCGAGCAGGCAGTCTGTCCTGGGACGAAGAAATGACAAGCATATAGCAGAAGCTGCCTGGCAGCGGCAAGTGGTGTTGACCGCATCAATCTTTGAGGCTGAGGACTTGCACTGCTTGAGTTGAGATGGTATATGTTCAGAATTTGTTGCGCAAGCTCCAAGAATTTGGAGATTGCGGTGCCGCTCTGAATTCAGAGTTCGGCCACGTGTTCTTGTCAGTTCTCCACAACGGATGCTCACCGGCCTATCGCGCAAGGCCGAGCATGGGGAGTCTTCGCTAGTTTGAAGCATGTGCTGGCCTGCCGTGGCGTCAGCATGGCAAGAGGGCTAGACTGTTGAATGCCAAAGTGGGAGCGGTTCTGCTATGGGCGGCAGCCGTTTGGCGCCCCAGTCAAGCAGCTGCTGAAGCGGTGTGCGGCGTGCAAGCCAAAATGCTCGCAGCCATGGTACGGCTGCCCCGTAGACCCGAGGACACTTGGCTTGACTTGCATCGCCGCCGTCTGCGGCAGGCGTGGCGGTTGATGGCTGAGGCTAGTGATCAGCCCCACAGTCCCTTTCAGCCCCGGCTTTTTAAGTGGCTTGTGCGTCGGCATGGATGGATTGGGCACGCTCTCCGCATGAGAACGGAGGTTTCGCGGGCGCTGGCGTGGCGAGACAGTGAGTGGTGGCGACAGCAGCAAGGCCTGCCCGTGACAGGGGCACGCCATCCGGCAAGGTTTCATCCCAGGCGATTCGACACTGATGTGGCGCACTCTTGGCGGAGTCTGCCCCGTCGTGTGCGCGGGGGATGGCAAGCACTCTGTCTGAGCTTGCAGACAATCGCAACAGCTGGCGGTGCACAGTGCTGTTCTATCTGCGGGCCCAGCCCTGTGATGCGCGCTTGTTTCAGTGACACTGGGACTTCATGCACACATGTAGTTGTCGTTGAGAACATGCACTTTCAGTGCATGCTTGTGGAGATTTGTATCGTTCTTTGGGCCGTGCAGAGCTGCGATGCACCTCTGCCCTCGAGATATTCGCATGCTTGAGTGCTGTCTCCTCTCGCACAGCTTGGGGCAGCCTATGTTGCCTTGCAAACGCAAGGGCGTTCGCGCCCACAGGCAATCAATCAATCAAGGTAATGTCATGACGGCCTAGTCCGTAGTGTGGTGTTTGCGTGGCTTGATGCTCCTGTACGGTGTCATGCGGTTGGGTTGAGATGCAGCAAGCAGGCAGTCTGTCCTGGGACGAAGAAATGACAAGCATATAGCAGAAGCTGCCTGGCAGCGGCAAGTGGTGTTGACCACATCAATCTTTGAGGCTGAGGACTTGCTCTGCCTGAGGTGAGTTGGCATATGTTCAGAATTTCCGCGCCAGCTCCAAGAATTTGGCCAAGCCCTGTTTGTAACGTTTGCGTGGCTTGATGCTCCAGTACGGTGTCATGAGGTCGGGTTGAGCTGCAGCAGGCAGATTGTTCGGGGACGAAGAAATGACAAGCATATAGCAGAAGCTGCCTGGCAGCGGCAAGTGGTGTTGACCACACCAATCTTTGAGGCTGAGGATGCACTGCTTCGGTTGAGATGGCATGTGTTCAACTGCGCGCAAGCTCCAAGAATTTGGCGATTGGGGTGCCGCTCGCTAGATTCCCGTCGTTTGCGAAGACAGGCCCGAGGATTTTATCGAGCACGTCTGATTTCAGAGTTCGGCCACGTGTTCTTCGCAGTTCTCCACACTGAGAAGGTGATGTCATGACGGCCTAAGCAGTCTGTTGGGACGAAGAAATGACAAGCATATAGCAGAAGCTGCCTGGCAGCGGCACGTGGTGTTGACCGCATCAATCTTTGAGGCTGAGGACTTGCACTGCTTGAGTTGAGTTGGCATGTCTTCAGAATTTCCGCGCAAGCTCCAAGAATTTGGCCAAGCCCGTTTTGTAACGTTTGCGTGGCTTGATGCTCGTACGGTGTCATGCGGTCGGGTTGAGCTGCAGCAGGCAGATTGTTCGGGGACGAAGAAATGACAAGCATATAGCAGAAGCTGCCTGGCAGCGGCAAGTGGTGTTGACCACATCAATCTTTGAGGCTGAGGACTTGCACTGCTTCAGTTGAGATGGCATGTGTTCAATTGCGCGCAAGCTCCAAGAAATTGGCGGGAGCGGTGCCGTTCGCTAGATTCCCGTCGTTTGCGAAGACAGGCCCGAGGATTTTATCGAGCACGTCTGATTTCAGAGTTCGGCCACGTGTTCTTCGCAGTTCTCCACACTGAGAAGGTGATGTCATGACGGCCTAATCCGTTTTGTAACGTTTGGGTGGCTTGATGCTCCGTGGCGGGGGGTGGGGTGCCGTCGGGTTGAGATGCAGCGAGCAGGCAGTCTGTCCTGGGACGAAGAAATGACAAGCATATAGCAGAAGCTGCCTGGCAGCGGCAAGTGGTGTTGACCGCATCAATCTTTGAGGCTGAGGACTTGCACTGCTTGAGTTGAGTTGGCATGTCTTCAGAATTTGTTGCGCAAGCTCCAAGAATTTGTCGATTGCGGTGCCGCTCGCTGGATTCCCGAAGGTTTGTTCAAACTCATAGGTTTGTGTCAGTTGTTCTGCCGCTAGACAGATCTTCATCTGTGGAGATAGGCCTGAGGATTCTTCCCAGTGCTCCCTTGGAAAGCGGCCTGGTTTGTTTGGGGCTTACGACACGCTATACACAGAGACGAGACGGGTCACTGGATGCTTGCGACAGCATAGTCCAGAAATACTTATCGCTTTGTGCGAATGCGTCCTGTGAACCTTCGAGCGTGGCATGAATCATAGGCTTGTGCACAGCAAGCCTTGAAGTTGCTCACTTGTTCACGTGACAGGTCGTCGCCTGCGGTGAAAGCCACATGGTCGCCGCTAGCTTTGATGAGGCCTGCCGGGAGCCTTGTAGCTGTCGTGGTGTTCAGTCAGGCCAATTTGTACCCTTGCCGTCTATGGCTAACGCTGCACAGACTTCCCAAATCTGCGCAAAGCGCAACACGAGGAGAGCGCCGGAGCCGTGTATACCTGGGGCTGCGGACAGCATGGGCGCTTGGGCTACGAGGCCTCATGCATGGCCCAGCAACGAACGTCTTCTACTGTAGCGTGTATGGTTTGTTTTTAGGACGTTTGGGGCTTGGGATGTTTGGAATGCAGCCTGTGAATAGGAAAGAAATGTGGGCACACTTGGACGCGCTGCTGTATCGGAGGTAATGGTCTGCCGCATTTGGGCGCAATGCCCGACTGGTTTTGAGTACTGTAAGATGTTTTCAGATTTTTTCCCTTGCACCCAGTGCTCACAGACTCCCTATCCGGAAACGCCTGACCATCGAACACGTTCAGTAGCATCTACCGCCAGTTGGCCCGTTCCTCGACCCTTGGAAAATTCTGTAGGGCAGCTCCGCCCAGCTCGGCAGCCGCTTTTTTTCGTCAGAGCCCTAACGGCTCATGCGGTAGCTTGGAGAAGAGACCCGGCGGACTTGCGGGTCTTTTTTCAGGGCTCGAATTGCGTGGAGGATCTTGCGCCTTTCAGAATGCCCACATCTGCACAAAACATGGTCGAAGGCAAGCCAACAGAACGCAGCAAATATGCTGCAGATCACGTGAGTCTCTTCGGGGGAAGGCGAAGAAACAATTGAAAGCCACCCTCCAGGAGATATTTTAAAGACGTATTTGGCCGATGCGGCGCCGAAAAGTGATGCAGCTGCAGAATCCGTTCCGTGCCACTTCGCTTTACTTCGACATAAATCATAAAGATAAAAAAGGTCACGGTCCTTTTATGGAAGACGAAGTGCGGTTGGCCCGGCGGGTCGTACGGTTTGTCCTGTGACATCTGCCCAGATACGCCAAGTCCCGACACTTGGTACGAGGGCGCATCGCCGGCAGAATCCGGCAGCAACTGGGATGAAAAGTTGTGTTTAAGAAACCACTGCTGCGCAAAGAATATCATTTGCCTGCCCCCTACAAGAAAAGGACCGCACGCCCTGAGTTTAGGGCTTCAGCGACCCCTGCTAAGAGCTCTTTCTGCAAAACTAGGCTTTATTCGTGTGGAAGGCTGGGGCTTGGATTGAACTTTTTCCGCGCACCCGCTCTGCCGGTCGCGGCGGTTTTCCACAACACGCAGAGTGCGTTTTTTTGGTGTTCGATGTTACCATGTTCTGTGCTCTCGCCTCGGCACCACGTCTTGAGCTCGGGTTTCTACATGGTTTTGGCATCCATGGTCCAAGACCACATAATGGCACAAGCCCTGCTCGAGGCAACCTCGCAGTCCCTGCCCCATGCCGTGCCGTGGTTGACCGAGGAGCTGGGAGCTGCAGCCTCACAGCCTCAAGATACCTCTACTACCTTGTGATGGCATGTGATGAGAATAGAGGATAATGGAGTATAATTTCAAGCATCTTCTGGCTTAGGATGTCCTGTCTGCCCGATTGGGCCAGAAGACACAGGAAGCAGGTGCAGGCCTTGGCCATCGGGGAAGTGTGGCAAGGGCAGTCAAGGTGCTGTGTTTTGTTCTTGTTTAGCTGTTCAACTGTGAAAGCCCTACAGCAGTTGTCTTCCATTTTCTGCGGCATCACGGTTCTCAAGACACTTCGGCCTTGGTGCCAAAGCGTGGCCGAGTGGAACTTCTGAGGGTGACTTCGACCTGAGGCTGGTAGGTCATTGGGGCAGGTGATCAAGCTGTTCCTAGAATGAAGGTTTTGACTGCGAAGCCGGTAGCTGAGAGAGACCATTGCGAGGTTATGAGATTATGCGAGACTGTACACTCTGGCGGCGTGGGTTAGATCGGCCAGCTTCTTGAAATCGCTGTTTCCGGTAGACTGTTGGCTCGAGCTTTGCATTCTTTTGATTCGCCACAGTCTCTTCGCAGAGATGGCCCCCAAGGCCCCATCGGGAGTTTTGCATCATAATTTATCTGGCATCCGCATTCCCCTGTAGGTGTCGAAAAACCAGCTGAAGAAGGCCCGAATGGATCCGAACAGGGCAGCGAACTCCGTCGTTACAGCCTTCAGCTTTGAGTCAGCTACTCAGCCTTCATGAGCTTATCGTGAGCTTAGAGCCTAGATTTCTTCGAGCCTCTCAATTTTTCAGGACACGTGGCCTCGACCCGGTGGTCTACGAACACTTGAGGGTTCGGCTGGGTTTTCGGGTTTCGGAAAACCCGATCCTGGTCGCTCGCCCGGGCAAGCCTCTGGGGACGAGTATAACGGTCCGCATTCACGGCCAAGAATGGGGCCGGCAGGCATTCGTCGGGGAGTACTCCCACGATTGTAAGCCCTGCATAAGCGAAGCGGGGCCTTTGCAGACATTTCTTCGCAAGCTCCAGCCCAAAGAGGCTTGGCAGCACGTACACCTATGGGAGATCCGCCTGCGCTAAAACAACGACCGGTGCCTGCTTCGTTTGCTCATGACATGTCAGCCTGCAGTGAGCATCGCATCAGGTTTTTTCTGGGGTCGATGTTGTTGAAACCGAAGCTTCAGGTATCCGACCACGTCACTTCGGCCCGCCCTTACCAAGCACTGTCCTTTGCTTGTGAAAATTCCCAACTCGTAAACACCCCCCTCCTCCCCCCCCGCCGCGATTGGCACTTCGCTTTTCACATCGCTTCGGCCTTTTCACGCGCAGTGCCACTTTCATTGAACCCAATTTGAGCCTTCAACGGCCGAAGCTCCGGCGGAGAAGAGCAGAATACAGCCGCATACAGCGACAACAGGCTTGTGATGCAGCTTCCACGAGGTCTAAGGAAGCTTTCGGGATTCTTGATACTATGTGCAACAGCAACAGAAACCGGGTCTACATCCGGAACAGTGAAGACATCCAAGGCCCAGCGCTCCGAGCCTCACCACCACCACGGCCCTCCAGAAGGCCACCTCAATTTTTTCAGCTGTCGCTCGAGGGTCATAGCATTCTGCCTGGAGGTTCGGGTTTGGGATTTGGGATTTCAAGGTTCAAGGGTACTGTCGGGCCTGTGTCATTTAGGAAATGGGTCGCGAGGAGATGCCTTAGTTAGGGAGTTATGTAGTTGTGGCATCAGAGAGTTGGCCCGCACGTCTCCACAACGAAGTCTTTTGTCGGCGTCCGCAAGGATGGCTGCCGGCGGCAAACGCTGCACTGTTTCCTGAGCCGAAATTTCCTCTGCTCCAAGTTTTTTCTAGGCAGTCCTGTGTGAAGAAGCGTCTGGCTTCTGCTTATCTTATGGGCCTTGGGACGAGCGCTGGCACGTGTCGCCTGCACCCGAGGGAAAGAAACCGCCAGGTTGCCGCAGCGCATCACGCAAGCGAGCTGTGGCCTTCGTCACACTGTGGGCTACTGAGAGCTTTAAATATACGGCATGGAGAGCACCTTCATTTTTTTGGTGTATTGTTCCCACCACCTGAGAGCTGGCCTTGGTTGTGAGGCTCTTATTTGCCAGGGTGGCCTTGTATGCTTCGGTGCGGACGACTATGGACAGCTCTGCCCTTACCTTCGGGCCCGGGCTTGCCCACTTGTCATGGAATGTCGCCGTCAAACCATGTGGTGGCACGGTTGCTTTTGTTCTCAGGTTGGGTCGAGCGGGTGAGGAAGAGATGAGGCATGGAGTGGCCATGCGCACATGTGGCTGAGCAATACAATAGCAGCAATTGCAGCGTGATGCCAAACTGTGGCAAGGGTGTGCGATTTCCCATGTGCATGTTGTGGTCAGGCCAAAGCTGCCTCCTTTCGCCCACTGCCCGAAATTGGAGGATGGGATGCGCGGCCGATGTCCAATGTGTATGCTATGCTTGTCTCATGCCATGAGTTGCTCGTTCTTACCATCCTCTTTGAAAGTCATGGCGGCGCAGAAGCCCGAATGATCATGCTCAGCCATTGTTTCAAAGTGACGTCGGATGTTGGTTGCATTTTTGTTTCGGGACCCTGCTTTGTCGGATTTCGAGCCGCGGAGTGTGCGGTTGGTGTGTGCTGTTGGTGGTTTCTTCTGTTCTTGTCGGTTTCTCAATTTGCTTTCGTCCAGTCTCCCTGTCGGTCATCATGTCGCCTGCTGTGCCATAGTCTGTGATGACTACGACCTCCACTTCAAACGATCCTTGGTCTGTTTCATCTTTACAGCACTCAACCAGTTCCAACGGTTGCACATGGAAGGCACCGGGTGATGTTCGAACCAAGGAGGCTGGCAAGCTCTGGCATGTGCATGATGACTGTTTATCATGACCTTTATCTTATCTTTCTCGTTGTGCCCTCTCCTGTTTTTGACTATCTTTCTCCCCCCTCCTCTTCTCACTCTCCCTCCTCTTCTCACTCTCCCTCTTCTTCTCACTCTCCCTACCGCTCTCCTTGTCGCTCGCCTCCACTCTCCTCTCGCTCCCCCTCTCGTTTCCCCTGCTCTCCCTCCTGCCCCCTCTTCCCTTCTTCCCCTCTTCCCCTTCTTCCCCTCTTCCCCTTCTTCCCCTCTTCTCCTTCTTCCCCTCTTCTCCTGTTTCCCACTTCCCTCTCCCTTCTACCCTTTACCCTCTTGTTCTCACCTTGCACCTGGCGGACCTCGTGCAATGTTCTGCCACGACTCGGCTTTCCAGCCTCTTCCTGCCGAGATTTGCAGGCTTGCGCCCGTCGCATTTCCTGCGGACCTTTGCATACAGCAGCTGTCTGCTCGCAGGGGCATCTTGTTTGCAGTAAAACCGAAAGCCACCGACAGATGCCTAACAGGAAACATACTCGGGGATTTGCCGTCCCTTTTCCAGCAGATAGCGCACAGCCACGCTCAAGCTTCAGGCGTGTGCACGTTTGGGGTATCGACCTGCGCCAGACAAAGGACCTTGCGAAGGCCAGTGGGCCAATAGCTTAGTTTCAAATCGGCGACACAATGTTCCGTACACAGGCGCCCCGAAGTGGACCTCAACCAGTTCTGGAATTTGGTCCGGAAAGGCTGGCCAACATGCTGCATGACGTGCATCAGGCGTAGCTGCATGAGGACGGGCAAAACAGACTACGCGCAATCACACGCGGTCGGTGGAACCTGAGAAGCCGCTGGCTCGTTCCATGAAGCAAAGGCAGTTGACTTGACAGGAACTGATTTTTGACAGCCGCAGAAGGGAGAACGTTTCGCTCGCATAATGTTGGCGCAATACAGCCCACCACAAGTCAGCGCCGCCTAGTAGCCTGCCATCAAGCCACATTCTTGTGACACAAGGCAGCAGCAGGTCAAAGCAGCCCGTTCATGAGCTGCGTTTGGAAGGCTTCGGGTTTCTTTGCACTCATACCCGATGCAAGCCAAGCTGGGCATCCGGCGGACAAGAACCGTCACGGTACCCAGCTTAGCACCGGACATGGTGGCACCCTGTTTCCTAAAATCTTTCAACAGCTGCCCAGGCAATGCTGCCTTTCATGCTGCTCTTGTCGTGTTGCCTGCCGGCAAGCCTTCATGTCAAAGTCGGAGGGGGAGGAGGCATCTTCGTTTATCCCAGGAAGCACTCGCCTGCAATGGTTGTGCGGCGTAGATGTCCCGTACTGCAGCTGTCTCAATACTGCAACGCTCATCTCTGCTGTTTCCTAGTGCTGGATCATGCTGAGGCTTGCTTCCGCTTGTAGCGCGGGGCAAGCATGGACCTTGGTTTAATGGTTGGTGCACCCGCATCACCGATCTCACGGCACATCGCAGCTTGGCCCGTTCCCATGACTGTCTATCAAGTATGGCTGAACACACCTCCGAAACTGGCCATAGCTCAGAGCAACTTAAGGCACATTAACGCTGATCTTGGGCTCTTTCCAGCATGCAGAGCCACGCTGGTCAGAGGCTTGTCTGCTTTTCAGAGTCCAAGGGTGCCAAAACCGAAGCAACAGCAACGCTTGGCAGGTGTACGCGGCGGTGCTAGTCGCCGATGCAGATGGTCCTCAACATGTTGAGCAGGTCCCTTGAAGAATGTTCGATTTCAGCGAATGGTAACAGCACACTCCATTCGCTCCAGCAGGTCTTCTCAGATCCAACGAAGGTGGCTTTGCTGAAATGAAAGATGATGCCATTGCTGTTCCATTGCTGTTCTGCCCGACTTGTAGAGTGGACCAACATGAGGCCTCGCAGCTTCGTAGCAGCACAACTGTCCAGGCGTTGATGCGCAATGCTGACGAGTTATCCCAAGAGCTGACTCGTCGCTACCATGACAACAACTCCTGGACTTTGCCGATTGGGAAGCTTTGCTTGCAGACAGGGTTCCGGGCGTCAAAGTCCTGACTTGAGAGCTTGCTGTCGTCTGTTCCCGCAGTTCCTGAGCCACCTTGCAAACCCTGAGAGCAGAGACAGCTTCCGTGAAGCTCTGCGTCGATCAGGAGATTTCAGACAAATGGCTCCAGTTCATCACTCGACTCTTGGTTGCTGATATCCCGTGATTGCTACTGGCTTATGTTTTGTTTCCGGCTTCTGTCTTGATATTGTTGATGCATTTTTTGTGCTACGCGACCCGCCTCGGCCTGGGGTCACTTTGCAGAAGCAGTTCGCAGTGTGCGTCGTTCCTTGCTGACTGTGCCTGAGAAGAAGTGCCAGGCGCAATTCGACGAGGGTAGGCTCACGGTGCAACCGCACCACCCTATTCAAACAAGTGCAGACGTGCTGACTCAGGACTTCAGCTTCCCTTCTGGGCTTCGCTTGGCAGCACGTCTCTCTGGACGAGTCCCGTGGAATGCAGAGAAGCCTCTTGAAGGCCCTGAAGGCTGGGTGCAGCGATTGCCCGCAGCCATGTTGCCACCGGGCTGAGAAGTCAGCACTTTTCGGGTGGTGTGGTTTGTGTTGCCGCCGACGAGTGTGTGCCTGCATCAGAGAGAGGCAAGTCGGACATCGGCAAAAAGAGCACACTCAGGCGCACATAGGAGCAAATCCTCATTATTCTTCATTGTAGGCTCGCAGCACCGTTGAGCCGGTTTGGCCTCGACCCCGTAAGTGTCCAGGAAGACACCGCCACAACAGCTTTGACCACGGCCATGAAAACCCTGCCAAGCGCCACTGGCAGGGCCAAACCCACAACAATCGTAAAGTGCTGTTGTCCGGGAAATGGATGATCAAGCTTGGTCTCGAATTCCTGTCAGTTTCCGCTACTGCATGGAGTCATGCAAAAAGACCGGAAGATGACGAGTTGGGATTGTCGCCGTTGAGTTGTGGTCGGCCGCTGTGCGGCTCCTGGCTTGAGGCCAACCCACTACTTCGTGGAAACGCTGGCGTCCCTCACGGATTACGAGCTGAATGGAGAGCAGGGCAAAGGATTTGCACATCAGGCGCGGCGAAAATCGGAATTGCTCAAAGTATTTAAAAGCATAAAAACCATGCAAAAAAAGCAAGATCCTTAGCAAAAGCGTGGCTTGAAAACGTTGTCACGTCTTTGTAAACGCTGCAAAGACCGTGACCCACCTCGGCCCGGTCCGGTACTCTCGCGCCCCATTCGGTTTGCCTACAAGTGTTCGGGACTTCGAGGTCGGAGATTGGGGAGTTTAGGAAGTTTAGGAGGTTTAGGAGGTTTAGGGATTTTGGGGGCTTGTGGGTTCGGGTTGAGAAACATGCGCTTGCAGGAGATGAACTACGGAAAGCGCTTTCCGACTGCCTTCATTTGGTCTCAAGGCATCTCCGATGGAGGAACAACTCAGCTTGTGCTGACGGGTGGCAGGTTCCTTGGACGTGCTTCGAGATAGAGGGACCCCACTTGCATCCATTTGCACTGTGCCCAGTGCCAGAGCAGAGGTTTACAATATCGGGGTTGACCACGAACCAGTACATCTTGGCATATCGCTCCAAGTATCGCCAGTGGACCTTCCGGACCATCGATGGGCATCGATTTCGGGACAAGGCCGGTTGGCACCGAGCAAGCAAAATTCATCTTGTTGGCTCGATGCGATGCTTCGTGCCGGTGCTCTCAGCCGGGTGCCCTCAGCTGTCCATGGCTGTCCATGGCTCCCTACAGGCGCTACAGTTGTACAGTTGTACTATGTTGTACTGTTGCAATCTGTTGCAGGTGGATGGATGCAACGGCACGTTCTCCTTGGTGGCCACATCACGGGGCCGCCGTCTGGAGCTGCTGATTACCGCCCCACCAAAGAGCGGCTTGCGATGCACACTAAGGTGGCATTGCAGGGCAGACTCGGGGCAGAGAGGTGATGAAGACATGCAGCATCCTGCAGCCCAGGCTTCTCGGAGAATATCTTCGTTCCGACTGCCAAAGGCTTTAGTCAAGCACCCGGCAGCACAGAGAGCCATACAGCCACTGCGGTTGTTCGGCTGTGGGCCCCTCGGCTCCGTAGCCACAACAGCAACACAGAGGTAGATCCCATCCTTGTGAGATCGGGTTCAGCATGTCCTGGTGCAGGCTAGGGTTTGAAGGATTTCTGAGCTCGAGGGGTGCAAGGCTGAGAGTTTTGGCAGCGGGGCATTGAACTGCTTTGGCTTCTTTAGTTTCGTGCGAAGTGTGCTTGTCCATGCCTCGCTGTGAAGCTGAGGAAGCGAAAAAAAAGCGGGTTGCCGAATATGCCACGTTCAAGCAAGCAGCGCTTGAACCTTGCCAGCACTGGAAGTCTTTTTTCCGTTCATGCGACGAGCTGCTTTTGGACTTCATCCTGCAATGCACCCAAAAGCCCCAGGAGTTTGGTGGGAAGTACAACTGTGCAGACCAGCAAGTGCGGCCAGCACAGGTAGCGCAGCCACAAGAGCTGGCCTTTGCTACCATGAGAGGCCTGGGTACAGCTCAACATGTGGAGAGGGCTTGTTAAGAACTGGCCCCGAAATGTGCAACCGAAAGTCGTAACCGAGAGTTCAGTTGAAAGTTAAGCATTGCAGTAGCTGCGAGGCGGTTTTGGCGTCCGCCACGAGCCTTCAACCAACATCAGAGGAACCCGCAGCCCCCACTGGGGTCACCATCAGCGAGAACAGAAAGCCTCAGCTGTGCCGCGCAGATCTGCAGCGACTGGCACACTCTGGGCTGGAGCAATAGCAGCAGCTCTCTTACTCCGGGCTGCATTCCGCCAAAGGCAACGGACCTTGCAAGAAGGGATTGCCGACTTTTATGATGCCTCTACCGGCGTTTGGGTCGAGATTTGGGGTGATCACCTGCACCATGGCTACTACGAGGACAGACCACAGAGATCCAGATTCTTCCAGAATTCACGGGCCCTGTTGTTGCTTGTGTTGCTTTGGTGCTGTTGTGCCTGCACAGTTGGCAAAGGACAACTCGTGGAGATCCCTGAAGCAGCACAAAGAAGCGCAAGTTCGGATGATCGAGGAAGTTTTGAGCTGGGCGGAAGTGTCATCGAACCCCGATGGCCCAAAGACTATACTGGATGTGGGTTGTGGAGTCGGGGGTTCTTCCCGATACCTGCAGAAGAAGTACGGCGCCAAGGTCACTGGCATCACCTTGAGCCCCAAGCAGCAAGCACAAGCCACAGCGCTGTCCAGCAAGTCGGGGCAGGCTGAGAGCTGCGACTTCAGGGTAGCAGATGCGTTGAACATGCCCTTCGAAGACAACTCTTTTGACCTCGTGTGGTCGCTGGAAAGTGGCGAGCACATGCCTGAGAAGCCCAAGCAGCTTGGCATCGATGTAAAGGAAACCAAGGGGTAACTGGGTCGCATAGGTCATGATCTAAGATGACAGCTGCTGAGATGGCTGACTGAGGTTCATGAGTGAGATGCACCGAGTGTGCAAGCCTGGTGGCCGCATCATCCTTGTTACGTGGGTGCACCGAGATCTCGGAGATGAGGAAGCGTTGCGGCCAAAGGACATGCCAGCACCTGCCAGCAGAGCTTTTTGAACACAACCTTGGCTTTATTTGCGTTCGGCAATTGACGCACTTGGCTGCCAGGAGCTGCGCCTCCTGAAGCGCATCAGCCAGGCGTATCACTTGCCGGACTGGTGCAGCATCGAAGACTACTGCCACATAGCCACAGAGAAGTTGGGCATGACAGGCCAGAAACACTGTAGCCTGCACTCATACTGCAACACGTTTGTCGCAAAATGCCCGACGCAGGCATCCGACGTGATGACTGGTCCCAGTACATTGCGCCCTTCTGGTCGGCAGTGATTCAGACTGCATTGCAACCACGTGGATGGTGGGCACTTGCCCGAGGCAAATTGTGGTATTTTGAAGAGAAACGTTCGAGGTCTGGCAGGGCAAAGTGTCCCATTGGTGTCCTGGCAGGCGGCTTGGAGACCTTCCGCGGTGCCTTGGTGATGCCTCTCATGAACAGGGGCTATCGAACCGGAACTATCCGTTTCGGCTTGATGACGGGCTGCAAGGCTCCAGGCAGACTTGCCGATGACACGTTTGTGTGGTGCATTTGGGGTGCATTCTGAAGATGGGGTAGTGACCTGGAATCAGTGGCGGCAACTTGAGCTTTGGAAGAGGGCGTGGGGGCGTGGGGGAGGGAGTGGGGGAGTCTGCAAGTCGCCAACACTGAAGCCGGAAGGCAGTGATGGGGCTGCTGCAAGCACGGCTGCAGCCGCTGCACCTTCGGCGCTGTCCGCCTGGCGACTGAGACCAAAGCGGCTCGCGCTGTGCGGCGCTCTGGGGCAGGTGGAGCACCTTGAGACTGAACGCAAGTGTGCTCACTGACATACTTGAGTCATACTTGCCATTCTTGCTGCAAGACCACCTTTATGGGAGGTTGTCTCGTCTTCTTCGACCACGACATCCTCCAGACTCGCCACTCTGCTTCTCTTGTCGTGTGCACGGATGAATCGATTCCTGAACATGTAAGTCCTGTGCAAGCAGCAGCGTACTGCAAGTGGTGTATGTGGGAGTGCCAGGGAATGCCTTAAGAGCAAGCCCTCCTGAAATCTGGGTTATGGGCGAGCCGTGATTAAACTTCCCACGCAAAGCCATGGAACCTCTGCAGGCAGCCTTGGTGGGCCTCGTGAAGACTGTTTGGGACCCTTGAACACAGTCAAGCGCGCAAGAAGCTTGATCAGTGATTGCTGTTCTTTCGACACGCAAGCATGCACTGCTGTCAGGACTTCTCACGCCCTCACACGTTGATTGGAACCGTCATCTCCATCACAACTGTGACCTGGCAACAGTTCAGCTCAGAAAGGTCGCTTCGAGTGCAGAACTGCGTGCAAGAGCTTCCTTCGTTGAGGTTCACCTTTTTGCCGTTGCCCCGCTGCCTGCCATCAGCTGGCCCCTCTTCGCAATGCAGACCCTCCGGGCGCTAGTGCCGGCAATGCTCGTCAACGCGACTTTGGCACAGCAAGTTCAAGAGGGATCGGCTGCATTGGGAAAATCCTAAACATGCAGCAGCGGAGCCAAGGTTTACATAACCGGGCTGAACCAGATATACGACGCAACTTGTCCGACCTTGTATATTTGCAGCTGCCCCATTGAAGCCAGACACTTAAGTTGCATCCGGGGTGCGCAGTCGACCCGCTAGGTCGAAATTGATCGTCAGTGGCAACCTCAGTTGCCCTTAGCATCCCGCACTTATGTTGGACTTGCTTTGCCAAGCGAACGGTCATGGAAATGGTCGGTACTTGTTGCAAGTCGCGCAGGAACAAACCTTATCTCCCGATTCCCTCCGGACGACTCTCGATCACGTCCGCATGGCTGATCGTGCTTGGCTGTCTCTTCGGTGCAGAGGCAGCGACGTGCACCTATCCGAACTTTGGATTGACTTGCTCAAGGCTTCAACGGCTGATGTCCTTGGACCCCGTTCTGCAGGGAGTAGCAACTAGCTGAGGACATCTGGAGTCATGGCCCTGCAGTTTCCTTTAATTGCAAGCGCAATCCTGGGAACTGCCTACTCCGTGCCACCCTTCCGCTTGAAGCGCTTTCCGTTTTTGGCTGCGCTGAGAAGCTTGGCTGTTCTTCACTTAGGTGCCCAGGATTGCGCAGGAGAGTTGATTTCGCTCCCAGTTCTTTTACGTGGTTTCGTGTGTCAAGGCATCATCGTCGTTCGTGGTGTCGTTGTCAACATGGGCTTCTACTATTACATCGGACATGCCCTCGGCGTCGCAGGTGCCTGCATAAGATGTAGCAATATTTAGCAATGCTTGTTCAGGTCATGTATCTCACTCCTAAGCTTCCACTCGTGCAGGACAGATGTCCACCGCCCGCAGTGCGATGGCTGCCGCGTTCTTTGCAGCTTTTGGCCTTGTGATTGCGCTGATGAAGGACATCTTGGCTTGCGTTAGTGCAACTGGATGTCAAAGCTGAAGCAGTCAAGAATCAGCTTGCCACTTTGGAAAAGACTTTTCTCGACAACTCTTTTCACTGTCCGAAGCAGCCTTATGTTGGATGGCTCGGTTCCATGCTTCGTAGCCACAGGACGTCCCTGATGTGCTTGGGGACGAGAAAGCGAGCATCCGGTCCGTCAGTGTGCGGTTGGGCCCAGCGCGGGCCTTGCGCATTGTACTGACCTCAGTGAGCCATAGTGAGCCTCAGCACGCCTGCTTACTGTTTTCTCTCGGAGACATTCAAACACATTGGGCCGCTTTCGCCTTGGGCATGCGTGGCCACTGAAGCATGCCTGCAGGCCGTGTCAATCCTGAAGGCGTTGCTGGCGGGCACCTCAATAAGCTTCGGCGTGGCGAGCGCCTGGGCTTTCGCGAGCAAAGCTCCTGGCTTTGCGACGGCCAGAGGCGCGGCACGAAACTGATGAGTAGATATGTAGGTTCCAAAGTCTCTGCAAGGGTCGTGGCGGCTCATTGACTTGATCTCGTGGCCAGGCATGCTCGCAGTGGTGTTTCTACTCTTCTGCAGATCCCTTCAAAGAAAGGATGGGCTCTCGAGACCCTTCTTGGTATGCAGTAAGCCATTCAGAAATTAGCAACCTAATTGTCGCAGTGTGAGGAGAAGCTCGTGGATGCGGAAGCTGCGGCCTAAGAATCTTTAAGGGTCTTAGAAGTTCCAACAGGCTTTTGCAGGGCTTGAAGTCCATGGATCACAGCACGTTCCATGCTAAGCCGAGAGGAGCCGAAGCAAGTCTTCGACTTCTACATGTTTGTTTGGAAGATCTTCTACCTGTGCTACTTGTTGCTCCCATTGGCGACGTGAGCTGCCTTGTGCGCACAAGAAATCGCCGCCCGCATCCCTTCGTTTTCCATATGGCGTTGCCACAGGGGTGCTCGCACCAGTGTTACAACAGGAGCACAGGGCCGTGGAAGAGAGAGAGAGAGAGAGCCACCTTCCAGACGCCCATTCTGGCAAGGTGTGTTTTCGGCCACGGGCATAGCTTGAAATTATTGAATTGCGTTCAGCAGCTGTCAGACGTTGCACAAGGCCAAGAGAACCTGCTTCAACACATGTATGCGCAAACGATTGAGAGCTTGCATCGTTTGACTGCTGAACAGTCTTGGCTGCGACAAAGCACCATTATAGCTTCCAGCAGTTTCGCATGGCTGCTTTCTAGAGCCTAGAACCTCTCAATTAGATTCTTCTTTGTTCAGGCATCTTAGTCAGCTTGTCCGGATGGGTTCGAAGAGATTGGCCTAAACGTGTTCAGCTCACGCTCAGTTCCTGCCCGCGCCAGCGAGTTGTACGCGTGCCCTGCATGCGGTCCTGGCTGGCAGTGGCAATTCCATTTGGAATACAGCGAGAAAGGTGTAAGTACCGGAATCTTGGCTGTATTTGCCATATCGGGTGAACGAACAAAAAGGCAGCACCGGGTCAGGTGACTGTGCAAGCATGGCCTTAAGCTGGACTGACAACTTCGGCTTGATTTCCCTCTAGAAGTCAGTACATCTTGGAGCTTTAAGATGCCGGAGTAAGGGCTGCTGCAGGGAGTCATGTTCACATTGCGAAGGCCAGTCGTCGCCCTCGCATGCGGTGCCCACTTCATTGTTTGCTCAGCTGAGGTAGCGCCTGGCTCTCAGCCATGACACACCCTGTAACAAAGACAGCCGTTGCCACCTTTTGTGAGGCTACCCCGGCTGGACCCCGAAAGAAGCTGCGTGTCGCAGGAGGCGGGAATGAGGTGAGCTGACTCTCCCTTGCCTAAACAAAAAAACATAGTGAAGCCGTGTAAGCGTCTCAAGGCATCGATTTCGGATATGGGGGCTTAGAGGCTTAAGGAGGGTAGGGAAGCAGCAAGCAAGCAGCAAAGAGGTTTATCAACCTCTCGCCTAAGCATCCATGCACCAGTGCTAAGCGGGAGTTTGGCTAAGAAGCGGCTAGGCGTCCAGGGAATACCCGAGCGTTTGAAGCGTGCGCACAATCGGCGAGATGTTTTTGACTTAAATTGAGACTATTAGAGACGCCCTGTGAACGTCTAAGCAAGGCACCGTAGACGAGTACACTGGCACTTTCCCATTTTGCGGACTTGTTCAACCTCTCTAGCGTACGTGTCGTCTCCGGCAACCGAGAACAGACGAGAGCAATCTTGAATACGGGATGCACACGATTGGCTCTCTTTCCATTTTGTCAGCTGATCGGGATCGTTTTATTGTTTCAGGCACACGAGAGCGAAGGTTATCAAGTTGTCGCGTGTAGGTTACTCAGGCCAGAAAGGAAACTAGTAGAGGCGCAGACGCATGAGGGGGCGGGCTGCTTAGGGTCTGGGCTGGGCATCGCATGCCTCCGTGTGTATATGCCCGTAAACATTGTTAACTGGAAGATCCGCAGAGGACCTCCTCCTGGGTTACTGTGCAGACACCAATGCAGGTGCAGGCTTGGCATCGAAGCTGAAAGCTGTGGAGCATATCTTCCTCCACATTATCCATATTTCTCTCTCGCGCAAGGCGTTGGCTCCTTGACATCCTGGAGGCCCGGAGTCTACGTGACAGAGGTGTCGACAGTGTTGGCTGTTCTTGGTATGTTCTTGTTCTCCAGGCCCGCCCATCTTCCACCAAAGGCGGAGGAGGAGTCTGAGCATCATCGCAACCTGGCCGTCGCCTCACTGGCAGCTTGACTGGCGTGGTGCAATGGTTATGGAGACGTATCCGAGCTAGGTGCGCGCCCTGGAGCGCAACGTGCGCCTCCCAGACCTGTCTGTCCGCATAAGCGTGCATTCTTCGAAGCTCCTCCTGAATCTCCTGAGGTCCAGAGGCGGCTTGTTCAAGAGCAGCGTGAGGAGCACTCACACTCAGCTCACTGAAGCAGATAGCCATGCAGAAGAGTCTTAAGAAGTCCTGTAGATTGAACGGCCGAATGGCCCTGTCGAAAAACGAGAGGAGCAGCAGCGACGACAACGAGAGGAACGTCGAGAGCAACGGCTGAAGGCTCCAGATGACGCGGGGCGCTGTCAAGGGCTACGGGTTGAAGACAGAAACATCAACCAGACTAGTCAGGAGTCCTTGATCAAATCATACCATCCAGTCGTTGCATTTGTACGGGAGTGTGCCACAGGAGCACACTGACATTTGGCTGCACGAGCTTCTTCCGGGCTTTGTTCCAGGCACAGCCCTCCAACTCTGTTAGGGACGAACTGGAGTGCATGCGGAGTCCTGGCAATCCCTCATAGAGGCATGGAGCCATCACAGCGCATGCAACGCCTCTGGCGCCAGGGACTACCCCCACGCGTCCGTGAGGCGGGTAGCTCCAGCTGCGCCCTGCTCTGAAACTCGAAGATGTCTGAAGTCTGTGGACAGGTGATTTGGCCGGTCGCAATTGGAAACGAAGCTTCCTGAGCTACGCAGCCATGCCGTGTTGAGATGTTGCAAGTGTCAATGAGGTTCCGCTACTGCTCCGGTTGTTGGAAACTGCAGTTGAATCAAGCATAGCCGCCTGAAAATGCAAACTCGGCCAGACATGTGTAACGTTGTTGGCCTGCGGTCAACCAGTTGCAAGGTGCTGCGAATAACACCAGAGCTTTTCGAGATCCACAAGCAGCGCGCAGTGGATGCTCGAAAGGCGCAGGCTGTCCTGCCATGCATGACAAACTCAGCAGCCCTAGCTATAAGCACACCTTGACATCCTGCTCCGTTACGTAAACTTTTCGTTTGCAGGAGACGGCATCAAACGTGCTGATTACTCTCACAGATGCGTGTCGACCTCAACAGCCCAGCCTCACATTTCGACGTAGCCTCCAATGCCAAGAGGGCAGATGAGGAGCCTACGTTCTTGCAAGCTTGCGCGAGATTGCTTGGTGCACGTGTACAGCGTCATGGCTTTGCATCGTTTGCCGACATTTGCCGAAGCAAGATACGTACGGCTTGAAGTCGAAGTCAGACCGAAGGCCTCCAACTCGTGGCCGAGAGCAGAGCACGACCTGCATTCCTTTTGTTTGGCCCTCGGTCGCCTCCTCGGCCTTCAAACAAAAAGCGAGCGCCGTCTCGCAGGACTTGCCAAGAACTTTTCCAACATTGGCCTTTTTCAGTGAGGCCGAAGAACCTCTTTCTCGCCGGGTCTATCTTTTATCACCTGTTGCCAGGGAGGTCCGCTTCATGAAGACTGCGCCAGGATTCTGGAGGCACCTGCTAGAGGTCTGAAGTCTCTCATCCCATCTCGTGCTCATTCACAGTGCCAGATCTGCAAATTCACGCCGGCACCGCAAATCTAGCGCGCAACTGGGCAGCTCGAAATGTGAGAACAACCGCAACAGCCTTGGGACACCAGGCGCCCAAAGCAGCAATCAGCACAAAAGACGGCCGTGTCCTGCGCAAACCTGTAGTTCCTGATTCCTTAAATCGGGTCACGCGAGCACAGCGTTCAGGCGTACACCTTCTACAGGCCAGATATTGGCTACGTGCAGGGCATGCATTTGCCTCAGCTGGTTGAAGCTGTCATGTGCTGCAGAAAAAGATACGGATCGGCTTAGCTTCATGGCCGGTTCCTAGGAGCTATTTGGCTGCGATGCTGCTTCTCTACCTGCCTCCGTACCAGTCCTTTGCTCCTTTCCAGCAAGAGTCAAAGCAACCTACATCAGGCATCTCTTTGTGTTGAAAGGTCGGCCTTTGCAACTTGTTGAACACGCCCTCGGCGACCTGGGGGAAGCAGTCCACTTCTGCTTTTAACGGCAACTGCTCATGGCTTTACGATTTTCCAATAAGTCGACCCTTTAGGATGGTTAAGAGGTACTCGGGCTCTATCGCCTTGAGCCTCGTGCAGTTGCCTGCCGGGAGCGAACCTCAGCCGGCGAAAACTTCTGCAATTCTGCAAGATGTCTGATCTCTGGTGGACCTTGCTGGAATGGGCTCCAGGCCCGTGTGTTCGAACAGCTGGGCCCTCAGGCAGCTGTGCAAGACTTTCCCAATCGGGCAAAGTCTGCACGAGAGAAATGGGTGTTGATCAAAAGGTCCTTGTAAGGAATTTTATATAGAACTTACATTTTAAGGATGTATAAGTGTCCGCGAAAGATCCACGAAGAAGGTGTGCGAAAGGAAATTGTTTTGGCGAAAATTTGACGCAAGGCACCTGTTTGCTATGCATCCGCGGCAGAAGGCTCGCTCTCGTCTCTCACGCCCAGCTGGCTGAAAGCCTCGGTCCGACCACACTACACGCAGTGAGGGTCTAGGATTTGTTTAGTGTTTAGGGTTTGAGGATTTCGGGTTTAGGAAATCCGTTTCCGAAAGCCTAAAATTTTTCGAAACACTGGCGCAAGCTCCGCGAAAGTCTAACACATCCCATGAAGGGCATCTGCTCAAGAAGTGTGCATGTGCATAGCTGAGTACGTAGGTGCCATGGATGTGATGATAGGTCTTGGGGTTCAGGCGTGCGCGCGAATAGGCGCGCTAAAGTTTTCCGCGAAATGAAAGTTAGATTTTGGGGAAAGACACGTTTCCGGGACAAAGTGATTTTGTTGACCTGCTTTGAGGCTGTGCTCACAGCAGCTGCCAGCAGTGTCAAGATGCAGCATCCTCGGCTTCCCTGCACGTCTCTGGGCCACCCTTGTCTCAAGTCAGTCAGAACGCTTTCACTCCAAGCGTTTCTGCACTTCCGACATTGGAGCCCTCAGGAAATCAGAAACACAGCCGATCCTGAGGCATTCAGCAAGTGGGTCTCATGCCTGAGATGCCATGCGCTCAGGAGTTCGGCAGTGGGATGTCGGCGGGATGTGATGAGAGGGGGCGGCCTTGTCCGACCCGAAAACCAACCTCCGAAGATCCTGCGGTCCCCCAATTCATGAACAGTTAATTAGCGGGCAACAGCACCTGGTATGGAAGAAGTTTTTGGAACCAAGCCATCTCTTGGAAAGTGGCCGGGACTTAAAGAGATACAGGTTCCTCATCGAGTGGTTCCTCACAGTGTTCGCAAAGTGGCAGCCTGAAGTTGATGTCTTTCGCCTTTGCGCTTGTGCCGCAAGCTGCGCTTGCACTTGCCACGCTCCTATGCTCAGACTCGCCGTAGAATCACATCTCGAAGGGTACAGGATTAAAGGCTCCGTTGGTGTGAGCTTTGGTCATTTTTGGCTGGTTAGCAAAGGTTAGCAAGCTTGTTGCGGCATTTTGGCCCTGCGGCTGCTCGCAAAGTCCACTTTCACTGTCAGCCGAAGTGTCCGCACGGTGGCAAGGGCAAGAGCTGCAGGCCACGCAGGGTCGTTCCTGAATGAAGGAGGAGATAGGTCGGTCTATGATCCGATGCAAAAGCTGCAGAAGTGTTTCCTGCTCTTGGGACCGGGGCCCATTTTTGAAGAGCAGCATCTTGGACTCTGCCACAAGCAGGATCTCATCGGAAATGCGTCAACAGAACCTCCCAAAACAGTGCCAAGCATGCGCAGCTGGGCTCGGCTGAGTGCTTCCTGGAGCGGCAAAGCAAGCAGCGCGCCTCGTGACATTTTAGCTGAGAGAGTTCAGCCATGATTGCTTCAGTGCTCCAACTCTGCGTTTTTTGCGGCCGGATACACAGGCACCATTGCAAGGCATGGTGTGGACAAGCGAGTGGACAAGCTAGAGCAGACACTACCAGCCCCCAGCGCAGCTCATGAGCCCTACGGAAAAACAAGTCTCCATAGGAGTTTTTGTATACAGCCTTCTGGTCTTGGGCCCCTGGTCCCAAAAGGACTTGTGGAGACCTTTGGCTTGATACATCACTAATCTAAGGTCACACAAAGGGGGCGGCCGCCTCCCCCCCTTGAGCAATTGCCCCAATGGGAGTGCAGCGTGGGCATCGCAGGCGAAGGAAAGCCAAAGTCATATGTCGCTTTGTACAGTACCAGACAGGTCGTGAGTTCAGGAGGGGTCCCAGAGGCTTCAGGAGGGACAGGGTCCCAGGTCCCAGGAGGCTTCAAAGGGGGAGATCTTGTCCTGAAAAGATGGGGACCTTGAACCCCCCCTCGCCAGCTAAGGGGCTGCCTGCAGCTTGTCAACATACTGCTGCCAGGTCTTTTGAGCCTACCACTCGCAATCACCTAAAGTGCGCCATCCTTTGCTGCTGCAAATATAAGCCCTGCCTGCCGACAAACACGTCTTCGCTTTCGTTGGTTCGCCCTGCTATCAAGTGTCACGATGCTGGCAAAAACGATCCCTGGAGGAGGTAGTGCATTGTTTCAAGCTGTGTACATGTCAGATCGTGTGTGCTTACAGGTGCAAACATCTTTCGGTGGTTTGCACTGAGGTGCTTGACCGTGGACGTCGCTTCAGTGGTCTGGGATCTCTTTCTCTTGGATGGCGAGGCAGCTGACAGCGAACCTCCCATGATGCCAGGGCCATGAATGCCCTCCGCGTCAGGTCGTCCTGTACTGTACAGCCATCGCCATCTTGCGCATTCTGGACTTTTGACTTGCCGATACAAAAAAGATTCAGTAGAACTGTTGCATTGGTACACGGGGTATCACTGCAGCATTCCTGAGAGGAGTTTCAGCTGCTCCACCCAGATGGGCGGCGTGGCATGAACGCAGCCGAGAGCTGAGGTTTTGTTGCTTTCCAAGTCAGAGGCGCTGCTCCCACTTGTGCTTCCTTATACTGAGCAGCCCGCTCAGCATCCATGCTGACACTGCTGTGCTTCCTAACTTTGTGTCTGTCTAGCAAACGAGGACGCCTTGAGCACATGGCACCTGCCTTGCACATTGACATTGGAGCATGATACAGGCAGAAAGTCACCTTCAACAGATGCAATAGGTATGTTCCGAGGCTTACCCTGCTACTAGTAGGACGCATGTGGTGAGATAACGGCCATGGACAGGGCATTGCTCGAGAGTGCATCTGTTGCGGAATCATTGCTAGCTCGTACAAAGAAAGCTCGGATGCAGGCAGCTGGCATTTGGGATGCATATTGTCGCACGCATCTGGTTCCAGCATGTCTTGTTTTGAACGCTGCTTTGGGCCGAAAGCTGCTGGGTAAACAGCACTTGACAGATCATGACCACGAGCCGTGAAGTTGAAGTGCAGGCTCAACCTGATCTCGAGAGCTGCACACGAGTGCTGAACGAGGCCATGGCGGTTGTTTGTAGAATTCGGGAGCTCCAAAGAACAAGACTTCAGCAAACTAAGCATCCGTTGCCCAGGAGCTCCGCAATCGCGTGAGCGATCCTGACGAGCTACTCTGGCACATCGCGCAGGCTCAAGACACAATCGAGAATTCCTTGTTCTAGCATTAAGCTGGCCACCTCGTTTCATCGGGATACAGAATGAGATCCACTTGCAGATGCACAGGTGCGACGAAGGGCTCCTCAGCGGATTTTCGCTCCATGCTCGGAATATGAACAACTGATTCCTGAAAGTCTAGGGTTGACTTAACCCATCCAACCATTCCAGCGGACAGCCAAGAGGGTTGTTGTCTTGCCAGCGGAATCTGAGCACCGGTAGTATCCGGTAGAGCTGTAGAAGCAGAAGAAGGCCAAAGTTGCGCAATGTTGCGCTAAGGGCGAGATTCGTGACATCGAGAACATGGAGTTCGGTAGTCAGGGAAGAGTGTCGACACGAGGCTGGCTGAAAGCAGATGCCTCCTGCGAGCATATCCATTGGCGATGGACAGGTTCCATCACAAATGCGCTGAGAAGTGCATCCTTCTTTGCTGCAGCTCCTTGCTTTCAAAGAACATGCAACGACAGCCATAGTGGTACTTTGTTCAAGCCGTTGCTGAGGCCAAAGACCACATCCTGTCTCGCCTGCTGCCCTGAGGACAAAAAGCAAGAGCGCACCGCTTGCAAGCTCTCATCTTCTACACAGTACATACAGTGGCTAATACTAACTCGTAAGCTATGACTAAGCAGGGGCTGGCACGACCACGAGCATTCCTCCTCCTGCTGCTGGTGCAGCGGTGGTGTGTCCGAACTTATGCGAACGGAGCAACGGTAAGAGAGCACAGAGAGCACCTCTTTCTTCGCGTGGAAGTTGCCTTCTGCTCGTGAGGGCGAGCAGGTCGCGGACCGCGCTCATCCAGACGACTGTGGTGCCAGTTTGGGCACTGTGTGCATGCATGCTTTGCCTGAGTTCGGTGGCTCAAGTTTTGTACTTTGGCCTTGCTGCTGGGCACTGCAGCCTGCCCCATCCGCTGTAGATTTCTACCATGGGGTCTTGGCAGATCTTGGCGCTGTGTGTGGTGCTGGTGCGTGCGAAGGACTGTGAGCAGGGTCAAGGAGCCCTGGCACGCCCGTGTTCTTGAATTCTTGGAGGTTGCTGCATGGGCATTCCAGTTTCCAGCTGTTGTTTTGGCAACTGAGGAGCTTGCCCCAAAACCGGGGGTCTGGATCTGGTTCAGGTACGCTCGGCTGTCGCAGCACAAGAGCTTATCGACGCGGAAGGGCCGCCGCATGAAGAGGAATGCGAAATCAGCAGCATTGCAAAGGACTACTACTGGAGTCTTGGTCGGATTTGGATTCAGGTTTTCAGGCTTGGAGTGTGCTGTCTGGATGGCATGCTATGCCGCTATGCCCTCAAGCTTTTGTGCTTGTGCAAACAGGGTCTTGAGCTTATAACCTCATGTGGAATCTTAAGAGCACTGAAGGAAACCGCCAGAGCACGAGTTCATCTGTCACCGCCGAGGCATGCCAGATTTCGACACATCGAGTCTGGTTTTCCTCTTTTTAAGGCTCTAAGATGCTTCTAAGGCTGCTAAAGCAGCTAGAGAGGTGCTGGGAGTTTGGAGTTCCGGGGTGCTTCTGGGTTTGTCGAATTGCCTCAGGCAAGCCAGACTTGGACTTGGATGTGGGAACAGTCCAACACTTCCACCCGGTCACTGGTGACAACATGACCATCCGTGGCTACGCTTCTGAGTTGCTTCTAGAATTTGCTTGTGGCATTCAAGTATTCAAGTTCCACGAACAGGCTCCACATTCTCCAGCCTATCATGGAAATTGAATGTCTTCTAAATCCACGACCGCAAGTCCTCGACCCTTTTTAGTTCCAGGATAGGCGTGGTACTGCCGGTACTCTCTTCAGGGCTTAGCAGTACTCTTTAGCATGGCTGCATACTACTCTTTGGCCTTACTGCTGACTTACCGAAGAGCAAGAGGAAGTCACGACAAGGCCTATGGTCGAGCAAAGTTCAAGGTGGAGGAGTTCACCCCACGCGGCCGTGCCAAACCAATGAGAGCAACTTGCCTAGGTTCTAGCTGGCCCTTCCACATAGTCTGGAAGAAGAGGCTAAGAGATGCTAAGAGGCTTCGTCGAAAGCCCTTGTGATATCTTGTGATGATGATCCCTGAATTTACGGCCCCAGCAACTTTGAGCCGAGGCCAGTTTCTTGCAAAGTGTGGCAGCCAGTGGTGCGCTGGATTCAAATGGATTCAAAGCCTGAGTTGTTCGTTGTTGAAAGCTTGAGTTGTTCGGTGAGCCATGTTGAGCCATGTTGAGCCAAGTTTCTGAGCTGTATAGTGCTCGACAAGAAGGGTTTTGGACTGAAACAAATCTGGGAAGGACGGTCTTCTAGTCTTCTAAATGGGCTCCCTAAGTCCCACAACATGTCTACGCCTTTGCGTGTTATGAGTAGAAAGGTGTGGAGACTCGCACTGCGGCTGTGTTGATGATCCGCTTCTTGGATGCGAGCGGGAACCTCATCCCGTCCAGCATGGACACGGCCGAGGACCGTCAGTAAGCGTTTAGAGAGGTGTCACTACTTCGGTCCCGGAATCCTAGCATTCAAGATTGCACGACAAAACATAGGATTTAACGACCTAGCTGCCGCGTGGTACTGAAACATGCGCAAATCCGGTTGGAGCAGTTTGAGGGTTTTGCAAGAGGAGCGCAAGAGCTTCGCCATTGGAGTGAACAATTCCCTGTACCTGAGCCAGCTATTGCGCAAAGTCGTCTGAAGTTTCGTGTGTGTAAGGGGGATCGTGACAGTGTGAAAGTCCCACAAAGGTACGGTATCTTCGACCACGCGAGCCGAAAGACAAATGCAGGGACCTGGCACGACTGCTCCTATGGCAAGCTTCAGTTGCAGTTCGACACGGACCAAGCCGAGAATGACTTGGCCAGTGATGTTCCTGGAGAAGGCGCCGACATCTTCTATGCCGATGTGCCAATCGTGTGTGACACTGCCACCGATTCCAACTGCCCGAGCAACTATGACTCTACAAGCAGCTGCTCAAGCAGCGAGTACTACGGCTGGCCAAGGTACGCCTTCAAGAGTCGGCCAGAGCTTGTGAAGTCAAACTGGCAACATTGGGTCGTGATCTTTCCCCGGGATATCGTCAACTGCAACTTTGTTGGCTTGGGCAATGTTGGCTGCTCCTCCAGCTATTGTTATTCATGGATTCCTCATGACTACTCCACAAAGATTCAAGACTACACACATGAGCTCGGCCACAACCTCGGACTAGCACATGCTGGCATCGTTGGCGGCTCTGAATATGGTGACTACAGCTGCGCAATGGGCTATTGCTGCTCAGTGCGCTGCTACAACGCACCGCATGCTTACGAGCTGGGATGGATCACACCATCGCTTGAGCTCAACGATGCCAACTTTCCAAGCATTCTAACAGGTGTGCCGCTACGGTCCATGTCTTTGCACAGCGATGGGGCCATCTCGATTACGGTGGATTGGGTCTCGCCAGCCGTGGTATACTGGGTCCAGTTGAAGACAGCGCACCACTACGACACATACATGAAGTCGGCGTGGCGCAACAATGTGCAAATCAAGCAATGGAACAAGGGAGGTTATGAAATTAGCTGGCACCTGAAGACCTTGGTGGAGGGTGAGAATTGGACATCAGATGATGGCGAAGTGACTGTGAGTGTGGAGAGCATTGATACCATCACAACCATGACAGCACTCCTCACCCTCAGCCGGGCAACAGCTGCCACAACAACGACTACCGCCCCTCCCACAACAACGACAACCGCCCCTCCCACAACAACGACAACCGCCGCTCCCACAACAACGACAACAGCTCCTCCCACAACAACGACAACAGCTCCTCCCACAACAACGACTTCCACCCCTCCCACAACAACGACTACGGCCCCTCCCACAACAACGACTACGGCCCCTCCCACAACAACGACTACCACCAGCACCACTACGACCACGACCACCACCGTCAGCACCAGCACTACTACAGTTGATCTGTGTGCTGGTGTGACATGCCAGGCAAGTGACGCCTGCCACAGTGCAGGGGTCTGCAATCCTGCGACTGGGCTGTGCTCAAATCCTCCCAAGCCTGATGGGACCAGCTGCGAGGCTAGTGGCCCATGTGACATTGCCACATGTCAATCGGGGCAGTGTACAGTGACTTCACAGGAACCAGACTGCTGCGGCAACTCTTTGTGTGAAGCAGGGGAAGACTGCAATTCCTGCAGTTCTGACTGTGAAAGTAAGACCGGAGGGGGGCCTCTGTGTGGCAACGGCATTTGCGAGACTGCCGATGGTGAAGACTGCCGCAACTGCCCTGCGGACTGCGCCGGCCGGACCAACGGAAAGAAATCCCGCAGGTACTGCTGTGGCAGAGACGTCTCATGCTCTGACTCTCGGTGCTCTGCAAGTCCGTCCCCGAGCTATCATTGGCACAAGTTTGGGAGTGTAGCAGTGTCGAACTTGAGGCTAATGAGAAGCGGCTACTAGTAGCCTGTTCTTGATGACCGCAAAAGCAAGTAATTGTTTGGTTCATGTCATCCGCAAATTTTCCTCTGGCATCGTCATCCTTGATCAGAATTTTCTGGTGCGATCAGGAGGGAGGATCCGATATCTCTGAGCCACCATGATGTTGAGGATGACGTTGCTGTAGGAAAGTTCTGATGCTGGACTGCCCAACACTGCACCCTGAAATCTTTACATCTGGGTTTTGGAGACATTGTGAGAAGCCATGACCTTGACAAACCCGACAACTCCCAGTGCAAAGAGCTCGAATTCAAGTGCTTCGAACCCGCAGAGCCGCGACCACCACAGGTTCAGTTGCGCAGCGACCCCGACACCAACCGAGACGAGCTGCTGTGGCATCCCTGCTCAAAGAGTTCTCCAAACCGCGAGGAATATCTTGCGAGTATAGGCGTTTCAGCTTAGAGGTTTCGGTAAGCCAGGAGTTGTGGGGGAAAATGATTGAATTTTCGTGTCCTACAGTAGGACTACCCAGACAGGCCCTCAGGAAGTCCTTTCTGGCAGGAATCAAGCTTGAAGCCCTAGCCTTTCACAGAAACGGTTCCATCATGCGCTTTCAATATTATGATATCATCCTCAAGCCAAGGCGATGGAGTCTGCCATCCCAGCCTTGAAACTGGCACATGCAGCATCGACTGCCCATAGGGCCGCAGGGCCCGTAAAGCCATCGGATCTCCCATGCTTACAGGACAGCTTCTGGGAGCCCATGGCATGTTAGAACTGTTTCGCGTAATTCTGCTGGATGGCCCCCATGCTTTTTTTAACAGAGCAGGGGTTCTTCGGCTGCCGAGGATATACCGGCACATTTTCAAAGACTGAAACTTGATATTTTCTTATGGTGCTTGACCACAAGCTGTGAGCACCTAGGGACTCGGGAGATAGTCTTAAGCTTGCATGAAACTCGATGGAGCCTTTCTGGTCTGGGCAGTTGCAATAAGCAGGCAATTGCATTAAGCGTGCGCGAGAAAAGGAGCAACAACAACACACAAGATCTCGAGATATGAGGAGATGATCAGTATGCTCAAGAAAAAGAGAATCCCAATTATTGAGAAAAACATATGGACGATTTTGCAATAAATGAAGGCGTTACCGTTGAGCGTTCAATGGGGGGAAGCGGGTTTGTAATGTAGCACGCTGCGCAAATATGGCGCAAGTGACGTAATCATCATGAGAAACGCGAGAGAACTCGCTGGATCGAGTAAAGTCTAAGCGTTTAATACGGGCGATTCTCATCATGACAAACGCGGGAGATCGCGCTGGGTCAAGCAGAATCTTCAATCAGCTAGCTCGACAATCACGGGACAATGCGTTGGGTCGGGCAGAATGCTATAAAGTGCACAAGCGACT